TATATATATTTTATATACTTTAAGTCTAATTATCTTTATAAAAAAGTAATAGTACTTATTTATATATATTTAGAGTTAGTTATTAGGATATTAACTTTTTAGCTAAAACTAAGATCCTAGGTAATAATAAGGGTAATAAGTATCTTGCCTATATATATTTATTAGTATTCTTTACCTTTATACGCTGGAGGCTAAAGCCTCTTTTAACTACCTATAACCTTACTCCTATTTTGACGAAGCAAAGGCACGAGTCAACAACCACTACGAGAACCAGACTTTTTATTTTATGGCTTTGTGCAGTCTTTTAGGCAAGACTGGCCTGAGGTGATTATCTCGGAATACCCCCGCAGCTTTCTGCTGTCCATGGATTCTCACTTCAGTGGGTTGAAAACAAGGCGATAGTGAGCGTTATGATTGGCGGGAGAGAACGCCACTTGTAGATAGTGGTGTACTGGGTTGGGCCTCGACAGCCCCATTGAGCAGTGAGCATCAATCACACTAACGTGGCTTTGTCTGACTGGCTGCCGCGTGTTCTGTGGCTGATATGGCAGCACACAAGAACAGAGCCTCAGACAATCCAGGGCGCGGTTTCACTTGACTCGGTGAGGTGGTAGCCTACAGCTGGCTACTATTTGAGAGTCCTAGATTGATAAGCAAGCCAAACCTTTTGCCTACTGGCTTTGGGGTGACGGGGACATGCCACGGGTACGGGTGACCAATCACAATGGTCAGCTCTGTCTTACTGTGGCAGCGATATGGGTGTACTGTACTTCCCATCAAGTCCCATATCTTACGCGGGGTAAAGGAGAAGCGGCGATGAAGAGTCAAGCCGTGATCTTCAACCTAAACATACTCTAAGTCTGTCCGTTCACAATCCATTATGTGCTCCGATTTCTTGGCCGACATTAACAACAACCACGCAAAGGAATGTCGAATGAACTGGGGACCTAAGTTTGTCCGCGGGATAAAGGCAATCACAGCGCTTGGTCAGCTCCTCCTCGCAGCACGTTCAGAGTTGAATGTATCGGCTCTCGAGATTCCTGGCAGCTATGACAACCGTGGCAAGCTACTAACAATTGGAGAGAAAGTCCAGTGCTGTTCAAGATTGTATCTAGAAGCGTTTGCCAAATCTGAACAAAGTTTAGGCAAGCTTTCTGAGACTGCTTGGGAGCTGGCGCATTCTCGCGGTTCGGTACGGACCTTTTTCGATGCACTATCGTTTATACGCCAATCTATGCTAATCATCAGACCAGCTTCATCACGTAACAGAAGTATTTCGCAAAGAAAATTCAGCCGTCGCATACTCTTCTTTCCGAGATGAATGGGACCGAGTACATCAATACCTCAACAACGTTGGACAGCACGCGAGCGCATGTTTCGAATCTTGGAATCATCTCCTGTCTTTTATTCAAGAGTTTGAAGCAATTGTCAATGATATGATTAGTGAGTATGCCTATTATCTCGGTCGTCTTAACCATTCAGAGTGTTGACTGCGTGATGCACAGCTAGTAACAAGAAATTGAGCATCCGATTAACTGAGAAGTTGGAGGCTTCCAAAAGAGAAATTAAAACACGTCGCTACGATAGTAGGTGCTCATTACATTTGAATGCTCTTTTGTATGATGATCCTAATTTCGCTAGTTGGCCTTGAGTCCTGGGATGAAAAGGATACATAAAGATTCGACTTCACATACGCCTTGCCGCTCTTGATCGCAGTAATATCGGTACTGTTCCTCTCTGGTATTATTATAAAAGTTATTATAGTGTCTAGGATGTTCCTGTGTGCCCTTCTCGTTCTCAGGGCCGGAATTAAGAAATCAGGTTACAAGGCGTTACTAGACGACAACGATGGAGATCAAACTCGTGATCTCGAAATCGAAATAGAACGTCTGACTCAGAAGCACAAGCTTAACGTACGTTATCCTCCTCTAGCTAGCAATTCCTTACTCGGGAGTACACTGAACCAGCATTCTTATCTTGCAGGCCACCGTGTGTCAGACGCTTCAAATGATGGGTAGCTCACTGGCCTCTGCGATAGGCGGAATACGGGATACTCACGACTCCTACAAGGCTGTGTTTGATAGACTCAACAGTATGAATGAGGATAAGATCGATCGTTTCAAGAGAACCATGAATAAAATCTCCCATTTGGTCAGTTACGATGAGTCTTACCCCCCGAACCGCACGACCGATCATCCGAACCGCACGACCGATCATCGGCCGCGAGATTCCAAAGACGTAAAGGTAAGCTCGGCTAAAGCCTAACAATTCTTTTGTCGAAGGATTTGAAGAAGCCAGCAGAAAGTAACGAGAACCCAGGAACTGCGTGAACTTGCCGTCGAGTTACGCCTGACGTTTTACATCATGTATCAGTGGTCATCGCTGTATACACGAATTTCGCAACATATATTCACCCCAGCTCTACATGAGGTTCAATCGTTCAGTTCCTTGACTACATTGATCAGTGGCATCGACTTGTCTAGTAGCACACTCAAATTAATCCCTGCTCAACAAGGGCTATCGACTCCCCACCAAACGGCACCACTAATCTCTCGAAGCTCTATTAGAGAGGCTTCTAGACCTCCATCATATTTAGCGGATACGGATATTTATTTCTCTCGGCCATTTTCCTCGGAGTTCAAGGGTGAACTGACTCTAAATGAAGTAGCACAGAGAGCTGAGATTGAACTCAACAAACTACAGCGTGAGGTAATCCTCTCACTTGATCTCATTTCTTGAACACATAACGCTGACACAGTGCGCTCTGCTAGGCTGAAGAAAGCGCGACAAGATCTGTACAAGAAAGAGTAACGGAGGTTTATGCTACAACCATTCCGACAGTAGTCGTAGAACCAAAACAAAGACAAAAGCACATGCTGAGTACAGTACTGGAGGGTTTACCGGCGCCAGAGGGCCCATATCGACAGGCAATCGCTGTCCGCCATGAGTTTTGGCGGTTTAGAACTAGAGATTAAGGTTGAAGATTACTCAGCACTGTCCATAGTAGTGATTATATATTTAATCACAGAACTCTCAGCACAGACTTTCAAGGTATTAAAACGGGAGCATCTGCAATTCAGAGATGCTTTAATAAATATAGGTGTGAAACTATCAACAGTGTTTGTGCTTGTGACTATGGCACAGTACATAACTTAGTTGATAGTCACGAAAAGAAGTTTAGATATCGTCCATCTCCAAAGACTTGGACTAAACTTGAACTAGTATTCTTTTAATCAAGCGTTCCGGTCCTTATTAATCAACTATACGCTCGTATAATAAATATCCTGATCAAATAGCGCGATCCGAGCTGTTCGAAATAAGCGGGGCCGAGCGCTTTCACCAGTTTCAGCCTTCCTCTAGCAGTCACTAGGAGATTGAGCGAGTTCCTTTGTCCATTGTCAGTTCAATTTCTTCTTGGAATCTATATCCTGGGAAGACTCACGCATCGGAAGGATTTTGGACCAGTTTCCCAGCCATCGCAGTACCACTGAGGACTCTGGTTGAGTGATCCACAATGCTCGTCAGTGTAGTAAGTACACGTGTAACAAAGCTGCGCGCCGCTGATCTGAGTCTTTCCATCGAGAGCAACAGAGTGCACCTCCCAAACGTCACTTGAACAAGTATTGGGCCCGATAGTGCCGCCGTTGGAGTACTCGGTACAAGTTGAGCCTGACTGGCCGCCGAACGTTTGGCACCCGTCGTAGTCGCCTTCGTAGATGCGGTAGTTAGTGTCACCCTGTGCTTTGCAGTCGTCGGCGTTCTTGTACGCGGTCACTATTGGGGTATTAGCAAGTAGAATATATATGTTGCTGGGCATGTGGCAACGTACAGACGTAGCCTTGAGAGAGAGCGGCTAGGCCGCTGACGATGGCAAGAGACAAGAGCATTCTGTTTCGAGGCTTGTGGAGTAGCCGAGAATTAAGATGAAATGAAATTTGTGTTGCTTGTTTTGAGTGACTAACAGTAGTGATGCGCCAGGCCTCTTTATATAGATATCAAACTTCGCATGGATGCAGTCCTCCATACTATACCAGGAGTCAACTCCTCCCTTGGTATCAACGAACGAATACACACGTTACAACGCAAATCCAAGGTAATCAAGCACTAAAGTTTGCAAAACGGCAATGGTTCACCGTAGCAGTGCATGTCGCTCATAGATCCTACAAACTTTGTACATCCTTCGGCTTTACGGGATACAAGACTTGTAAAGCCGATTTACAAAGCCGACTTGATGGCGAACTCACCAATCAGGCATTATGAAGGACAGGGCAGTGGGCCAAGATTTGCAGATCTTCTGCTAGGAAGGGTACAGAAGATTTGCCGAGTTATGAGAGGATTATTGTGAGATCCTTTGAGAGTATAGTCTGCCAGGGTTGGAGTTCCACGGCAGCGGGTCTCATCTGGGTATCGGGCCGGTCTAGCGGCCATATTTCGGCAGATGGATTAGTAGCACAACGTCTGAACGACATATCTGAGAATGCAGGGATCTCAAGTTGAGCCTAATCTCACTTATAGTCAGATCACTACTACAACCAAACTCAAGAGTCTTCATGTTACCAGATCGCCACCGGCATATATAACGCTAAGTAAAAAGAGCCTTCGCGTTACTTCTTTTTTTTCTTCCTCGAATTAAGGTGCCTCATGCAAGCCCGGACGGCTCGTCGCATATTCTGAGGGGTGAGTGGTAATATCACTTGGAAGCTCAACTTTGGTTTCCAAGGGATAGAACTGATGCTGTTGATTCTGGGTCTCCTCTGTTCCCTTAACATTCTTCCTGCCTTTCCCAAATCGCCGCCAGACAAGAAGTCCGATACCGCCGAGAATCAGTAGACCACCAATAATAGCGCCAGCGGTTATACCTGCCGTCGCTCCTTGAGATAGTCCGGACCCTGATTTTGTAGATGAGGTGGATGAGATGGTTGAGGCGGTTGAGGTAATTGAGGTAGTTGAAGTGTGCTCAGTATCTGTCTCTGATCCAGCCGTCGATGTCGATGTGTGTTGTCCAGAGGCTGAAGTTGCGAGTCCCAGTCCAGTGGCTGTTGCTGACACACTACCAGATGTAGTCTCATCAGCCTTGGATGAACTGACATTAAAGTAGTCCGACCAAGCGACGCGGCCCTGACTGGACTTAAAAAGCGTGAACCAGTAAACAGAGTCCTCGTTACCCTCTGCTAATCCAAGATAGTCATACTCAGCCAGCCAGTACCTTGGATTCGCCGATCCATTTCCTACGCACCATAAATTAGTAAAATGAGTGCAGAGTTGAGAGATTTGTAATGTCATACTAGCTAACGATCTGTAGGCGCTGACCCCATTAAGAGGAATTTGATAAATCTCGATGGCAATTTGGTCGATGTCTGTCTCGTACTTGATCTGGATCTTATCGCCTTGCTCATAACGTTTGTTTTTGGTCATATCTGTATCTGAAGGCTGCTTGGAGCTCGATTCTGGTGGTTAGATGAATTTGGAGTCACAGCAGGCCAGGCTGGCAACTCCAAGAACTGTTAAAGCAAAGGTTGTTATCACATGCATGGCGATCGGGTTCCAATTGTATGTTGCCAGATAGGTTGTCTACAGTGACAACAGATACTGAAAGGATTAGAAATGCTCTAATAATTTACAACAGCCAGCACTTGCGATTTTAACTTCTTTAACTACCAGGCCGAACCAAGTGGGCTGTTGAATGAACTAGGGCTGAATTTCGGGTATCGGCATTCCGTAATAAGCTTAGTTAAGTCTAAATGGTTGCAATATGATGATCTGACATCATTTGCAAACGTTGATTTAAATAAACATATTAAACCCGGATCCATTACAAGACGGCTTATATGTAACCAATTATGAAAGCCTTTACGTTATTCTATAGTAGCGTTTATATAGACTTTTGTAGAAACAATAAAGAAGTCGAATTTCCTGTCAATATTCCTTTATCTTCGGATCTTAAAAAAAAAGGCCGGGGCGTCCGTATCTAAACTGGGCTAATACTTATCCAACCAATCAGGTAACAATTCCCTGGTACATTATCCTTAGCTGAACAGACCGTACCAGGATATGAAACAAGATCGACCAGCTCATGTCTACATTCAGCAGGGGGCGGAAGACAAGCGGAAAAGGGCCGCTAAAGGATCAATTACCCTAAGTTCTACAAAGGGGCTTGGAGATAAATAACTCTATTAAAAGGAGAAGTATATATAAATATTACTAACATTGATGAAATGAACTTTAAAACGCCTTAACGTATGGCCTTTAAGGTCGTTAATAACTTGTTGGTTACTGAGACGGTTGTCGGACAAGCAGCTCAGCGATCGCGTTTCTCGCCATGAAGCTCTCCTCGTATCTCAGTATGTCCAAGTTAACCCAGGGATCAGACATCGACTTCCTTGGGAAGTGAACACAACCAATTCCTGTCCAAACCTCATCGCATTTCAATCCCAGACCAACAGGAAGGAATTCTTGAACAGATGGGGTCTGCCCAACGTGAGGCGACGGGATATTGCGGAGGTTGAGCATCCATCTATCCGGCGGAGGCGCGTCGGTGACGATTTTCTCAGGAACGAACTCAAACTCGACCATCTTCCTTCCAGCAGGCCTCTCCGTGCTGCCGGTGACAAGCCGGGTACCTGTAAACTCTTGAATAACACTCTTTCCCAGGACCTTGGGAAAGCCAAGAAGCTCGCGACCAGCGAAAATCGCGGCGTCGTTGTCAAGAATGAAGAGAAGGTTATAGTGGAACCTGTTGCCCTTGTAGATAACCTCTACTTGATGAGCATATTCAGTGTAGGACCCAACAGGGCTCATTCCGTAGCTGAGAAAAAGCGAGGTCATAAGCGGCTCTTCCTCGAGTTCGAGAACATCCGGGACAAGATGGGCGACCTGAGATGCGGCAACGCGATACGAGATGCCGACTGCAGTAGTGTTCGTGAAGATTCCTCTTGCTCGTGAGTATGATGGGGTGAATATAGGCATTGATTCGCCATTCAAAGGTAACGTTCCGTTAGGCATGATTGTGGTGGGTTTGTGCAGTCTCAGGCGGTTGGGAATGTCAATAGAGATGTGTGAAAGCTTGTATGGAAAAATGCCCAAGTTCCCAAAATGAGATTGTGAGGTTTATTTAAATAAATTGTTTGCCATACTGATATGTCTTCTCCAGTAAACCAGCAGCCCTCACGTTGATGCCGTTCGTTGTGTTGCCCGCACACCTCACCTTATTAACCTCATGATTTGCTGACGTTGCCTGCAGAGGTTAGTGGGGTTAAATGTTTTCTTGGTAGGCTGATCGAAGAGTTCTCATGAGTCTGATCAGCCCATCATATTTACGTAGCGTCTGGGGCATGTGTACCTCGGCTCGCGAAAGTCACACCATCACGAGTCTGTCACGATAAACGAATACGCTAGATGCCATGCACCGTATCTAAGACACTGATCTTTAGACGACTGGTCTAAAAGACTATCATATTAGATGACTGGGAAGGGTGTGTGAGTCGCGTAAAATTACTGAACGGTGTTGCAATCGGAGAAGATTTAATGCAAAATGTATAAAGCTTTTGGACTTTGAAGTCAAGTCAACACTTGAAGGCTTAAACTACATTACTACACAGCATTTATACTTACCATTTATCAAATACACAAGACACAAAATAGCAACACGAGCTTTTATCGAGTTTTTTCCCCAAGATTCCAGGGTGATCAGAAGCTTCATAGAGGGTCGCTCGTGATGACCCCTCTTATCACGTTATGCATGCATCTCTCCCCGAAGGTCCCGATCAATCTTTTCTCCCTGCTTCAATCAACGTGGTCCAATTTCCACTGGATGCATGAAGCCTTTTTCAATTCACAAGGATGGCGCGTCCTTCTTTCGATAAGACCTCACAACACAGGCGGCGGCAGAATGCCTTGTCGCAGCGGAACTATCGTATGTTTCACTTGTCAGTCATGCACGTGGCTAACAGCCTGAACAACAGGCACGCGGCAAAAGAATAGGAGACGCATGCTGGAGAATCTAGCCATCTCTAGCATCATTTTGCCATCTACCATGGATGTCTCATACATGCACAGCGTGGCAGCGGCGCCGCAGAACTATCAACACCGAGCCGCCGGACCAAGTCAGTTGGCAAAGGCCATCCGCCCTACTATCGTCGATGCGGACTGTCACAATTCAGAAATCGCGACGGCATTTACAGCCTCGGACTTCTTCTCTTGCATTGATTCCTGCCCAGAAAGGGAACGTCGTACCTTTTTCCTGCTGATGACGAAAGAGCTCTTTGGTATCCGGGATATCATCAAATATGGTCTCATCTTCCTAGGATATCCCGTGAGCTCCACACTTTACAACAGCGCCATGAATCTTCCGATGAACCAATGGCTTCAAGACATTCAGAAAAGTCTAGGCAGCTTTGATCTCAGAGCCGCAACAAAAGCCGGTATTAGTGTTTTAGGAAGATTGAACATACCGTCGGGACATAATTCCAGGATTCAAGAGATAGTGACATCCCCATTAAATCACTTCCAGCCCAAAGATTACATTCTTCTCTGTCGAGTTTCGTTTGTGTCGGCTGTTTCCATGAATGCACGACATCTGGGGATTCAATGGCAGGACCTCATATCTTTTGATTCCAAATCGCCATTTCCATGCTTAAGAGAGAAGTTCATACAACAAGAACTATTGGATGACGGCGAAGAAACTACCGAGCAGGCAGTGCAAAAGCGTCTGATACTCAAAGATTACTTTAAGAACATACATTCAGACCTTGTGCCTACACAGGCACAGCTAACCATGGCTCATCACCCGACACTGGATCTCATCCCATGGCCGAAGTTTCGTTCCAAAGCCATCACTGCAGTACACTCGGCCCCCCCATTGATTGATAGAGAGGATTTCTGTCTTGACTTACTCAACGACGGTCTTCGATGCTGGGGCTTTGCAAACGGGACCTCTTTGCCCTCTGCGGCGCCATGGGACGCTCAGAACTGGGAAGCAGCGCCGTGGTTTCTGGAGAAGTGGGAGCATCTCACTGAGGGGAGAGACGGGGATGAATGGAAGATAAGTGCACGGTGGTGGTCTATGGGTGCTAGGTCAAGTGTATTATAAAGAGCCAATACAAGCCTATTTTGACCTGTGTTTGGAGAGAATGAGCAGGCCAGAAACACATCATGACTATTCTGCCGAGGTAAGTAAATCTTATCAATTTAATCATGACACCGCCAAGACCTGCAATCAACGTTTCCTGCATTAGTGCTAAAAGTATGTCACGCGATATGCATATAACGTCACGTACAGCAGCCGAGGTATTGGAATTTGAGTAGTATTCATTGCTGAAGCTTGAAAGACCTTGAGAAATCGAAAGAGTTCTTCGGCCCGAATTCTCTGCCAGTACAATCTGTTACTATTTGGGCCAAAGAAATGGCGCCATAAGCCAAGTTGTTCGGGTGCATCTTGACTATAGTGAATAAACCCAGTCTTTCAAGGCCGATGTATATTTAGGAACGATATCCAGTATTCTTTTGCCGTGTTAGCAGACATCATCACATATCTAACTACAACATACTCACTCACATCCATCATGCAAGCATTCCAATACGGCGGCCCAGAATCTCCTTTTGCCCTTCAAACCCTTCTCATCCCTAAGCCAAAACAGGGCCAGGCCCTCATCTCAGTCAAAGCAGCTGGCCTTTGTCATACCGACGCCCACTATGTTGATGGACACGGTATCTCTATGCTAGGATCTCTTCCAATTACTCTTGGCCACGAAGTAGCCGGAACTGTCGTCAAGCTCGGATCAGAGCCATCACCAGTTCAAATCGGTGATCGCGTGGTAGTTGCCCTCGTAGCTCATCCCGTTGAAAAGTCAACTCGATCCACGACGATTGGGCTAGGCTACGACGGCGGCTATAGCGAATTTGCGATAGCTCATTATGAACACCTGGTCAAGATTCCAGAGGGAGTGTCGTTCCCTCAAGCAGCTGTTGCCACGGATTCTATCTCCACAGCATATCACGCGGTGGTAGTGACCGCTGGGGTCAAGGAGGCAACAACTGTCGCAATAATTGGGATCGGTGGCCTCGGCCTCAACGCAGTTGCGATATCTGTATTGCAAGGTGCAAAGGTCTATGGCATTGATATCAACGAAGATAAATATGACGATGCAAAGAGTTTGGGAGCGGTTGCGTGCGCTTCCAGTCTCGCAAGTTTCTCCGATATTTCATTCGATGCCGTGGTCGACTTTGTTGGAACTACAGCAACAATTTCTGCTGGAATTACGGCTGTCAAAAAGGGTGGCACTATTGCGATGGTTGGCCTGAATGGACAGGGCGTGGAGGTCTCGTCGTTGTTGTTAGTTACAAAGAGTATCAGTTTGAGAGGCTCATTTGGCGCATCGAAGGAGGAGTTGGTGGAGGTGTTAAAGTTGATTGACGCTGGAAAGATCGTGCCGAAGTTGACAGAGGTCCCGTTTTGGGATGTACCAAAGGGTTTGGAGGATATAAAGAAGAACATGGTTGAGGGCCGTTTGTTTGTCCGCCCCAGTCTGGAATAGAAAGATACTCCAGATGAGCTTTATAGTGTAAATCTTCCTAGCTCTATTTAACATTTCTGGGCATTGCCTGTCTGCCTTACAAGAGGGTCAATTCTTGTGCTCCGACGGTCCATTCATGACCACTATCGCTAGTCGGTTTCAAGACTCGGACACCAGACGAAGCTAATCTAAGAAGCTTGTGGGAGTCATGATCGATTTACGAGTTTATTAGTCTATTACTTCTAAACGTACATAGGTGATAAAAGGTTTCCGACTTCTTTCCGTGCATGTAACAACAGTTAAACTAAGTTAGAAACAGTAAGCCTCCCTAAACAACCTGTCATCGGCAAAACTGGTGGACACCGTGTATTCTATGTCATCTCAAGCCCAGTATATATCTCTATTGTGTTTAATTAAAGCGAAACCGTGCTTGTAGCTACAGTTCAACCTGAAAGTGAGTCCGAAGTCTCTCCCCGTAAGTGTAAAAGATCCATGGAACAGGAGTAAAAGCAAGGGTTATAAAGCCAAGGACGCTGTTACCCCAACCCAACCCAAGCTTGGAGTACAGAGGCTCGGCTGTGAGGTCAAGAAAGGCTCCGAATGGCGAGCGGACCAACAGATTGGCCGCCATAGCAGACGCAGCTGCCTCGGCTCCAAACGAATCAACCAGGTAAATCTGACCAGGGATGACGACAAAAAGGGAGCCAAATCCCACAATGAACGTACCGATGATAGGGACGATCCAGTGAACACCATTTTCTGTTGTCCAGCCATAGATGAAAAGGCCAAGTGGAGTAATTGGGCCGAGCCATTTCATGAGAAGAAGACGATCCTCTGGCCTGGGAGCTGCATTCTCGCCGCCCTTCTTGCGACCGAGGAGCTTATCGCTGAGGACAGAGAACATGAGTAGGCCTAGACCCATGCCGATTCCAAGACCAAGATATGCGAGTCCGGCGACACCTGGGTTGAAACCGTAGACATCTTGAAAGACGGAGGGGAAGGTGGTGAATAGGAGGAAGATGAGCCCGAAGAGGATTCCGGTGTAGAGAGACACCAAGAGCACGATTGGGGAGAAGATGAGCAGCTTCAGTGGCCGCACAATGGCGCGTGCCAGCATTTGGCCGGGAGTCTCATCTCTGCTCAGCTTGGCGACGAGTTTCTCGTTGCCGGTTTGTTTGCGCATTCGCAGAGCTTTCTTTTGCAGGATGACGGTGTAATTTGTTTCCTTCATGAGGGCAAATGTGACAATAGCGATAATTCCAGACTATGGCGACTGTTAGGAAATAGGATTCTTTACAGATAGAGCTGTGACCTACCAAAATGAGGAGGATGCGAAATGTCCATCGCCACCCAACATTCTCGGAGACGAATCCTCCAATGATGGGACCAATGACCTGACGACAAGTTAGGCAGTGTATTTTAATACAGTTCGTGAATGGAGCAAGACTTACAGGTCCAAGAAGCGGTCCAACAGTGAATAGAGCCATGGCCTTTCCTCGCTGCTCCTGAACGAACAGATCTGCGACAGTGCCTCCACCAATGCTCATGGGACCCGAGGCAGCGCATCCAGCGATGATACGAAAGACGAGAAACATGGCGACATTTGTGCTGAAGGCACAGCCAAATGTGAAGGCAATGTATACCAGGTTACAAAAGTAATAGACGATAAGACGCCCATATAATTCTGACAGAGGTGCGAGCAGGAGTGGACCTAGTGCGAAGCCCAAGACGTAGAGACTGACTGTCATGGCTGTGACTGTGGAGTTGGTGATGCTGAACTCATCGGATAGTTCAGCTGCTCCTGGAGCAAACATTGTCGCAGCCAAATTTCTGATTGACAGTTAGTGGCATGTTCATCAACACAGTTGGAACAATGGTGCGGTGCTTACGCTGCAAGAGTGAACAGACTCACAATGCCAACATGGAGATTCTTCTGGGCCTTGGACCAATTGAGTGGATGTTCAGGATCATCAGGTCCATCCCAGTCAACAACATTGGGATTTGGCTGAGGCTCATCAACCATTGTTCCAGTCGGTGACAAAGGCTTCTCTTGAGCCTCATTCCCAATATCCTCCCGATTACCAGTCTCCAACTGATTATCCTGAAAGCCTGATTGCGACATGGTTGCTGTGGCCAGAAAAAAACAATGGGGAGTATTTCCTGTTTGGACCGATGTGTCGATTATAAAATGTGATATTTCTTACTGGGATGATAACGCAACAGTCGATACGTGCATGCTGCATGCGACGTGAAACTTGATGGTCTAGAGTGGATCTGCAAAACAAAAAACCTTCTCGTGAACATTTGAGATGGTTTGTTATATGAATGCGGGATATGATGTGTGTGGGTACCCTGTAAGCTGAGTGATGTTATGTCTGCAGGACTGGGCTGGAGCATCGGGCCGGACATGGGAGGGGACGGAGGATCGGAGCGGAGGATCGGAGCGGATGATGAACGGATCCGGGGAACAACAGGGATTGTGCGTCAGATGCAGGACAAATACCGTAACTTGGCTTATGCCTTCTGGGTTAGAATCTTACTCTGTCAGCACATTATTTCTCAACGTGAAAATTAGTTTGTTCCGACACTCCACGGCCACTCTTCCCTCCGTTTGTTTACATTTCGCGTCCGAAATTATTCGTCTATCAATCATTTCCGTCCCTGAAACCATGGCGGACCAGGAATCGCGTGAATGGGGCCCCGGGAAAACACCGCAGGGCCGGGCTCGTCTACCCTCGAGCAGACCGCGCGAAAAGCCGCAGCTGTCATGCAACCTGTGTAGAAGGAGAAAGTACGTAACTACGATCTGCACTTTGCCGTCTCTCTTTTCCGTTCCTCTCCGCTTTGACGCAAGCGAATATCCTCCCCCGCCCCCCACGGTGCTGACGTTTCTGCCCTATTTGTAAGACTACGATGTGACCGCCAAAGACCCTGCAGCAGCTGTGTACAACGAGAGCTGGGCCTGTCGTGTACGTACGCCTCTGATAGGGTGACAAGCAGCGGTGCGGCACACCAGCCTCGTGTCACCACACAGGACCGCATCCGCCACCTCGAGAGTCTTGTGTTCGATCTGATGCAGCAGTCTTCCGTCAACCACGGCCCGCACGGAGGAGGAACACCTGGCTCCCCCGTGGACACGCCTGTCACTTCACCCGCCGATTATGGAATCATGCAGTCTGCGGGCGGAGGCGCCAAGTACGTGGGAAGTTCGCACTGGGCTGCTGTTCTCGACGGGATTGCCGAGCTCAAAGATCACTTCGATAACGAGGAGGACATGTCGCATCCTGATGTCCAGGGCGTTGAGTCCCCGGGTGCGGAGAATACTGGCCCCCAGTTGCTCTATGGCTGTCCCAAGCCCGCTAACAAGGACGAGATACTGGCGTCGATCCCTACCCGCCCGGTAGTAGACCGATTGGTCTCACGCTATTTTAACTCTTTCGAGATGTCACCCGGTTAGTCTTGCCATCCAATCCAACTTTATCGTCCAACTACCATGCTGACACCCCGCGCCTCAGCTGTACTGCATAGCGTGCAATTCCTCAAAGATGTACGGAAGCACAACCCTATCGCCTTATTCAGACTGACTAACCCATAATGATCGTAGTACGAAGACTTCTGGGGCGATCCATCTGCAGTGTCGCCCCTTTGGTTGGGCCTTTTGTTCACCATTATGTGCTTGGCAACCCAATTCGAAAAGTTCCGCCTCGACCCTGGCGTGCAGTCCCCCGCGGCTCTGTCCATGGAGAGAGATCTCCAGAAGATGGCGGATACGTACAGGCTACGGATTGGCCAATGCCTGGTTCTAGGCAACTACACCAAAGGCGGTCCGTACGTGCTGGAGACGCTTATGCTGTACATTGCCGCTGAGCTGTTTTCGAGCACGGACGCCGAGATTGACATTTGGATCCTGACGGGGAACACGGTTCAGATTGCCTTGCATATGGTAAGCTCAGGGTATTCTATCCATAGCGTATGCGTTGACTAACGCGTCACTAGGGCTATCATCGAGATCCGAAGCATTTCAAGGGCATGTCCTCTTTTGCGGCAGAAATGCGGAGAAGGGTCTGGGCGACTCTTGTCGAGATGGACCTTGGCCTTTCTGCTCAGATGGGACTGCCAAGGATGATCAAACAGTGGCAGACTGATACACAAGAGCCGTCTAATCTTCAAGACAGTGACTTTGACAAGACCACGGTTGAGATGCCCCCTTCAAGGCCGGACACGGAACTGACGCCGATTCTTTACCGTCTTGTAAAAGCAAGATTGATGACAACTGTCGGGTATATCTGGGACTTTGCGGCTGATGTCCGACCGTACACATATACGGAAGTCGAGAGAATGGACAACAAGCTGAATGAAGCACGCAAGTCAATCCCAGACTGTCTCAAGTGGCATTCCTTCGCCCGCTGCATCACGGACTCGCCGCAGAACATTATGCAAAAGGTTGTTCTAGAGACCTTATTCTACCGCGCAAAGATCGTTCTCCACCGAAAGTTCATGTTCGGCCCCCCAGCAAACTCGGCTGATTCTAAACGCATTGTCTTGGAGTCAGCACTCAAGCTTCTGGATTACCAACACATGCTGCAAGAGGAGACACAGCCCTTCTGTCAGCTCTACCAAGAGAGGTGGAGGGTTTCTTCATTGGTCAACCATGATTTCTTGCTAGCTACAAGCATTCTGTGCTATTACCTGCAGAACACGAAACGCGAGGGCATGCAGGATTCTGAGTCAGCGCCGATGGACGACGCCATTCTGGCGTCCCTTAGAAGATCTTATGATATCTGGTTGCAGTCGAGCGATTCATCTAAAGAAGCCAGAAAGGTTGTGAAAGCACTGACTGTGGTTCTTGGAATCAGCAATACTTCAGGTACGGATTCAGGGTTCGACTCGAGCATGTCATTCGGCGTTCCTTCGGGGTATGCATCATCCACCATCCACGACTATCAATCAGGTACGTTGACCAGGCACTCACCAAAGAGGGAGAAGGGCAGCGCAGTGTTCAAGCTGACCGACCGAGTGATAGAGTTTCCAGCCGGTCTTGGCTCACAGTTTCCAGTGCTTGATGGCACGATGATGCCGAACTGGGCCACGTTTGCGGATGATTTGCTGGCTGCACCGATACCTACCCCGAGTAATGAGTGGCAGGCAATGGATGGTAAGTCAACCTTGAGGGTCCCCTGTACTTTCAGGGTTTAATGATTAGAGCTGTAGAGACGGTGGATACAATGGGGTCTTTGGCATGGCCATGGAACCTGCAATGACATGCATGGGGGGAAGTGGATATTGAGAATCTAGACTGAGAGGATCTTTTCGGCTACAGAGGGTGAGAATGGTTAATTGCGTGCTAAACCTGTAATATTCGGCTATTTGTTGAGCAATTGCCAGGGTTTGAGACCAACCATTACGATAGAAACTGTCACCGTGACAGTTTGGACATGCCTGGTTCGTATACGAAAACCAGTAACGAATTCGACCGCCCGTATCTCCCCTCTAGCTCAGCACTGTGCCTCGTGAATGCGGGCCGTCCCGAAACGGACGAGTGACGAAAAGGTGCTGGGCTGTCAGCGGAAATGCGTCCTGTCACCCCACGCCAAGTACGGAAGTGATGAACCAAGGTTGAATGCTATAGAGTAAGCAGAGATATTAACAGACAGGCTCATGATGTGATCAGACATCCGCCCAAGCGAGAATTGCGAAAAATGAAGAGGGACCCGCCTGCAGGTGATGAAATGTAAAGCACAGCCCTTGATGGATGGACAGGGGCCTATCAAAATGGATCTTCTTATCTACGGCGCAGTTCTTGTAAGCGACAAACAGGAGATTCCGGAGCCGAAGTGACTCCTGTGTTGGAGTCAATTTTCGACTTCTACTGTGACAAGATTTCGAGAACAGAAGGCTCCGGCTTTTGCTTGTCAACGACTAAACCAAGTTGCCGTTAGCGGCGGCAGATCTACGTCTTACGCGTACCTAGCTAAGCCCATGAATTCCAGACAGGGATAGACTACGGTCATTGTCGCGTCACTGGCCGTCTTGGCACTACAACGTCGACGACAGAGAATGCGGGCTGCCGTAAGCAAGCTTCTTGGCGTGCATTTGCGGGACGGGACAATACTGAACCAGAGGGACATAGCATAGCGCAATCTCATATGCTATGCAAGTTCGGGAGTACCGTATGACCCATGGGGATTGCCCCATTGGACCGGGGCAGAGCACTTTGCTTCCATAAAACAAGGCTGTGTATGGAGCGGGGGTCTAAGCGGCAATTTGTGTCAAGACCAAGACACATTAGTCGAGGGCATCCTTCGCATCGAATCCGAGAGCATCTTAAATGGCACATTATGGATTGATCGGTCGTGACATATTAACCGGATGGTGTACTGACAGGTGCGTCATTACCAGGATATAGCTCAAGAGCATATCTCAACCTTCTCAAAAGAGGGGTCCGAGCAACACCTACGAATAGACGAGCTGAGAGATCAGGCAAACAAACTTACATATTGTTTCATCCTTCATCGCAAATATGATATCAGCCCAGCGTCGTATCTTTACATAAGCACTCAGCGGCAATTATGTATTCTCATATGTCAGCCCAACACCTGCAACCTGTCATCTTTGAGTTGAGTCGCACCAGGAATTATGCTTGTAGTATACCTAAGTTTTCAGCGCTCGGTTACTGCACCCTTTCCCCTTCCAAGGATTGCCATCCTCGCTCCGCCGTCAGAGAATGGTCTGAGGCCTTTAGAATGCTGACCACCATTTTCCTTGCCAACAATGACTGCATGCATAAACCTTGCCTCGCATCCTTCTCGAGAGGGAAAATCGTCAAGCTGCGAAGCAGCTTCTCTGCCAAACCGGCAAGGATTAGTTGAGACTTTACAGGCAAAAGTCCTTTGCTGGCTTTGTCTTCTCTGGAACAATTATATAGGGAGTTCCCATATACCTGATAGCCAGGCCACAAAAAGCTGCTGCTGTTACACACCTTTACGACCTTATTGGTGTCTGTGACGTTTTCGTTTCCTTTTTGTCAATGCCCATGTCGGGTTCGTGCAACGTTTGAGTCAAAGCCAAGTTTTGAGCTTGACAGCACAGAAACCTTCTCTTCACGGTTACCGACACTTTGGTTGGGCATATAGCATATCATAACGCAATGTCAACGCGTAACAGCCAGTCCATCCGGTCCAGCTGCGACCGATGTCGCTCGCACAAGCTCAAATGCACTGTTTCTCCAGAAAACTCACGCTCGGGGCCCCATAAATGCACGAGATGCATCAGGGCACAAGTGACATGTGTCTTTGGTCCGCGGAGCCAATCAAAGCGAAGCTCCCATAGTAAGAGCAAACCCGAGAAGCCCAGGCCTGAACTCGAGCCTCCGCAGAAAGGTTCACCGCCCACCTACTCATCGTCGCTTGCTGGGATGAACCTGGGTTCGCCTGGGACTTGGACCCCGTGGATCGACGAGCTTGCGTGCCAGGAGACAGAGGAGCCACAGGGTATTGATGTCAACACGGCTGGTGACGGCTCAGGTCTGAGTGATGGGGATTTCTGGGCAGATTTGGGGATGGGTCAAGAGTTAAATATGTTGGAGCTTGACCCGTCTGCCATGCCGACAAACACCTATCACGCGCAGTACTCGGCTGCTTTTGATCACGTTGCACCACCGGTGACCGAGGCTGGGCACTTGATGGACATATCGGAGTCCTCGGAGCACACTCCGCCACATGCCATTGTGCAGCTGTCGACTCTTGTAACAAAGATCCACGAGACCTCAAAGTCGCTCGAAGAGTACCCGTGGTCTAATTTTCCCGACGCAAAACAGCTGCAAAACTACCCAATTGGCCGCGTATTGAGCCTATCTCAAGATTTCTGCTCCATCCTCAGCTGCATCTGGGGTAAGAGTTCCATCCCCTCCGACGGGCGGTCATCAGGAAGCGGAAGTTCCCCAACCCCGTCGGCAGAGATGCTAGATTATGCCGAGGTAATGTCATCTATCAGAATGACACAAGATCCAACCACGAGCTCCTCCATGGCCGCTTCGGTCGACATGCCGACGACGCTACTAGTTCTGAGCTGCTACACATCCCTCATCAAGCTCTACAGCCTTGTGTTTGCTCATTTCCAGAACCACCTCTCTCATCTCCCTGAAACTCCGTCCCCGTACCCTTCCCAGACGGCGCTGGCCTCTCATAGGTGGGGCTTGCAGCTCGGAGAACTGCCCTCCGCGGACGAGACGTGCACCAAGATTTGCACCGCCGTCCAGGTTCTCCTCGATGCGCTTCAGTCCGTGGAAGATGTCGTTGGTTTTCCACGGTCCATCAGCGCTGTGAGGCAGAGGACATGTGATATGAAGGGGCTAGACTTTAGCGCTGAGCTGGGGGGGACGTCGCTTTGGACTGATTATATGTTGCATTTTGTTGTCAGGTCGAATACCATTAGGGCTGATACTGAGGAGTGTGAGGAAATGAGGGAGTTGTCAATGAAGGTTAGATCACTCAAGGCGTTGATCAGAGAAAAGATGAATCTTTAACAGTATAGGTTAGATGATATACTAAAGGTATAAGAATGTCTTTCATAGAGTAGATATCTAGGTTACAAATTAAACCGTCTAATCTCAAAGGTATTCAGTAGATGTTCAGTCATGGGTAGCGGCTTCGGAGTTGATCTAATGGCGCGCTCTCGCCTTTACTTTGCAATCAGGACAGGACATCATCCTAGAATCACCTCTTACTTCCAATCTACAGACTCTCGCAGACCAGAACCTTAACCATACTCAGTTTTAGCTCACACGCTGCTGGTCTATGTATTCATGATTGTCAATTACATTTCTCTATCTTACTTCTATCGCTAGATAAGGAGCTCAGAATCAATCCGAGCTCCTACTCAAAAAGTGACATATCTCAAGATCCGGCGATATCAAGTATAGATGCAACGTAAAGTTTCTACAGGAAGCAACCTGATGGCTTTCGTCTCCCGGCATATCAATAAATACCCAATTTTGTTAGTCATTTCTTACATTTAACTAAGCCAAGAACCTTCTTTTCAATTGCAATGCAAGTTGTCATTTCTTGAAGCCTGTACCCTTCCATGAAACGACCTTAACTTAGTGACGTTTGCTGAATCCTGAAGGTGGAAGTTTAGTCTGGAGCCGTCCATATATGGAACGGCTCAACAACAGAAAGGCTGCATGATTCATTTCATCATGGAATTTCCTCCATTATTCTCCGCTGACTTGGAATCAGAACCTTGTCCAGGGCAGTCGTCCTAAGGCTGAAGGACACCAGCGGCTTACCGTCACTGCCGGCTCACTCACATCGTTAGTCTATCGCCACCCGCAGCCACTTCTTCCTTTCGGAGAATTAATGACGATCAGGCCTGCGTCACCAAGACGGATGTTGCCACTGCCAAGAGCACAGTCCAATCTCCGTGGACTTTTGTCTCCGATGCCAAGTCTTACATACAGCCTTAAATCACCGAAAAAGCCCGACAGTCACTGCAGGGTATTACTAATTACCGTGCCATTTTGCAGGCAAGGCAGATTTGTTTTAGCAAGGCCGTATTTCCCAGGAGCTGGGCACTTTAGTGCCTTGGCAGTCGAGTCCTTATGAAGTTTCGGGAAAAGTGTGTCTGTGCGTTGATATGAGACGAAATGAAATAGAAGCACCATGTTAAAGCTCGAGCTATCTTGTGTAATTCAAGTCTCGATTTGAAATACAAGTTTCTTTCCAGAAATTCTCTTCTCTCTGATATCCTCAATACCGCCAAGGACCTCTGCAAGACCTCCCTGTTTGACAACGATAGGATGGGGTCTGATCAGACCCTTGTCTAAGAGTCTCCGTAGAACAGCCGTCCAGTAAACACCAAATTCTCCCATCTCAGCATTGGCAGCTCTCCAATGAGGCTCCGGCCAGCAAATCTCCTTACCCAACATCTGCGGCCCCATGATCCAGTCTGGTTTGACAACCTTGCGCGTTCGCGCCACTGCCTCAGAGTATGGCTCTAAAGCCGTGTATTTACCGCCAGCGCGGCCGATGGCTTGGTAGCAGAACTGCATGCTTGACGTCGTAGAGATGCAGTCCAGGGCATACTTGATCTTATTCTTGGTGTGCTTTCTGATATCGGAGGTGCAGTTGGGGTCTTGGTAGTCAAAGACAGCGCAGGCGCCGTATGACTTGACGAGTTCGAAGTTGCGAGGGGAACATGTGGCGATGGGCTCAAAGCCTGCAAGTTTGACGAGCTGAACAGCTGCGGTCCCAGTGGCTGATGAACCGCCGTACACCAAGACTGGCATTGGCTCAGTGGCTGGCTCAAGGGGGTTGCCAGGTAGACCTAGGCTCTTGAACAAGGCCAGACCAGTGGTCATAAAGCTGATGCCCAGAGACGCACCCTCCTCGAAGCTAAGATGAGGCGGGATCTTTAACAGAATCCACTCCACAGCAGCAGTGTACTCAGAAAAGGCACCAACATGAGGGTCAAGAGGGTTCATCCCCATGATGGCAGTACAAACACGATCTCCAACATGGATATCGCACTTGGTCGCTTCAGGTCCAACCTGTTCTACGACGCCTGCAAAGTCAAAGCCTGCGACTGCGCCGGGCGTGACGTATGGCCCGATCATCTTTGTGTCGACGGGATTTACCGAAACAGCTTTTGTTTTGATCAGGACTGAATCCCCAGTGATATCTGGGACTGGCTCTGTCTTGGAGAGGCGAATGCCTCCCTCTGGAGTGCCAACCAGGGCTGTCTGGAGACGTTGGACCATATGGGAAGAGTGACAAGAGAATATTATTAGATCCAAAGTTGGTTCTTAGTGAGAGTTTCTTGATTCGGCATGATGAGGGCATAAGAAGGCATGTATTTCATATTCCGCGACCGTAGCAGTCTCGCAAGTTGGTCCCCGAAACAGTTCGGGAGGCGCCGCACATCACCGCATACCGAAAATGTCCGAGAACGGATTCAATAAAGTCGGAAATTTCGCCTCTTGATGCGGGAATGACATGATGTAACCAAGTCACCCGTTGGAATTGAGTATGAATCCTTATTTGTTCGAACATGCACTATGTAATGAACGACAAACTCTATAACAGAAACAGCACGCTTGGTACGGAAAAAGGTCACTGTACTCTGAATTGAAATGAAGAAATATAATCGCTATGAAAATGAGTAGAATCAATTATTTAAAAACGTGGAAAGTTACCAAAGGCGTCAACGAGAAGAAGAATGTGTATTTTTAGAATCCATCAGTGTAACATTGAACATTACACTTTTGCCTTACCCTAATAAACTGCCACGCACGAGTCATCCAAGTCGCTAAAGTACAGCTAAATGACTCCCCACGAAGAAGGCTTAGTGCCTGAACGACAGCGGCTAAAGTACCTAAACCATGTTATATTTAACCCTAAAATAGCCCAACTTGAATCTCTACCTTAATTGACACTGACCTCCAGTTCCAGCCCCAAAATACGCCTCCTCATCCGCGCCCCCAATGACTGACTCAACAAATCCCGTGTTACCGGTCCCTTCTGGCCCGGGAGCGCTGGTAGGATAATTCCAGAAGATGCGCTCATGATCAACCTGAAACATCCACCGCTGTCCACCCATTCCCTTTGCAACGAACTCAACTACATACCCAATGTTCTTGTCGCGATACGCACCTGTGACTACACTCTGAGATGATGTGTCGTAGCGTTTGCTGAGAATCAAAGAATCTTGTGAGAAGTCTTCCTCTTCATAGGTGAGGACTTGGTTTGCGGCGCAGACGAGCTTGTCGTCGCGGTATAGTCGTGCCATTGTGTATGGTTTGCAGCCAGTCTCGGCCTCGGAGAAAATACGCATTATCTGCATCGCATAGGGCCCGACCTGGGCGCGGAGATAGTATGACTCTGTCATGATCTGGGGCCAGGTGTATAGCGTCCAGACGCGGTCCATACCGCCGTTTGCAGATGGACCGAGGACGAATAGCTCGGGTGTTGAGCTATCTCCAGAGTAGAGAGATAGCTCTGCTTTGACAGCGGCTCTCCCCATGGGACGAACATAGTGTACAGAAGGGCCTAGCTCAGGGTTGGTGTCGAGACCTGAGTCCCCAGGTAGAGCTTCCAATTGCATGGTACCATCAACAACACCGGGCACAGTAAAGGCCAACATAGTCACAGAGCAGTCCCTGGTCACAGAAAATGATACCTTGCCTCCACCATCGACATCCTCCCAAAGACCAGTGATATGTCCACTCTCAGAAGTGACAATAGACTCTGGGAAGTACAGATCGCGGTGCCAGGTATGTCCATCAGGCCAGATGGTAAAGATCTGAACTTTGAAGCCTCCGTGCTTCAGACCCTCAGCACTTCTGTTGATGCCAATAGAGATAGCTGACTGGTCATCTTTGGAAACACCGTCAAAGTACCAGAGCTCCCAGCCCGTCTGTGAGATTGCGTCAACGAACTTGGGGAAGACATTGCCTGAGCCGGGTATGTAGGGTGAAGCAGGAATTGATTCTGGGGATATCGATGTTTCGATATTGAGCTGAGATACAGTATTGCTGGGCATTTTGAGTCAAGAGCAAGTAGGTTGAGGAAAATAGCTGCGCAGTGGTAATGGCAGGGGTTGAGGATGTTGTGATTTGGAGCAATGCCGGGCCCTCGAGACTCTGTATACTCGATAGACTTTGAGAATGGATTTCCCCGTGAGCTCTTCAGAATTGTGTGCATTCGGTCGCTGCTCCAACAAACCGAAAAAGTCCGGCCAACATGACGTGATTACGTTGCAGACTGTTCTGTTGTTCCGCCACCGAAATTGTCCGAGAAGGATTTGCTGAACTCATCCAATAGAGCAATCCTATTGACCCGGAACATGTGTGTCACCAATCAAAGAATATTGTGTTATCACTAGGCTCAACTCTTTTGTCTGACCGTGAAACAGCGGAACCGAATAACACCGGCATCGGCATCATAAGCCTCTGAGTTTCTGATATAAGGAACAGTACTGTTCTCTATCCAAGTCAAATGTTCAAACTCAACTGGTCAATTGCTCGATCAATCTCAACATTGCACAAAGAGACTATTACCTGTCTCCAACCATCTCTCCAGCTCTTTCAATCATGTCCGACAACGAGCCAATTGCCATCATCGGCAGCGCATGCCGCTTCCCCGGAGACTCTTCCTCCCCCTCCAAGCTCTGGGATCTCCTCAAATCTCCCCGTGATTTGTTGACCAAAGTCCCATCCAACCGCTACAACGCCGATGCATTCTACCATGCGGACTCCAAGCACCATGGCACCACTAACGTGCGCCATTCGTACTTCCTCAACGAGGACCCCGCCAGCTTTGACAACAACTTCTTCAATATCCAGCCCGGTGAGGCGGAAGCAATTGACCCCCAGCAGAGACTCCTCATGGAGGTTGTGTACCAGGGCCTTTGCGCTTCTGGACAGACCATTGAGGGGCTTCGTGGATCGCCTACTTCTGTTTATGTTGGTGTCATGTGTGATGATTGGAGTGGGATCATCACCCGTGATCTGGAGGTGTTTCCACAGTATGGTGCAACCGGCATGGCGAGAAGTATCATGTCGAATCGTATTTCATACTTTTTCGACTGGCATGGTCCATCTATGACGATTGATACGGCTTGTTCGTCGAGCTTGGTCGCTGTTCATCAGGCCATTCAGACGTTGAGAAGTGGGGAGTCTGAAGTTGCCATCGCAGCCGGAGCCAACCTGATCCTTACCCCAGGTATGAGTCCCAAACCTAGACATTAAAGTAATGGATGGCTAACCAGCTAGGTATGTATGTTGCTGAGAGCAAGCTGTCCATGTTGTCCCCATCAGGTAGGTCCAAAATGTGGGATCAGGATGTAAACGGCTACGCCCGCGGCGAAGGTATCGCTGCTGTCGTGCTCAAGCCTCTCAGCGCCGCGATCCGCGATAACGACCATATCGACTGCATCATCCGCGCCACGGGCGTCAACCAAGACGGCCGCACCCCAGGTCTGACCATGCCTAGCGCCACGGCCCAAGCAGACCTCATCCGCAGCACATACGCCCGCGCCGGTCTCGACATCAACAAGCCCGAAGACCGCCCTCAATTCTTTCACGCCCATGGTACAGGTACACCTGCTGGTGATCCCCGTGAAGCTGAAGCCATCTATCGTGCGTTCTACTCGGATGTTAAGAATGATAAGCTTTACGTTGGGTCGATCAAGACTGTGCTGGGTCATACTGAGGGCACGGCTGGTCTCGCGAGTTTGATCGGGACGGCGCTTGCGATTCAGAATAAGACTATTCCACCGAATATGCACTTTGACGTTTTGAATCCAAAGATCAAGCCGTTTTATGATAACTTGGAGGTTCCGACTAGGGCTATTGATTGGCCTGAGACAAAGAAGGGACAACCTCGACGAGCTAGCATTAATAGCTTTGGTGAGAATCTTTCACCTATGACTTGATGTGCTCGCTGACAAGACTTTAGGCTTTGGTGGTACCAATGCCCATGCTATCATCGAGGCCTACGAGCCCAGCATTACAGATAGCGTGCCCGGTCCACTGTTTAGCCCATTGACATTTTCCGCTTCATCCGAGTCGTCTCTACGATCTATGCTCTCCTCCTACTCAGATTATCTCAAGTCTAATCCCGAGCTGCCACTCAAAGACCTCGCATACACCCTGCAAACACGACGCTCCACCCTGGCCTACCGCGTCGCCATCACTGCCTCCAACGTGGAGGATGTCTACACCCAACTCGACGCTATAGAGAACGGCGAGCAGTCTAGTACCATCGGTGTGCGCCAGGTCACCAAGACTTCACCCAAGATCATGGGCGTCTTTACAGGCCAGGGTGCTCAGTGGCCACGCATGGGCGCGAGACTTATCGAAGAGTCCGCATTCGCGTCACAGCGACTTTCTGAGCTTGACGAGGCATTGTCAAGCCTTCCGAAGGACGATAGACCTTCTTGGACTCTGCGGGAGATGATTCTTGCGGATTCCAAGGCTTCGAGGATCGCCGAGGCTGCTATTTCCCAGCCTTTGTGCACGGCTATTCAGGTCGTCTTGGTTGATCTCCTCCGACAGGCTGGTGTTGAGCTCTCTGGCGTTGTTGGTCATTCTTCTGGTTCGTGAATCTATCACAATTTTTATTTCAAATACTAAGAGAGAGTTCAGGTGAGATTGGGGCTGCTTATGCGGCTGGTCTGCTTACTGCACGAGATGCCATCCGAGTCGCTTACTACAGAGGTCTCTATGCTAAGCTCGCACAGTCTCCCAATGGCCGCAAGGGTGCCAGTAAGTAGCTACCCCGCCTCTTCAAGATTCACGCTAACATGGCTCCCCAGTGATGGCAGTTGGAACTACCTTTGACGACGCATCGGAGTTCTGCGAACTGGATGCCTTCCAAGGCCGAATCCAAGTCGCCGCCAGAAACTCCTCTTCTAGCATTACTCTCTCGGGCGATGAGGATGCTATCGTCGAAGCTATCGAGACATTCAAGGATGAGGGCAAGTTCGCTCGTCAACTAAAGGTCGACACAGCTTATCACTCATCTCACGTCCTTCCATGCGCCAAACCATACCTCGAAGCCATGGAGAGATGTCAGATCGAGCGTGCTACTCCTACTGCGACAAAATGGTACTCAAGTGTCCACGATGGTCAGGTGATGACAGCTGAGCTTCTTGCTCCCCAGTACTGGGTCGACAACATGACCAGCGCGGTCCTGTTCTCTCCTGCTGTGGAGCATGCCTGGCAGGAAGAAGGGCCGTACGATCTGATCATCGAAGTTGGTCCTCATGCAGTACTCAAGACTCCCTGCCTTGACACTTTGGAAGACATGACCGGAGACCGACCTCCTTACTCTGGTGTTTTGGGTCGCGGCAAGGACGACATCCAGCAATTCTCCAACGGTCTTGGCGCTGTCTGGACTCAACTCGGCGCGGGATCAGTTACTTTTGAGCGCTTCGAGATGGTCGCATCCGACTCCAAGACTGTCCCGTCTTTCATCCATGACCTTCCTAACTATACCTTCGACCATGCGAGACAGTTCATGTCGATGTCGAGGGTATCTGGTTGGTACAACAGCATGCAGGAAGCTCCTCATCCCATTCTGGGCAGACGATGCCATGATCGCGAGACATCGCAGACGCTTCAGTGGCGCAACGTGCTGAGCCCCAAAGAGATTCCCTGGCTGCATGGTCATCAGATTCAGGGCCAGATCATCTTCCCCGCTACTGGATACATCTCTATGGCTGTTGAGGCCGTGAACATCATTGCAGAGTCAAAACTGGGCCTTGTTACGATTGAGGACCTCCGCATCGGACGAGCACTTGCGTTCAGCGATGATGACGCAAGCGTCGAGTCGATGTTTGATCTAAGAATCATCAGCCGTTCTGATACCGAGATCGAGGCTGAGTTCTCATGCTACTCTGGCCTTCCTCAGAACCACACTGCAAACATGGTTCTCAACGCAACTGCTCATATCAAGGCCTCCCTTTCTGCACCAACTGCTGAAAGAATCCCCAGCATCAAGGTCGATGACTATAATCTTCGCGAGGTTCAAGTCGACAGATTCTATGACTTCCTCAGTCGCCTCGGATACAACTACTCCTGGCCCTTCCACGGTACCACCAGCATCCGCAGAAAGGCAAACCTTGCTATAGGTACTCTTGAGGATCAGTCTGGTTCTGAGTGGGAAGACCAGCTTCTCGTTCATCCCGGCATGCTTGATACTTCTCTCCAGACAACATTCGCCGCGTACTGCTGTCCAGGCGACGAGCGCATGTGGGCCCTTCACTTGCCGACCAGTTTCCGCTCCATCGTAATCAACCCCTACTTCACCTCTGCCGGTGTCGGAAAGCAGAAGAGCTTCCAGTATCAGTCTGTTGCTATCGAGGAGAGGAAGGCTTCCAAGGTCATCGTGGAGCTGAACTTGCTCTCTGAAGAGACTGGAGATACGTTTCTCCAGATTGAGGGCATGGAGCTCGTTCCCTTCTCACCTGCTACCCCAGAGAACGACGCCGTTTTGTTCTCTCGCTTTGACTATAGGCTTGCTGGACCCGATGGCGAGCTCACAGCTGCTGAGTATTCTTTCAGAGATGAGGACTACATGATGGCAGTTGACTGTGAACGCATCGCTTTCTACTACCTTCGCCGGCTGGTTGAGACTATCACGCCCGAGGAGAAGGCCAACACCCTTCCTCACTACCGACACCTTGTGGAGTGGGCAGCTCATGTCGTCCCTCAAGTCGTAGACGGAGCCAACCCCCACGTCCCATCTAGCGCGCAGAAAGATACACATGAAGACATTCAAAGCATCTTGAAGAAGTAAGTTTACCGTCCTGTGTAAGAGGTATGCATGGCTAACTGCGCACCAGGCACTATGAACGTGTTGACGTCCGTCTTCTCGAATCTGTTGGCGAAAACCTCCCACAAGTCATTCGCGGAAATGGCAACATCCTTGAGCACATGACAAAGGACGGTATGCTCGACGATGTTTACGAGGAAGGCTTTGGTCTTGATCTAGTGAACAAGTATATTGCGCATATGACAGCTCAGATCGCCCATCGATATCCTCGTATGAATATCCTAGAGATTGGTACGAACATCGCTTTCTATCCCCAGTATTGGATCATGCTGACATGACTCAGGTGCCGGAACGGGCGGTTCAACCCGAGAGATCCTCCCCCGTCTCGGCTCAGCCTTCTCAACATACACCTACACCGACGTCTCGGGCGGTTTCTTCGACACAGCCCAAGATCGCTTCAAAGACTATGCCGAACGCATGATCTTCAAAACCTTCGACATGAACATCAGTCCTGGTTCTCAAGGCTTTACCGAAGGATCATATGACCTCGTAATCGCCTCCAATGTCCTGCACGCCACTCTGGAGCTAGAAGATATGATGAAGCATGTGAGAAGCTTCCTCAAGCCCGGAGGTTTCCTCATCATTCTCGAGACGGTTAACAACGACTGTTTACGCGTCGGTTTACCTATGGGTAGTCTTCCTGGCTGGTGGCTCGGTGCAGAGCATGGCCGACGCTGGGGTCCTACCCTCACGCTACCGCAGTGGGACTCTTTGCTTTGGAAGTGTGGCTTTGGTGGCATTGACACTACGACGCCGCCTGTTCACAAGATCCTTCCTGGGCATGTCTTTTGTGCTCAGGCTCTTGATGAGCGTGTTGAGATTCTTCGTTCGCCTCTGAGCCACCTTTCCGACCTTCCCGAGACCAAGTCTACGGAGCTCGCTATTGTTGGGGGAGAAACACTCAAGGTCCATAGGATGTGCGAACAGATTTCTCGACGTCTCAAGCCAAAGTACGACAGAATCACGCGCTTCAACTCGATCGAGGAGCTCAACACCAGTGGTCTTGTAGACTCGTGCACTGTTTTGTCTCTCACTGAACTCGATGAGCCGCTGTTCGCCAACATGACTTCTGGCAAGCTGGATGCGCTAAAGATACTGTGGAAGCAGGGTGGAAGTATCCTCTGGGTTACTACTGGTGCTCGAGATGAGAATCCTCACTCCTACATGACCACCGGAGTTGGTCGTTGCATGCGCTTCGAGTACCCGAACATCACCCTCCAAGCTCTGGACATCAAGACCATGACGGACCGCACTCCCGAGCTCATCGCGGACCATCTCCTGAGACTGGAGGTATTGGACAAGTGGTCCAAGGAACTTCGCCCAGAAGAGTTGCTCTGGTCTTTGGAACCTGAGATCTACATTGACGATGATGCCAGTATCGTTCCACGACTATATCCCTACGAGTCTGGAAACGCACGATACAACGCTGAGCGTCGCAATGTTATCAAGGATGCCAATCTTGAGACCGACAGGGTAGTATTTGTGGAGAATGAGGGTAAGTGGGAGGTTCACCATGCTTCGCCTCTTCATATTTCCCAGGAGCTGCCGTTCGCTGCTAAGACGAAGACCATTCGCATCACACACTTCTCGCCTGCTACCGTCAACTTCGCTCCGGGTGTCAGTCTGATGGTTTGCGTTGGAATTGACACAGCTTCTGGTGAGAGACTTCTGGCTGTCACTCACATTGCTGAGTCTCCTGTTTCGGTCGCAGCAGACTGGTGCATCCCTCTCGGAGAGCTTGATGCAGGTGATACGCTAGCCAACGTCTCAGCCCTTCTGACTGCTTCTACCATCTTGAAGCATATGGCCACCGAGGAAACTCTTGTCGTTCATGATGCTCCTTCTCGCCTTGCTTCCGCCTTGGAGGGTCTCGCCAAGGAATCATCCGTCACGGTCTTCTTAACTTCGTCCGACAGGGCAAACACGAAGGGATGGCAATACATCGACAGTCACTTGCCTGAGCGAGTTATCAAGACATCTATCCCCAGATCAGCCACTAAGTTCATCAACCTATCGCAAGATGCCAATGCGAAGGAGACTGGCCGAGTCATCTCCGGATGCCTTCCCCGCTACTGCGAGACCATCAACACAGACCGACTCTTCAGTTCGGGTAAGGTGATACGCCAATCCGTGTCCAAGGAAGACGTTTCTATTGCATTCAACAGGGCTTTCTATGAGGCCAAGTCGCTCTCTAGTACTGCTATTGACGCAAGCTTGATCTCCCTGAAGGATATTTCTGGTGTCAGTGCAGCTGAGGTTCGCTTCGCTGTCGTAGACTGTACTGAGTCCTCCATCGAGGCCTCTGTTCGTCCTATCGACGATGGAAAGATCTTCCAGGCTGACAAGACATTCCTTCTCATCGGTCTATCTGGTGAACTTGGCCAATCTCTTTGCAAGTGGATGGTTGAGCAGGGAGCTCGAAATATTGTTCTTACCAGTCGCCGTCCTAACGTCTCTCAACACTTCTTTGACGAAATGGCTACCATGGGTGCTACAGTCAAGGCACTTCCCATGTAAGTGCATATTTCACCATTATAACATCTGATACTGACATTTCCAGGGATATTACCAATCGCGACTCACTACATGCATGCGTTGCCATCATCCAAAAGACACTTCCTCCCATCGCAGGTGTCGTTAACGGCGCCATGGTTCTCCGAGACGCACTCTTCGAGAATATGGCCTATCAAGACTTTCTGGAGGTCCTAAGGCCCAAGGTGCTTGGGTCCCAACTCCTCGATGAAATGTTCTATGACACTCCCCTCGACTTCTTCATCTTCTTCTCCTCCACCACCGCCGTCATGGGCAACAGCGGTCAGAGTAATTACATCGCTGGCAACATGTTCATGAACGCACTCGCAGCACAGCGTAAGAAGCGCGGTGTCGCCGCTTCATCCATTGACATCAGTTCCATCATTGGTCTTGGCTACGTCGAGAGGGCTGAGGACCTTAGTGAGGATACTTTCATCAAGATGGGTTACAAGCCTATGTCTGAACAAGACCTACAGAAGCTGTTTGCTGAGGCTATTGTTCTTGGAAGGCCCGAGTGCGATGAGGTTTGTGAGCTTGTGACGGGTGTTACCCCTATCTACACTGATGCTCAGGCTAGTGATCAATACTTGAAGGATGTCAAGTTTGGTCACTTTCTCATGGAGCGTTTGGATACTCAGGGCTATACTGGGAAGACATCTACTGTTCCTGTTAGGGTGCAGTTGGCTGATGTCAAGACCAAAACTGATGCCGTAGCTATCATCAAAGGTATGTTTCTTTGCTAACTTGAGTGACCATTGCTGACCTTGAAAGATGCTTTCATTGTACGACTTCGACGTGTTTTGGCTGTTGGACCAGATGAGATCATCAACGAAAAGGTCACTCTAGTCGAACAAGGTGTTGACTCTCTGATGGCTGTCGAAGTCCGCTCCTGGTTCATCAAAGAACTCGATGTCGACATTCCCGTCCTCAAGATTCTGGGTGGAATGTCCGTTCCCGATCTCGTTGAAGAGTCCCTCGACCTTATCTCAGACTCCATCCTTGACGCATCATCCCTCGAAGCAGGCAGCGCCTCAACCACTCAACCCCCCAAGCCCACCCTCCAAACAAACCGCGTCACACCACCTGAGAGCTCCCGTGGCACAAGTGACGAGAGTAAGCAGCAAGCCGGCTCCGACTCCTCCCGCTCGCCAATCGACACGCCCCTTACATCGATGGAGAGCCAAGAACCCGCTAAAGAGGAAGACAGTACGGACAACTCCACTCCCCTAAAGACTTTTCCTAACGAGCTGTCCAGCATCATGTCCTACGGTCAAGCAGGCTTCTGGTTTCTGAACGACTACCTTTTCAACAAGAGGGCGTTCAACATGGCCGTCATGTTGAAGCTCACGGGCCAGATCCGCATGCAGGCTCTGGAGAAGGCTGTCAATCTTGTTGCGGAGCGGCATGAGATCTTGAGGACGAGATTCTTTTGGGGTGATGATGGTGATGAGAGGATGCCTTTGCAGGGTATCATCCCAGCGGATCTGAAGTTGACAACGAAGAAGGTCGTTGATGAGGGAGAAGCTGAGGTGGAGTTGAAGAAGCTTCATGATGTGGAGTGGGATTTGAGTGGAGGTGAAGGAGTCAAGATCACTTTGCTGTCGTTATCGGATAATGTTCATTTTCTTTTGTTGGGTATGCATCACATTTACATTGACGGATACAGCTTCAGTGTGTTCTTCAAGGACCTCGAAGTTGCTTACACAAAACACACGCTCCCTTCTCTTCCGGTCGAGTCACAGTATCGATCTTTTGCACTTCAACAGCGACAGATGTATGCGAACGGCGATCTCACCAAGTCCATTGAGTACTATCGAAAAAGCTTTCCCAAAGAGTTCAAGCCTATTCAGCTTTTCCCTTTCGCTATCACGCCTGCGAGACAGTTTGCCAACGAGTATTCTCAACACGAGGCCAAGATTAGTATTGATCCAGAACTAGCTACCAAGGTTCGACAGCTCGCCCGCGTCAATCGCTCGACTTCATTCCATGTCTACTTGGCAGCCTTGGAGCTTCTTCTCTTCACACTCCTACCCAACGCAGGGGAAGTCTTTATCGGTATCGCCGATGCCAACCGCGGTGATAAGAAGTTCATGGGCAGTCTCGGCTTCTTTCTGAACCTTCTCCCTCTACGCTTCCGGCGAAAAAGGCGCGGTACCCAACTCAGCTCCATCATCCAGACAGCTCGCGACACAGCATATGGAGCACTCCAACACTCCACGCTACCCTTCGATGTCCTTCTTCGGGAACTAAACGTTCCGAGATCTGACAAGTACACGCCCATCTTCCAGGTCTTCATGGACTATAGACAGGTTGTTCAGGAACGGTCGTCGTGGGGAGGCTGCAAGCTCCATGGGGAAAAGTGGCACAATGCTGGGACGGGATACGACATTGCTTTGGAGGTCAACGAAAATATCACCACTGATACCCTTTTGGGTCTGAGACTTCAGAAGCAGCTTTACTCTGAGGATCACACTGCGCTTCTACTTCGCTCGTACTTGAGCGTGCTGGAGTACGTGGTCCAAGGGACTAACAAGGCTGCTGATGCTGCGCCGGCTTGGTCGAAGGATGATCTCCAGGCTGCGCTGGATGCCGGGAAAGGTAAGTCACTTCCATCTCCAAACTCTGCGATGCCCAGCAGGAAACATTGACTATCATACCAGCACCCGAGTTCCTACCAAAGTGGCAGTCCACAATCAGTCATCACATCGACCACATCATCCAAATCAACGCTACCAAAGTTGCTCTCAAGGACGGCAACGATACCGTGCTTACATACGAACAGATGGGCAATCGGGTCAACTCCATCGCCCAGGCTCTCATCGACGCTGGGACTACGCAGAGCACAGTAGTCGGAGTCTTCCAAGAACCCTCCTCGGACTGGATCTGCTCCCTTCTCGCCATCTTCAAAGCTGGAGCAGTCTACGTCCCTCTCGATCTTCGCAACTCCATTCCTCGTCTGACTAGCATCGTCAAAGCCTCTCGGCCTTCGCTCATCATCACGGATCATACGACTGATGAGAAGCTTGAGCTCATTGGTGCCAAGTTCATCACCCAGCTTCAGCTGCACAAGGTGGCCAATCAGGAGCTTAAGGAGCCGAACCGTGCAAAGGTCGGATCTCTGGCTGTCATTCTCTTCACCAGCGGTTCTACAGGTGAACCCAAGGGCCTCATGATGACACATACCAATCTCATGTCCTACGCCGAAGTCTCAAGCAAGACTTTCTCCAAGCCCGATGAAGGTCTCGTGGTACTACAGCAGAGTCCCTTCAGTTTCGACTTTTCACTTGATCAGACCGTGGCTGCGTTGGCGAATGGTGGATGTCTTTGCATCGTACCAGCAGGCAAGAGAGGAGACCCCGATGAGATCAGCAAGATCATGGTCAAAGAGGGTGTTACATACACGACTGCTACACCTTCTGAGTATGATCTGTGGTTACGATACAGCACCAGCACTCTAAGACAATGCACTTCGTGGAAGTACGCTTTCTCTGGTGGTGAGGCGATGAGTCACAAACTAGCCCGCGAGTTCGGAACGTTGAACCTGAAGAATCTCCACGTCTTCAATGGCTATGGGCCAGCTGAGACAACAATTCTCTCTCATCGCATCGACCTCAAGTACACAGATCCTGATCTTCCAGACCCCCTTCTAGCTGGTTATCCCATGCCTGGTTTCTCAGTCTGCATCGTGGACGACAAGATGCGGCCTGTTCCTCTTGGTGTTCAGGGCGAGATTGTCCTCGGTGGCCCATGCATCGTCTCCGGCTATCTCAACATGCCCGACTCCACGAAAGACAAGTTCTTGCCGGACACCTTCTTCGGAACCAGTGGGAAGGTATATCGCAGTGGAGATCGCGGCCGTCTATGCCATGATGGTTCGCTATTCTGCGACGGCCGTCTTGAAGGTAGCAACATGATCAAGCTTCGAGGATTCCGAGTCGAGTTGGACGAAGTAGAGAAGACTATTATCAGTCACTCCGCTGGCGCACTCTCCCACGCAGTTGTTACGCTGCGAGGCACTGAAGAAGGCCGCTATCTAGCAGCCCATGTTCTCTTTGCTCCCGAATTCCCAGAGCACAATCAGGAAAGCATCATGAAATCTCTCCGTCAAACCCTTCCTCTACCTCCCTACATGCGTCCTTCCGTCTTCCAGATCCTCGACGACATTCCACGAACCGCCCATCTCAAGATCGATCGAAAGGCCATCCAAGAAATGCCCGTCAAGACCTCTGCCTCCCACGACTCTGGAACTCTGACTGTCGCTGAACAAAGTCTGAGTGAGCTTTGGCGGCGGGTCTTGCCTCTCGATCCCGGTTCTCTTTCTCCTGAATCTGACTTCTTCCTTATTGGTGGCAACTCTATTCTTCTAGTCAAGCTCCAGGCGCTGTTGAGGCAGACGTTCGAGACGGCGCCTAAACTTGTTGCGCTCATGGGCGCTACTACTCTCGGCGCTATGGCTGCCATCCTTGAGAACTGTGGATCTGTTGGCGTCATTCATTGGGATAGAGAGACTGCGCTGCCAGATGATCTTCGAGCTACTACGACGCTGCGCCCAGTGAGCAAGACAAAGGAAATTACAGTGCTTCTCACTGGCTCATTGGGGTACCTCGGTCGTCATCTTCTGCCAGCGCTCGTTCAAGATTCTCGAGTCACACGAGTTCATTGTCTGGTCCGTTCCGTGAACAATGAGAAAATTAGTCACAGCTCTAGCGCAAAAGTCCGGGTTATCGAGAGCGACGTGTCCAAGCCCAATCTTGGCCTTTCCGACTCAACTTACTCCCGCCTTGCTGATGAAACAGACGTCATCATCCACTGCGCAGCCAACAGATCCTTCTGGGACAGATACGAAGTTCTCAGGCCGGTCAACGTCGACTCGGTGAAGGAGTTGGCTAAGCTCGCCGCTGTTTCTGGCCGCTCGATACCATTGCACTTCCTGTCATCTGGAGCTGTGAAGACGTATGAGGGAGATGGTCTGACACCACCGCCTGATGGTAGTGATGGTTACGTGGCTACAAAGTGGGCTTCAGAGACATTCTTGCGAAACGCCGCTGGTTCAATCGGCCTTCCCGTCTACGCACACCGTCCCACCATGAGCAGCACGTCGCAAACCGAAAAAGACCAAGCCTCGATCGTCAACGAACTCATCACCATCATTAAGTCGATTGGCGTCCGACCAGCTTTCGAAGGAGTCACCGGCTCAGTAGATGTACTTCCAATCAGTGACATTGTCAAAGCTATCCAGGAGACTGTCCTGAGCTCGAGTGCTGGTGGACAAGGTTACAACATTGTGCAACATGAAGCACATCACCGCGCTTTCGTGGAGGAATTCGCAGCCATCGTACGCTCTGACGATGGTTTGAACAGCCTTCCTAGTATTTCTATCTTAGACTGGTTCGGTGAGGCGAAGAAGGCTGGATTTTCTTATTTTCTTGCAACTCAGGATTTGGTCATGGGTTCAGGTGACGGTCGCTTGGTTTCAAGGCGTTAACCGGGTCTCCACCACTAGACTTAGTTAGATACATAATCATATTTTCAAAGTTCATTATTAATCACGTTCACAAGGGACTGTGTTTTATAGGAGTCTGGGTACGTGAATTTCCAACCACAGGCATCTAAGCCGCAGTCTTATAAAAGAGACCATTCAAAGTACAACGTCGAATGATAACGCTTGCCAAAATCGCAGACTACCCACTTCTCAACAGCCAATTTATGACCATCGACCGGTGTTTAACACTAAGCTAGTCAACGGTCTATCCTCACTCAACCATAAAGCTCATCCCCTCCACTCCTTAGGGGGTTAAGAGAACAGCAGACCTCAATCTAAGGCATCGACAAAGGCTCTTTAAACTCAGTAAAGTGCATCCTGAAATTATACTGAGAGAAAGGTCCTTTATCGCTCATGATCGAGGGCCTGAGTTTCTTTCCCTCCCTAGACGCCACACCTTTAAATGGCCCTGGTAGTTGGCCCATCACGGCCTATGATTGTACGCTTTGCTAAGTGTGGATGGTTGGTCGGTTGATCGTTCTTTGTAATTGTACGCTTTTCCATATTTTGGTGGCTCGTTGGCTTGTTGACCTCTTTATCAGCGAGATCCGGTTGAGCAGCAAGCCTTATTGCTCGCAACGTATTAGTTGGGTCTCCTTAGATTTCCGGAAGACGGTGGGTGTTTACTCACCCTTGAACTGCTCCAAAAAGGAGACAGGAAAGGACAATGGACTTGATTCCTAACATAATTGTTCTTGGTAGGTCTTTGCGAGCGCGGTGTTGGTGGATTGATTCCTGTTGAGATGATTTACTTTCAGTAGGTATGCCATTGGTATGTTTATTTATAAGATGAGAATTGCATGTTCTTACCCGTATTTCAAGTACCCTGTCTATAGTGACCGGGGATTTGATAGAGTTTATAGATTACACTAGGTAGCCGGGTAAGGCGGTATGTTAACTTCGGCACTCGGGCACCATCAGCTGTTGAATAGGTGCATGCCGACCAAGATGTTCCGTCAACTACAAAAGAAGTAAATAATGTCCAATCTCTTAAGGTCAATGCGCACGTGAGCCGTCCAAACTGGCTGGGTATATGCCTGTAGTTTCATGTCAAGGTAGCAGCGGCTCGTACTTCATAATTTGCCGCCTTGAAAGCCTAAATCCTCTCGGCTCTATTATTGTGCCCTGCGGCCGTTGCCATTATACCTACCTACGCCGATCGATCCCTTTCACATCAGTCGGTAACCTCGTATTAATAATATTAGCTAAACTCATGAACAAGTCCTAACTACCCGACGAACCATGAATACTTTCGCGTCCGCGGCATCATCCTTGATTTCCAGCCAAGGGACCTCGCCCTGTTCGCGCTCGGGCTTGCCGATGATGTTACTTACTGTTGACCATCCTTGTCTCTGAGCAATGAGATAATGGCTTATTAATAATACCAGGGGGACACAATCGTCATTACTCACACAGATATTGGACAACAATACGGAGTATCAGGGCGGTAAGTGAAGATATAATTACCTAGTTAGACAATAATTAAGCTCGAAAGTCTTGATGCTTCAGACCTGGCCGAGCTACCCGTGAATATAATCCCTAGGGAATGAAATTTCTCTGGTTCGAGTAATTCAGAATTTAATCCCTCTTGTTGAAGTACATGGGTAAAGCCAATTCGCCTATAATTCGTTACAGGTGAGGTACAAAGAATCGGCTCCAGAACAAGGCAGTCCAAAGACGGAGACGGATTACGCGAAGACTTGAATGCGAGAAGCGTGAGCTTTGTACCTTTGCTGAAAACAATGCCCAAATGATCTTTTAAAAGAATTAGATCGAGGCTTGTCCCGTTTTCCAAAATAACAGTTGAATTCCTTTTTGACCTTGCATGAGAGTAGGTAGCATGAGTCAAGACTCCTTGCAAATGCAGTCTGCCCTGCGAAAACCCATCTTGCTCAAATTGAACATGCATGAAAGTCTTGTGGACTACCTCGGAAAGTAACTCCTTGAAAAGAACAGGACCATCGAGGGAGGCCCACGACCATGACGGCGCTCGATAATCTCGACTCCGCTTCATGACCGGGTCCTCTACCGAGAATCCCAGCTGCTTCTCAAGACCAGCACTCCACATACCAAAAGCGTAGTCTGCATCTATAAAGGGCTCGAAATATTTGGCGATGCCCATGAATGCAGGAAGTTTGTCGCTTATGAACGTGAACTGGCTATCCGAATAACCCTGAACAACACGGTTCCATTGTCGGAACACGGTGCATGGTACACATTTTCCCCGGGACAAGGTCAACAAATTCGTTAAACGTTCTGGCAGTAGGGCCTTGAAAGAACCAGCGAAAGGGATGCCAGTTGGGAATGCCTCGGATTTCAGTTCTTGGTGGCATTCCCAGAATACCTGTTCTTCTGCAAAGTAAATAACTCTTGGCGCAAGCATTCTCTCTTGAAATACCCATCCTCTTTCGAAGAAAGGTGTGTGCCGTAGCTGCCGCTCAGTGTAAAGAGTGTCGATGATGTTAAAGGTCTGGCTCCGAGTGTCGGGAAGAGGATCCGCTCGGACACATCCTACGCGGATGCTTTCGGCATTTCGACTCCGAAATAATCCACCATCTGGTCCATCAGATGCCGAGGCGGCAATGTTGCATAGTCCATTGGAGTAAACTAAGCCCATACATGCAGACTCACGCTCCCAATCTTCATGAGAATCCTGAATAATACACAGCGCATCGATCCATAGGTATCTGACGCCAAGGGCGCGAGCGACAACTATGGTATCTCTGAATGTTTTTGGAAGTGTTTGTATCGCCCAGCCTCGAACTAAGTCATCAATATTTGAGGATAAGAGCCGAGGTTGCTTTTTTGCGTCCCATCTGTAGCTCAGTGTGATATACGTGCGGGTCTGACTAGTATTCTGTGGTCGCAAAACAATTCTGCAGGTTTCATCTTTCGATCGACGTATGTCTAGCAAACGTGTAGGTTGCCAGCGTGTAACATTCCTCGTACAGCCACTCGATTTGTGACCCATTTGACATGATTGTATCCATTTGGAGATCAATCTGAGCGTGGAAGTCGATGAGGTAGAGGATGACAATGATGGCCGAGCATCATATCGAACCCAGTAGTTGTCTTGCATCAAAGTCAGTTTTCCGTCAATGTGGACTGTCTGTATATCATGCTTCAAAAAGAGAAGACACCACTCACCGTTTCTTGGCATTAATTCGAATGGTATATAATGGGAGTGCTCTTTCGAGCCGGGGCAACAAATCATGAAAAGGATTGCGGGTGAATCATGGTCGTGCTGGACAATGTAATGCATGCCGTCCCAATCTGTTTCCGAACCCTCTTTCCAGGTAGGTTCAGACTCGACACTAGTCACCTTTCCTGAAACAAGCATGTCCCATACTCTGCAGCAGATGTAACAGTTCTGTGAAGATGCTTTTCGAAACGACTCCAATGACTCGTGGTGTCGCCTCATAGGCCACATAGAGCTATTGCGCCTTTCCTCCTCCCAACTGGCCTGGTCGAAGTGTAGAGCACGTGTACAAGTCGAGCAGAGGGTGCTATATGCCATATTGAAAGATATCCACAGAAAACCTTACTTATTGTCAATAGCGTGTTGTCAAAGGGATCAAAAATTTGAGTCGAGAATTAATTTTAGGAGGGGCTTGTCATGGCGAAACTATTTGGTTATCTGTCTATAATGCCTTGCTGTCAGCCTGTTGCCCTGACTGGGTGAATTGTTCCCAAGGTTGCGGGGTAGGTTGAAAAAAGGCTGGAATACCTTGCTGTAACAAGTACCACTAAAAATCGATTAGTCGCATAGCTAGATTTTGAAATATCTGCTCTACGTATTTATATCAGAGAGGCCAGTTAACAAAAGCACTTGGTCTCTTATATTGATTCTGTTCACAGATTCCATAAACAGTTCTATTCATGTACAAGGACAAGGGAGCCTTGGTAATGTAATATGCGTGTTTACTGGCCTTAGAGCTCCCCTGGTAAGCATTATGGCGCGTAACTAGCTTCTATAATTGGTACGTTATTAAACACTGCTCACTAAATGTGATGTGTTCCATTGGGCTTGGGCGCCATGCACATACAGCTCTATACTTGACTAGAGCCTCCTCCTCTACAATATTTAGAGGCCTCACAAGCTTCGCCTTGTGGATCCAGTCAACATCAACACATCTACCTGCGATCTTCTCGAGTTCTGAAACCTGGAACTTAGAGCCCTCGAGTGCTTTCTGGACTTTGGAACCTGTATCAGGATGTGTTCATGACATGATTACAGGGGGTCCTTGTACAGCAGACTTCTCCGACGCCTTTCAGAAGCGGGACTGTAGTAAACCAGTAGTTAATGGCTTCCATATATATATGGCTTTTTGGAAATCAGCAGTCAGCCTTATGCCAAGAATAGCGGCTGGTGTCGTCTGACTCCAAGAAATCAGTGGCATGCGACAGTTCGACTGTGACATCAACGCCGGCATCTTAACGTATATCGCATATCATGCGAATTGACAGTGTGAATTTTCGAAACGAAGAGCTCTATTCTAAGCATTCTATACGTCTATTGCTGATCTATCTCATTAAGTCTACGCCATAATTTCATACTCCTCAGCGTCTAAAGGTGAGTGGCATCCTCCTTGATCTTTGCCATCATTCGCTGACCAATCTCACCATCAACCTTGCTAAACATAGCAACGACAGCCTCTCTCAAGGGAGCTGGTGTACCAGCCAAGCTTCCAACAACATTACCCACAAACTTCTCCTTCTCAGCATCATCAAAGACCCTCCTCCACAGATCCCGAGGCTGCACAAAGTCCTCATCGTCAACGGGGATCTCATTCAAACCGAGCAGTGCATTGGCAGCGATACGCTCGTGGTGTGTGATCTGAGTGATGGATTGGGTGGTAACGCCAGGGCTGAGAGTGCTTCGGACGTAGTTGGGGTCGCCGCCGTAGTTCTTGGTAGTGGTGATGCCGTCGCGGACAAAGGGGGCGTAGACAGGCGCGATAGGGCGGTTGGGAGGGAGTTGGGCGTAGTTGGAGCCGAGGCGGTATCGCTGGGCGTCAGGGTAGGCGAACATGCGAGCCTGGAGCATAGGGTCTGGCGTCATAGCGATACCTGGGACCAAGTTCGATGGCGAGAAGGCAGCTTGTTCAATCTCGGCAAAGTAGTTGTCCGGCTATGATCTGTCAGCACTTGGTTCATTCGTTTTGTCCAATGATAAACTTACGTTCTTCTTCAAGGTCATCTTGCCAACCTCAATCAACGGAAACTCCTTATGAGACCAAATCTTGGTAATGTCGAACAAAGCCCGACCAAAGGTCTCAGCCCTCTCAGGCTCCATGATCTGGACATACAACTTCCAGACAGGGTACTCGCCACGGGCAATAGCATCCCAGAGATCCTCAGTATGATAGTCAGCATTGGCGCCAGCCTTCTTCTCGGCTTCTTCAGCAGAGGCGAAGCTGGTGTGTCCAGTCTCGGGACGGAAGTGGAATTTGCAGTATCGGGGGCGGCCAGAGCTGTCGATGAGCTTGAAGGTGTGAACGCCGAAGCCGGTCACGCGGCGGATGGAGTCGGGAAGACCGCGGCTGCCAAAGAGATGCATTAGGGTGTGAACACTCTCGGGTTGGTTGACGTGAAAGTCCCAGAACTAAGAAGATTAGACCATATAGTCGTAGCTGAACTCAGGTAACTCACCATAGTTGCATCAGGTCGGTTAGTAGCGGGATGTCTCTTGTGGCTTCGGTTCAATGAAGGAAATCGCATGGGATCACGAACAAAGAAGACAGGCTAGCCAGATCAGCACAAGAACAGCCATCAATCGCAGAATCGATACTTACAACATGGTTCCCGACAATGTCGTAGTTTCCTTCCTCAGTAAAGAACTTGACAGAGAAACCTCGAACATCGCGAACAGTATCGGCACTGCCCTTCTCTCCACCAGTGGTACTGAGACGGAAGAGAACCTGTGTCTTCTTGCCAGCGGTGTCGAGGAACTTGGCGCAAGTCAATTGAGCGATTTCAGGGTTCGTGACTTCAAATTCTCCCCAGGCACCAGCAGCTTTGGCGTGAACAACTCTGCGATGTTTGTCAGTCGAGTAGGTGTAGTGGTGAAGTGACTAATTTACCGTTCAGGAATGCGCTCTCGGCTGAAATGGGCCAGGGTCTCGAGGAGAAGGGTATCACCAAGAGTTGTGAGACCGCCGCCGCCAAAGACGGGGAGCGTAGTGCTCACTGAAGGGTCGCGAACAGGCTGACCTACACTAGTTAGCTGTGACAGGAGATGTCCCGGTCTCAGACGTACCCTCGGTCAAAGTATACACAGGATTAGACATTTTGAGAGATTGCAATTGAACGTAATGAAGAAGAAGAATAGTTTCTATGACGAGAAAGAAACGAGGGAATTCCCCAGCCTTAAGACAATTTTTGCACTCCTCATTACGGCATCTTCAATGCCGAGCCCGCCCCGACAGATAAGAAATGGATCTCATCTTGCGGGCCTTTCTTCCAAGATTTCGATAAGATAGAGGTTATCGCGAACAGTCGCAGTGCAAGTCCAATCACAGCAGTTATTTTTCTAAGCCGCAATCTTTGCAAGTGGATCGGTATATGCGGTAGTATTACTGCATACAGCTAGTGCACTCCCTGCCGAAGAGCCGCTAAAAACTGGACCCCGAGCGAAGCTGTTCTAGAAATGGTCACCGGAGCTGACTCGGCATCTTTGTCAGATTGTTTGTAACACGGTTTTTGTCCGGGTTTTGCGAGTTTTTCAGTTAATGGCGCTTTGGGGGTTGACTCGGCGTTTCTGTCACACGGGTTTTGTGCGGGATTTGTGAGTTTTTTGCGGTTTGAGGCTTGACTGTGCCTCCAAGGTGCTCGAGTTTTCGTATGGGGAATACGTCACTGGTTGAGTACCGAGAGATCCGTATAGAAGCAAAGATCAATGTTACAGCAGAACTGTCGGCATTTCGGTGCCGCCAGACGCGTATGTCGGGAATGTCCATCTTGAACATGGAGAACTTGGTCAGTGACGACATTGCAAGATGGAATATATAAATATCACAGCTCACGATGAGTCTTGGTGTTTTGCAATCCAGCATTCACTCAAGCTTCACTTACAAACATCTCAACTACTCCAAAGCATCTTCACTTCTCTAATATCAACTCTTTAACCAGACTCATCTCATCAACTCCCTCACCTCGCAATATCTTCAACAAAATGGCATTCGTCGCAAACGGAAATGAGTACGACTTCATCATCGTCGGCGGCGGCACAGCAGGAAACACTGTAGCAGGCCGTCTCGCCGAAAACCCCCACGTCCGCATCCTCATCATCGAAGCCGGCATCCCCAACCCACACCAAGTCCCTGAAATCACCACTCCCTCCAAGGCCTTCAACCTGCGCGGCAGCAAGCACGACTGGGCCTACAAGTCCACCATGATCAAGCGCGACGACTACGAGCGCATCGAGAAGCCCAACACCCGCGGCAAAGTCCTCGGCGGCTCGTCCTGCGCCAACTACTTCACCTGGATCCCTGGCTCCAAGCCTACCTTTGACGACTGGGAGGCTTTTGGCGGCGAGGATTGGAACTGGGAGGGTTGTGTGGAGTATCTTCGCAGGTGTGCGACTTATCATGATGAGGAGGGGCTTTATCCTGCTGAGCTGGGGAAGATTGGCTCGGGGGGACCTATTCAGATTGCGCATGCGGATCTTGTTCCTGAGATGCAGCCTTGGCGTGATGCTCTGACTGAAGCGTGGGTTTCCAAGGGCGAAGTCTTGACGGAGAATATTTATGATGGCGAGATGAGAGGTCTTACGCATTGTGTTGATACTATTCATGGGGGTCAGCGACAGGGAAGTTTCTTGTATCTCAAGAACAAGCCCAATGTCAATATCCTCTATGGCGTCCAGTCCAAGGAGCTGATCATTGATCCCCGCACCAACACTTGTCTTGGTGTCACCGTCATCAACCCCGATACCAAGGGAGAACTCAGCGTCTTCGCCAGCAAGGAAGTCATTCTATCTCAGGGCGTCTTCGAAACCCCCAAGCTTCTCATGCTTTCTGGTGTCGGTCCCGCCAAGGAACTCCAGAAGAACGACATCAACGTCAAGCTCGACTCTCCTCACGTTGGCCAGCATCTTCTCGATCACCCTATCGTTCCCTTCGTTCTCCAGGTCAAGGATGGCTTCGGTCTAGAGGACTACATCCTTCGAGATGGAGCCGCCAACAGCGCTGCTGTCGCTCAGTACAAGCGTGACAAGACCGGTCCTGTCAGCTCTGGTCTCCTCGAACTCGTCGGCTTTCCTCGTATCGATGAGCGTCTCGAGCAGCACCAATCCTACCGTGAAGCCAAGGCTGCGAACGGTGGTCTAGACCCCTTTGGTCCTAAGGGTCAACCTCACTTCGAACTCGATTTCGTCGGCATGTTCAGTACTGCTTTCCAATGGCACTACCCCGTCCCCGAGAAGGGCAACTACATGACCGTCATCGTCGACCTTCTCCGTCCACTATCTGAAGGTCAAGTCACTCTTAACAACAACGATCCTCTTGTGCAGCCTAACATTAACCTCAACTTCTTTGGCAATGATCTTGATATCCTTGCTATGCGCGAAGGTGTTCGCTGGACTTATGATGTTCTTACCACTGGCAAGGGCTTTAAGGACATTGTCCTTGGCGAATATCCTTGGAGAATGCCCCTTGAGTCTGATGAGGAGATGAAGAGAGCTGTTCTCGATCGCAGCCAGACTGGTTTCCGCAAGTCCACTCTATCATCATTTTAAAATCTTGTGCTAACACGGCTCACAGACCCCTGCGGTACTGCACGTCTCTCTAAGAACATCCAGCAGGGTGTTGTTGACTCTCGCCTCCGCGTTCACGGAATCAAGAACCTCCGCATTGCTGATGCCTCCGTGATCCCTGTCATTCCTGACTGCCGCATTCAGAACTCTGTCTACATGATTGGAGAGAAGGTAAGATATTTTCAACCCAATTCTGATGAATTTACTGACATGTTTCATAGGGTGCCGATATGATCAAGGCTGATCATCCTGAGATCTTTGGTCAGGAAGCTCCTACCAGGGCCAACCCATTCACTAGCCGCCTATAGATGGATATAGATGCTTGATCGGAGGTACTGGGATTAGAATTGGTTTGCGTTTAGACATAGCATATAGACTTAGATGATTTTACAATAGAATCTTTTATTTCAGTCTTTCGCTATCCATCTTAACATTGATGTAAGATGCAAGAATGCTGACCAAACCGTCAGCTTCATGAACGGAGCCAAATTCATCCACCAATCACAATCCTCGGCATGACTCACTCCACAGTTGCATCACCTCATTCGTCCATCAGCATTATCAATGATGGCTAAATGAGGTTCCTCTAAATCATTTAATAGACCGGTAGCTTATGATTGTATCGCGCGTCTTCACTTGAAGCTCTCTTAATTATTTCAAATCTGCGAAAACCCGTCAAGGAAAATGGCATCGACAGCACCAAACTCGATCAAGGTACTACTTCTTACCAAAACCCGCGGCTATCGTCATGACTGCATTCCCGCCATGATTTCGGCGTTTAACTCACTACCATTCTCCGTGAGCGCAACTGAAGATTCAACAGAGTTGCTGTCTCTTTCGAACTATGACGTCGTTGCTCTCGGACATAACACAGGCGATTATCTGAATGAAGAGGAAGTCACCTCCTTGCTAAGCTTCGTCGAAAATGGCGGTGGTGTTGTAGGCATTCACGCTGCCACATCTGGCTTAAAGACAAACGCCAGGTATACCAAGATCTTGGGCGAGGTGTTTAATGGCCACCCGCCGCCACAGTGGATGACTCTCGCGGTCGAAACCTCAAATCACTACATCAACGGTTATCAGTCCCTTCCTGGTCCAGACTCTGCACCTGAAGAAGCTCCTGTATGTCCTGTCAAGACAGAGTCTCTTCAAGCGGGGCAGTTCACGTGGTTCGACGAGGTGTATACATTCAGATCTCACCCGCGTATCGATGGCCGCACTATCTTACTTTCGGTGCAGGGGGGTAATGAGGAGAGCGCTGAATCGGCAGGGTTTCCGTTGTCGTGGACTCAAACGGTCGGAAAGGGAAGAGTGTACTACACTGCTCTGGGCCATTTTGATGAAGCGTATAAAGATACTTGGTTCATGGAAAGCTTGCGCCGAGCTGTGGTATGGACTGCGAAGAAGGACTAAGGGTATACTTTATGAGAGAACACAATTGGTGTACAGACCATTGTGGTGGCAGGACGCAGATAGAGCCGAGCGGGACACTGCATCAGTCTGGTTTGACAATATTTCACGTTCAGAATAAAGCTGCTTTCCGTCAAATACCGTGCGCTGTCCCTATACCTGTAGAGTCGAGAGTCAGGTTAATCATGGCGGGTGTATGATGGTCCATGGACCTTGTTTCTTGACGAGACGACTCGGGGTTTCGTCCATGACTGTCGTTAAAACTGAGTTTCGAGTCGGCATGGTTACCCCCGCGCGGGGATAATTCTTTCTCCCCTACCTACACAAGGTGAGTTGTTTTCGGCCATGCTGCACCGCCAAGATATACTCTCAATGCCTCGCCAAGGCAGATAATTACAGTCAGAAGGTCCGTTCCCTGCAAATTCATTGATCTTCACAGCTCCTGAATCAAGCATAAACTCTGTCGCTTCTCGCGGTGTCGTAGTGCGGAGTTTCTCCAACGTCGGCTTACCGCTTTCACTCCCTTCCAAGCCAGCCAAGAAAGATAAGCAAACAAGACCAACAGCGGGAACTGTAAGATTGTGGATCAAGCGGGACGGAACAAGTCTTGGCCCGAGGGTCGTGCTTGGTACCCAGTTTATATCTGGACTCAGCTATCATCGGAGGCTTGAGGAGGAATCTTTTCTGATGGCCGTCTCAAGACGCGGTCCAATCATGAAGTTTGACTCTGCACGCGTGAACGAGGAGAATTTCCTAATGGGGAAATGAGGCACGTTGATCTTGGGAAACGACGAGATCAACAGCATAAGTTGTCTTTAAAGGACGATAAACGCGCATAAGTCAATTCGTTGAGCAGGGTACTTGATGTTTAATTGTTAAGCTTATCTTGGGATGTGCAGTGACTGCTGAGTTGTCGGGATTGCAATGTGACGAGAGATCAAGACCCTGTTGCTGGAACTAGCTAGCCCGGATAAGGGGACGCGTCTCAACGCGTAGAACATAGCGCGTCTTACCCCAATATGGATGTAGACTACCCTATGCCAATGTTAAACTCACCATTTGCTCCAGGTTTTCTCCATCTCTCGCTTGCGAACACGGGGAAATTCTCAGCTCACAGGCCAGTGACAATCATCCCGCACGCATAATCACGCCAAGTAAAGCCTATACAGCTATAGTAATATGTCCTTTGCTGACCACTTTTCATCATCAAAAACACTGGGGAGAAGTGCAGATCAGAAAGCCAAGATATCCACGGAAGACCCAATTTGTCTAACCGATGAGGGTCCTGTAGATAACTCGTGATGACAATCGCTCTGGGCATTACTGGGATGAGACATGAGATCAGCGTGCTTATTGTTGAGTTAATTTCACTCTGTTGTGCTTTGCGCGCTATCTGGTCTTTTACTCTGCTGTGATTCGATCCTGGGATGTTTTGTGGCATGTAGTCTCACATTCAGCTCCTTGAAGGTGCACTGTCAACCAAATCAACGATCGCCAATGCACATTCAGAAATCCAAGCCATTGAAAAGCACTAAACGCGAAAAATCTTCTAGAATTTTTCTATCCTTCTAGATAGGCAGTGGCGATAGCCTCACAAGGCGACTCACCATCTTGAATAATAATTATCCGCGCCCTACCCGGTACCATTTTCGCCACGAGTGACGGAATAGCCGCCCGAGGAAATTCATGACGTTGCCGTGAGACTTTTTAGCGCAGAATTCTTATCCCAAAGCCTTATCCACTAAAACCCCACACACCTCGGCACTATTCCCCAATTATTCTCGGCGCGGGTTGAGAAATCACGACAGCACAAAACTTGGAGAAAAGGGGGGACTTTTGCGGTGGGTGATGTGATCTTACTCCGTATGGAGTATACTTATGGTTATTCTCGGGCTTTTGTTTCTATTTCTCTGGAGTAATCACTCCGCAAGATCTCGCTCCGTGCTTTATTTCGGTTATGTTATGTTGCGTCCTGTTGATATGCCGATCACATCTTGACAATCCCTTAGTGATGGCCAACTCTATCTGTCAAAAGAAGCAATCTTTCCTCAAAACATATTAATGCGGTGTAAGAAAGCGTCACATTAACAATCGTCATTTCTCCAACTCGTATGAGGGATTGATCTAGTTCATGTAATGGCACACACACGTACAGGGATAAAGAGCCGAGGGATGGAGCATCTCGATTCAAGGGTCCTTGTCTCTTTCAGGAAATTGTGAAGATCACCAACGCCTATGACGTATCTATTCCGCCAACGTCATTTTACCCATATTTAAAAATTTTCAACATTATTCTTCTAGCTATCACCAACCGATAATTAAACTCTCACTCTTTTAGACCCAGTATTTTTCTCTTCATATTTTACGTCAGCGGGGCCCCTGAGTTAGCGTAGCTCCCGTTGTGACGTTATTCGCGATGAATCTACTGGCTAGAAATCTCTTCGACCCTTCACATGTGTTGTTTATCTAAGGTTATCGGGTTCAAGGGACCATATTTTTTCTTCTCCTCATCGTACTCCAAGTTTTTGCACCGTGCCAAGTTTTTGGGGCCCGAGTCATTCTCGGCTTATCAAGTTACATTCTTCTCCACTTGTATACTGTGACAATGAACGGCAATAAAACATTGGGGAACTGTGGGTGAAGTGATCCACGTAGGCTCCAGAGTTTACTTGGCGCTGGTGTTGCTGATTGTCCTTATAAAGGATTGTGAATCTCCCGGACTTGAATTGGGTCTGAACTGTTATCCAACATCAAGAGCTGGTCTTTTTTAAAGAAATCAGTCATCATGGTTCACGTCGACAACGAGCATGGTGTGCCGCACTACTGGGGCAAGACCGGTAAGGGTCTTCAAAAGCTCATCACTATAGTCGCTACCACAGACTTTCTTCTCTTCGGTTATGGTATGTTTTGTCTCCCCAGGTATCTGTGCGTCTGAGCAAAGTCTAAAGGTTGCGTTTCATGTAGATCAAGGTGTCATGTCCGGTATCATCTCAGCTCCCGCTTTCACAGACGATTTCCCCCAGGTTCTTGATGAGACATACGAAGGCTTTGTCGTCTCCATTTACGCTGTCGGTTGCTTCCTCGGTGCCCTCTTCATCCTCAACTTTGGTGACCGTCTTGGTCGTCGCAAGTCCATCTTCCTCGGTGCTATTATTATGATCATTGGTGTCATCATTCAGATCTCTGCTGTTCCTCCTAGCGGTGGCGCTACGGCGCAGTTCATTATTGGAAGATGTATCACCGGTATTGGAAACGGAAGTAAGTTGCTCCACCATTCTCAGAATTGAATGCATCGATGCTAACGTCTCAGTCAACACATCCACTATCCCTACCTACCAGGCCGAGTGCAGTGAGTCTCACAACCGAGGCAAGCTCATCTGCATTGAAGGCGGCAACGTCGCCATCGGAACGCTGATCGCCTACTGGATCGACTACGGCTGTACCTATGGTCCCGCTCCCTTCGTCTGGAGATTCCCCATCGCTTTCCAGGTCGTCTTTGCTTCCATCGTCCTCGTCATGATGATGAAGCTTCCCGAGTCGCCTCGCTGGCTCCTCACCCATGGTCGTCGTGAAGAAGCAGCGACAATTCTAGCAGGTCTTAACGGTCAGGCTCGTGACTCCCATGATGTGACCACCCAGATGGCTACCATTGAGAAGGCCATCGCTGCTGCTGGCCACAAGGGCGGCAAGACTCCCTTTTCTGCTCTCTTCACTGGCGGCAAGACTCAGCACTTCCGACGTCTCATTCTCGGTGCCTCTTCTCAGATGATGCAGCAGCTCTCCGGTTGCAATGCTGTCATCTACTACTTCCCCATTCTCTTCCAGAAGTCCATTGGTACCGATCACAACCTGGCTCTCCTCCTCGGTGGTGTAAACATGATCATCTACTCCATCTTCGCTACAACCTCTTGGTTCGCAGTTGAGCGCGTCGGTCGCCGCAAGCTCTTCCTCATTGGAACCGTCGGCCAGTGCTTGTCTATGATCCTCTCCTTCGGCGCCCTTATCCCTGGCACTGCCTCTGCCTCCAAGGGCGCTGCTGTCGGCCTCTTCACTTACATCGCTTTCTTCGGTGCCACGTGGCTGCCCCTCCCTTGGCTCTACCCCGCTGAGATCAACCCTCTCAAGACCCGCGCGAAGGCTAACGCCACCTCCACCGTCTCCAACTGGCTCTGGAACTTCTTCATCGTCATGATCACCCCGGTCATGATTCATGGCACTGGCACCAACGGTTGGGGCACCTACGCCTTCTTCGCTGCCATGAACGCCTGCTTCTTCCCTATCATCTACTTCTTCTACCCTGAGACTTCTGGTAGATCTCTCGAGGAGATTGATCTGATCTTCGCCAAGGGCTACACCGAGAAGATCAGCTACGTGACTGCTGCCAAGCAGCTTCCCCGCATGGAGGATCACGAGGTTCACGAGAAGGCTCGCGAGTATGGCTTCGGCACTGACGATGAGAAGGCGTCTCACGTTGAGTCTGAGGGTGACAACGGAGTCATGACTGACGCCGTCTAAGGTCGAACTGGCATTCGACGTTCTGTTCTAGCTTGCTGGAACCAACTTTTGCTTATTATCACGATTTGACGCATCTATAGAAGCTACGATTGTAGCTATGACCATTCAGATACTCCCATGACTTTAGTAGTCTAGCATGAATACAGATCTTATAGAAATTACCACTCTTTGATGTTTGTGACTGTTTATCTGAGACATGTTTGTGAAATTCATTCGTCCGAACTCGCTAGCAGCCAAGCTAGCCAAGTCCAATGGCATCACGGCCAGTTTGTGCAGATCATCGGAAACTTACGCGTTGTATCAGCGCCTGATGCTGCAGCATGCAGTGGCCGGACTTAAATTCGGTGAAATAGCCCATTGGCTGTACGGGGACTTTCATCATCCTGCAGGGTCCTTGGTGGAGCTACGGTGTCGATCTCTAAGATAAGACTCCCTCAAGATTAGCAACGGTCATGAAGGCAGTATCGTCGTGACCCTGGGGGAGTAAGAGAACATAAGACCTTGATATTGATATGAAGAAAAACTCATTTAAAGGTATCCTACATCTATGCTAAAGTACTCAAGTCTTTTTGTCATTTAGGATCCATGTCCCGAGCTTTCTTCCCTCCCTTAAGTGGCGTATGAGGGATATTGTGAGCAGGTAGCTGAGCCATAATTATCATCGCCTCTGTCCTATCTACACGTCTATCCAACGAGCCATCCATGTTTGCGTTACCTGTTTCGCCTCATCGACGAGCCCCAAGTCCAACAACAGCTGCACACTACCCCTCACCGCACTCTCAAGCGCACTAAAAATCCATGTATGTGTAAAGGTGGCTGCCTCTCCAATGAAAACAGTGTTGAACTCCGTCTGGTAAAACGCAGGGAGATACAAATGCTGCTGTCCAAAGATCTGCATCGTAAAAGCACCAGCATGATGTTCCTCTTGCTCCCAACATTGCCGCTTGTAGTTGCCAGTCCAGTTCTCTTCGACTACATCACCGTGGACTTCGATAAGGGCGTTCTTGATGTAGGCTAGATGTTCTTCCTCGGACATGGCGCATGCTGCTGTTGCTTCGTAGTCGGAGAGATAAGATGCTAACATAGTACCAGGGCCGGTGGAGTTGATGTGCCATGACGGATAGCAGACCTGGCCTAGTTGAGGGCTGGTGAGGCGAGTACAGCCGCCGATGATAGGCTTATCGAGATGTTCCCAGAAGCGCGTCTTGAATTGAACAGCGACCTTGCAAGCGTTGGCATATAAGGTTCTATCGATTGCGCGCTTGAGAAGACTTGAGTATCGGGGCATTTTCCAAAACTTCATCAAGTTGAGCGGAACACTGTTCAGAACATAGTCAAAGTTCTCAACATTATTCGGCGTGCTAAAAGGTTCAGAGCCAGTGGGTTTCCAGGACACGGATAGAGTGTTGTTCTTGTTATAGTGCAGGCCGTTGACTTTGGCGTTGTACTGAACTCTGTCTTTTACGTGCGGCTCAAATGCAGCGGGTAACCTGCTCAAACCACCTTTGATAGTGACCCATTTACTGGCCAGGAAGTAAATGGTTTCGTATTCCCACATAGGCCAATAGATATGCGAGGGCGAGACTTCATCAGTCGTGTTGAGGTCTGTCTTAATCACATCTCGAAGGTAAGATACCTCAGAGTAATCGAATGCGCCATCCTCTTTGGCTTGCTTGTATGCTTTGAAGATATTGGACGCATACATACGAATTCGCTCGGGAGTGAGACCTTTGAAGTCATCCAAAGCCTCGATAGCTTCCCCAGCTGCTGTCGCATTATGATAGACAGGCGGGTTGTAATACGCTGGGTCATTCGCTACCTCGGCCTTGGTAGGCCATGTACCATCTGGACGTCGGAAGGGTGAATCGACAGGCGTATTTGGAGAACTTTGGATCCAGTCCCAGAACTCGACTTGAAGTGATTCGTTGCCTGCGTTCATTCCGTTGAGAAAATTCGCTAGTTGAAAGATCATTCGTTGATCCATGAAAGGAAATGTCTCGTTTGTCTCCGAGTCGGTGAGTTCGTATGGAAACCTCATGGGTCCAAGTTCATGGTATTGACCGTCTTCTGGTGAGGTACCATTCAAGTAAACAGTTCTGACGCGCCCTCCAACTCGTTCGGAGGACTCGAGAATCTTCCAGTTATGGATTCCGACAGAGTCAAGAATAAGCTTAGGAATGAGTCGTTAACTTCGCGTTTGGGGCCAGGGTGGGCATTACTTACCGAGGACAAAAGACCAGACATGCCACCACCCAAGATGCCAAAGGTCTTGTTCTTTGTAGCGGCAACGAAAACATCAGCAGGTTGCTTCTGCTTGAGATATGCAACGCCATCGAACCACAGGCTGTCGTCGCCAGCCACGTCCGCAAATGACTTCTTCGCACCTCGGCGTGCAAGGCGCTTGACAACGTCGAGCTCATCAGACTGGCCGATAAGTTCCCCGTCCAAGAAGGCGTTAAGGCAACCACCAGAAATATCATCCGATGTCAGCCAGACAAATCGTGTTGGTCGCTTATCCTGGTGATCAAGATGGCGCTTTGCTAGAGGATGCTGGCCAATATGCGTCGACCCGATGTGATGCACAGACTCTGAGACAGTTGCATCGGCACCGCATACGCCATAACTCAAGGTAAAGTGCCCGTCGACATCGCCGCTGTATTCAAGAACAACGTTTTGTGCGCTGCCAGGGCTGACTTTAGAGGGGGATATAAACTTGACAGAAGGGGAGTTGAGGGGTACTGCTTCGGCGAGTAACCCCAGGCTACTCGCTAGGGGCCATAGTAAAGCAGAACTTCTCATTTTGAACGCAGAAAGAGGTGGGTTTGCCAAATGGCGGTAGAACCCACGGTAACAGGGAGATAGCCATGTTTAAAAGGCGTCACAGCTGCCTTTCTAGTCTTAGGACCCGGATCCATTAATTGAACCCGACTCCCTGTCGGTGTATTTCTTACCGACCATGCTTGGTAATACTGCAAAGAAATCCCTCGCGATTCTATCGTGACCGACTCACTGCCAAGCAACGGTTTAACTGCATTTATACCATTTCTCTGGATAAACGTTAATTAGAGTTGGAAGAATAATAAGGCCCTGATCGATACGATACGTACGGATCAATCCCTACGGATACAGGCATATTTCTTGCCTATTAGGGTAAGCTAAGTACTCTTAAATTTAGGGTAATGTATCTTTGTTGCGCTAAAATTGCTTACAGGGCTATCCCCTGTAATTACAGTAAGTAAGCCCTATAACTATAGGGAATATCCCCTATAACTATAGGGGATAGGCCCTATAGAATTAGTGCCCATTTCAACTAAAAATCCGTACGTAGCTTTACCATCAGATGGCTGCGCTACGTACGGATAAAGCTACTTTGGCTTGTATTTTCCCCCACTTGGACCTGTAGCACCTGATCCGTACGTATCGTATCGATCAGGGCCTAAACAAGCTTATTGTTAGCGCAATGCATATCCTGGGTTGTCTTGAGATAAGAGATACGCCGTTGAGATATGTAGCTTGAATAGGAAAAGATATTCCCGAACTCGGCCGCTTATCAGTTCTGCACACTACTCCGATTCGTCCGAGAAAATCCAGGGACAGGGGTATAGTGATGATAACGGCTTTCTCCCAGTGTCGGAGCATCACACTCGATGGTTTCAACGGCAAAATCCCAGCGGATGGTGACGGAAATGCGGCCAGGCCAAGAGCTTGCGGGCTAGACGGCCTTGTACAATGCTAGAAAAACAAAACACTGGATCATGATGATGATACTAAGCTCTATAGGTATAATTCAAAACCCAATCATCACTCACAGTAACACTAAGTAAAATACACTTCACGGAATCACGCCTTGACACCTTTGTTCGACATACTCGCATCTCCACCGGACATACCAGTCTCTGCTTTTGTCGCATCCTCACCCTCAGTTGTCCCTCAGTTGTCCCTCGAAGGATATTGGGAGCATACGGCTGCTTCCAGTCATCACGGCGCTCAGAGACAACAAATACATTGAACCACCTGGGGACGACAAAACCAATCACACACCAGAAAAGTAACAGACGCGCGACGATGAAGCCGAGAATGTATAGCGGATCATTCTTGACTTCCTCGAAGCTGGGGTAAGCCGAGCTGAAGATGATAGCCAGGATCGAACCCGAGACGTATTGTAGCATCGGTGCCCAGATGAAAGAGAGGGACCAATTTTTACCATTGCCGATGACTGAGTTGAGATGGTGTCTTAGCTGGTTGTCCTACAGCACACAAATTAATTGGTTTGTCCAGAGTGGATGAGGCAAACTTACCGAGTAAAAGGCAATGTAGTAAAAGACGGAAGCCAGCTTGTTCTTGGATAATAATCGCGGTGCGCCATGGGCATCTGGTGTTTTTGCAAGGAACAATGAAGCAGCAAGGCAAATAAAATAGAGCCCGAAGCCAGCAATGGCACCAGCCCAAGGAGTCGCAGTGTGTCCGACAATAATACCCAGTAGCTGACCACCCAGAAAACCAACATTGTACAAGGCAAATGAAGGCTTTCCGACCTGACCAACAACATCCTCGAATCGATATAGAGTAGTCGCGCCAACACATTCCGCCCAAACGACAAAGACGAGGCCAATGCTATTGATCCATCGGTCAATTCCATCCATAAAGAAGTAACCAACTCAGTGCAGTGAGGAAGCGAAAGGAGAAAGCAAATCGTTACCATTCCAGTTTATGGCAAATGGCGAATCGAGGATCAACGTCATGACTGCATCCAACACAGCAAAGGACGAACTAATACCGAGCAGCATGGTGGTGAAGAAGAAAATGACGGAAAAGAACCCTGAAGCAGGCATCTCGACAAAGGTCTCAGGATACGTCATGAAGCCGAGCCCATAGCTTCCAATCTCACCAGTCTCTTCAGCACGCAGCCGAGATACCCAACGATATCGAACACTGCAAACACACACAGGGCCTCGAAAGAAGACTTGACCGACAGCGTCGCGCCAGATTTTGGTACCAGCGAGTTTTGAGCTGTGCCAACTGGCGAAATAGAGCTTGATGCCTGAGCTAGCATTGGGGAGGGATACACCGCGTCCAATGAGGATGATAGCCATTACGATCGGCAAGCCCATTGTGAAGTAGACGACGCGCCCGGTTGGACCGATTCCCCGAAACATGCAGAGCCACAATATGAACCAGGTAAAAGCGTTCCAGCCGACGAGGCGACCATTGAGCGAGACATCCGGATACACAACCCACTGCTTGCGATAGAAAACGCAGCATGTTTTCCATTGCCACTACGCCGCCGCAAGAGGCGAGGAGGTAATTTTGCGCAAGATATTCATGGCGGAGGAGCACCTCGAAAAGTAAAGCAACAACAAGAAGGAGAGGAAGTGAATCTGGATTGAGGCGGCGATCTTTGGAGCGTCTTCTGGTTCCTTAAACTATCGTAGAGCCTTGGCCGCTTCCTCACAGGGAACATGCCCGAGATTCAACATGTTGCCTGAAAGATTGATGTTCTTATCGATGTGGCTGTGGTTGGGAGAACAACGTGGTGATTCGGGTATGAAAGACTCGACGTGTCTTGGAGGGCTCGGCGTACGATATGTTTTTGCGGGTGAGCTAGCTTGACACGTTTAAAAAAAGAGGAGGGAAGAGTCAAACAAGTTAGATGCTTTGTTATCTCTCTGAGGGATGGAATATGTTGAAGCTGGAGTGTTGCTTGGGGGTAATTGGCATTGCCCTGGACATGATGGGACCTGGTTTCAACTCGAAATTCGCTCAATAGAAAGGTTTGGACAGTGTTCAAATCCTTTAGCACAGAGTGCTCACACCGTTCCCCGAATAGACCTTCAATGAGGTCTTCTTCTACACGTATAACGGCGGAAGACATGGCTTGTAGGCTGACAACTTCTCCTTAATTTAAGCAAACGAGTCATGCTAAGGAATAAGGTTCTGAATAACCACCCAAATTTTCCACTCTTCTTAAATCTCTCATTAGATAAACCGGCAGCGGATGCTATTTGATTCCGTCGTCGGTCTTGATTATATACCTGACCGCCAAGGAAATGGGAGGTGAAAGGTAGTGATAACACGATTGGCTCGCTTGGCTATCCATGGACCAACCCCTTGCCGACTAAAATCACAGCTCGTTCAAGCTCGTTCAATGCTCTGCTATGCGCGCCATAAGTTTCACATCTACAACCGTGCCGGTTAACCGAATCCATTCTATATGTACGAACTGAGTACCAACTGTGGAAAAGATCCGCACCACGATCCATGCCACGGTTGTGATACGAAGAGCGAGATCTTTTAGACTTTCGGTAACTATCGGCTGTGATGCTTGCATTGGTGCGATTTTTTGGCAAGCGTTGTCAGCTGCCAGGTATACCGAAACCTTAAACTCTGAAGTTCCTTCAATAGGCCCCCTGGTCAAGCAGTGTAATTATTCTCAGCTGTAGTAGGTCACGAAGTGAGCTGTCTGGTATCTAGATATGAGGCTATGAGGACAATGGCCAGGCCCTCGAAATTACTCATAGAACTCGACAATCACTTTAAATGGGTAAATTGAAGACATGGGGAGTAGGAGAGCTGATTTTGGTGTGTCATGAGATGCCTATATCGTGAAGAAGAACGACGTGTCCTCGTAATATGTAATGATAACCTCAGATCTAACCATACGGTCGGCAAGTAGTAAGTCAACTACTTAGCTTTGGCAGCAGTAACCCGAGGGTGTTAAAGGTCGGTCTGTTGTGCCTCTGAGAGGCCCACTACAGTATATTGTGTTATCCACTTCATTTAGTCTAAGTGGTATGATGTTTCGTATGACGAACTATAATTCGTAGCCCTTGCAAACCATGAGCACGGTTGACAAGATAAAGAAGAAAGAATTATAAATACACAGCCGTATTCCTCACAAGAGAGAAGATGTTCACCCCTTAGCAAAAAGCAACCTCCCTGACCAAGACCACTTCAGCAACAATGTCTGCTATCAAGTCTATCATCTTTTCCAGTCTCCTCCTAGGAGCCGTCCAAGCGTAATTAGACACTCTCCCTCTTTACGAAAGGACCAGGGCTAATTCTTGACTAAAAGTAAGGACCACAGCACGCACAACTGCTGTATCAACTGGGCCAAAGTACCAGGCAGTGGGTACAACGGATGGGGTGTCAATTGGGGACTCACCCATATTGCGTGCAACAACTATCCCAGCAGTGCAGTGAGTACTCGGACTTGGTCTCAGCCTTTATATAGATAGCTAACATAACTATTAGGCTAAATGGGACGGACAGACCTGTGACGAGCAATACAATGGCGCTATCAGTGGGAGCACCTTTATGTCCCAGTGCCAGGATGCTGGAGTAGCAAATGGATATACTCGTGATCAGATTGGTGCTGGATACCGTGGTACTTGCTAAATCCCTGTCGGGGCTCAGGAATAGCCTGATTCCAGTCAGCTGAGCCTAAATTGATTACTCATTGTTTTTATATGGACAGCTAACACCGCTGAGTATGTGATATGAGTATATAATAATATCGAGAGATTAGTGGCATGCTTTCAACATGGAATGAGGCTGGGTTGAAGTCGGAGGTTTGGCGTGGTACCAGGTCCATCTTAGACTAAAGAACATAGTATGACGTATGAAAAGTTAAGCGCTTGGAAATGATAATTGCATCGCGCTGCGAGAACATGCATGGGAGTCGTCGACCTCATTGGTTAACTCATCGATTTTCAACCCCCCTGCATTGCAGCTGAAGTTGGCTTACTCAACTCAGCCTCATCATGCGTACCCCGCGGCAATTCTTACGACAACCAAGAAATATCGCGTTGCGACATCAGAAATCGAATAATTGTCTAAGTTTACTGGAGCAAAAACACATCATGGAGCCAGTCGGACTCGCTGTCGGCCTTGTCGGCCTTTTCAGCACCTGTATGGACGTTATGCAGCGGGTTGACTCGTACAGAACAGCTGGTCGCGACTCGCGACAGCTCGACGCTCAACTCAATGCGACCATGCATCTCTTCGAGCGATGGGGTGACGGTGTCGGCATCAGTAAGGGCAAGCTCTCGGACAACCATCATCCAGATCTTGATAACCCACGCACGTATGCAGTCATCAAAGGTCTACTGAATAGCATCAAGGATTTCTCAGCAACCTCGAATGATCCTCCAAGTCCGGGGGGGCTTCAGAAGACTACATCATTCCCAACCTCGGGAGACATAACTTCACATGTGCCCAAGATCTCAAAGTGGCAGAAGACAGCATGGGCGCTGCACGGAAAGCTGAAACAGACAAGCCATGTCCAAGCACTTGCGGGTCTCGTGTCAGATCTCTATAGTGTTGTTCCCCCCAACACCAAGGCCTCAATTGCCTTGACGCGAAGCCCAAGCCTCAAGGACTTATCTATCAGCACAACCCCGCAGCCATATGCTGAGGAGATTCGAGAACTACTACAAAAGATCGAGGAGGAGATGGAAGGTAAACGATTTCTTGATTCCAAGATTACAGATCAGCCTAACCTTTATAGATGATAAAATACGCGATTTGCATTTATGGCTTGGGGCCCCGCCACCAAGCGATGTGTTCAGTGACTCAAATGATAAGCGCGTTGAAGAAACATGTGAATGGATTCTCCATCGCGATGAGTTTCTAGAGTGGCAGAAGCCCTCCTCCTCAAGCAAACTACTCTGGATCAGAGGCCCAGCTGGGTTCGGGAAAACGGTCCTTTGCGCCAGAATTGTTCAAGAGTTTGAAAGGACAGCACAGGAGCCCGTCGCGTTCTTCTTCTTATCGTCAAGATACGATGGCCACGACGATCCTTTCTCAGCCATCCGAGCATGGCTGACTATGATGATACAACGCAGCCCGGGGGCTCGAGACATCGTGAAAAAGACCCGGCAAACACAGCACGAGCCACTGGCGAGCCAGGCAACCATACTACAAGCTTTTCGCGAGGTTATGGTAGGCGTTCCGGGCTGCATTCTTATTATGGATGGTTTGGATGAGTGCGCAGGCATGTCAAGTGCAGATACAAAATCTGTCCCGTGTTTCCTCCAGGAATTACACAAAGCTACTTCCAACACTGAAACCAAGATTCTCATCTCAAGTCGTGGCGATCCCCTTATCCAACAAGGTCTTTCAGACTTCACTGGATGCAGTGAATACACCATCACTCCAGACGACGTTGGCCCAGACCTAATGGCATATTCATCTGAACTTGTCAAAGCAAAGTTACCAAACAAGGACGAACCAACACGAGAGTCGATTGCACGAAAGATGGCATACAGAAGCAACGGTCAGTTCCAGTGGGTTAAGCTCCAAGAAGGATCTCTGAGAAAGGGACGGAGCAGAAAGCAACTCGAACGAGAGATTGATGAGACTCCGTCTGGTCTTGACAGTCTCTACGACCGGGAATGGACCAGAATCAACTCGATGGCGGACTCAGATAAAGATCGAGCTCTTTCATTGCTACGATGGACTGCGTTCGCATTCAGACCGTTGACAGTGTTCGAGATTACGGAAGCCGTCCTCATAACAGATGACATAGATGAGTTGCCTCTGGATGAGATGCCAGATTGTGTCGATCAGGACTATGTCGATAGTATGATCCTGGAGCTTTGCGGATCACTGATTGAAGTCCGGCGCGTCTCATCGTCTGAGAGTACCAAAAGCCCCGAACGTATCCATGTATCAGAAGAGTATTCTGTTGGCTTACAAGAGGTTCACTTGTCACACTTCTCTGTCAAAGAATACCTCCTCCTCAAGACCTTTCCCGGCACCAATACGTTGCTCTCAAATGAGAAACTTCGCGTTACTAACGAAGATCTCCACAACAGTACTCTTGCAAAACATTGTCTTCGTTTCATAAACTTGCGGGGAGCTTTTGAAAGCGTAAAGATGAACAACAATGGAAGATCAGGAAAACACTTCGTGTTCTATGCTATGCATTACGGGTTTCATCATTGCCGAGACGTCAAGAGTATTGATCCGGAGTTACAACAGGCAGGCATTGCTCTTCTCAATAGTCGAAACCAGAACTGGCCCTTTGTGAAAGAGTTCATGAAGACCGAGCTGATAGGTGATGATGACCCTGATTTTCAAGACAGTTCAATAAGCCCATTTGTACTTGCAGTCTTCGGTGGACTCACAGACGCTATGGCGCACCTCATACGAGAAGGGAGCCTAGACATGAATGATCGTTCATTTGGCAATTCGACTCCGTTGTTCTTGGCTTGCGCTTCCAGTCGTAAGGACATTGTTGAATTGCTCATCGACAATGGTGCAGACATCAATGTAAGATGCTACGAAGGCCAGACCGCTCTACATGTTAGCGCAGACAATGGGGATGATGGAGCGATAGGACTCCTTCTATCAAAAGGCGCTGACGTCTCAGTGGTCGATGATGATGGAAGAACAGCATTCGATGTAGCTTTGGCAGCTGGCAATACCGAGGCAGCCCGACTACTTGTAGATGGGGGAGCTGATATTCACAAAGAGACGGCAGATGGGGACACCCCACTTTCTATGGCTTCATGCTACGGAAACGTCGACTTGGTCAAAATTCTCATTGAGAGAGGTGCTGATGTAAACCAGGTAGTGCTAAACGGAAAGTCATCTCTTCTGCACGCTGTCGAAAACGACCACTCGGAAATCGTCGGATTACTTATAGATAAAGGTGCAAAGCCCACTAGTGTTAGAGTGGATGGCCGCATCTTCTCATTACTCGATGTAGCCGCTGGTCACGGGCATGTCAACACATTTAAAGCTCTTGTCAGCAAGGGTGCCGCACTAACAAACCCTCAACCATTGTTTCTAGCTACAACTTATGGTCATTACCATGGATTCATACAAGGATTTTACGGCGAATTTTATCTCACATCATCTTACTTCCCTTATTCAAGCTATCATAAGATACTGGAACTGCTGCTTCAAAGCGGTACCCAGGTAAACACCTGCGACGAAGACGGAGATTCGCCACTCTATGTGGCTTCATTTATCGGCTTGACAGACATAGTGGAGATTCTAATCAAGAATGGTGCTGACGTGGATATTAAATCAGCTTCTGGAGAAACGCCACTTCATTGTTGTTCAAGGATGGGGCATCTTGCGGTAACGCAGCTTCTTCTCCAAAATGGAGCTGATATCGCCTCTAAAGACAATTTTGGTCGAACAACTTTGCATAATGCCTGCAAGTCGGGAAATATGGATATCGCCAGACTTATTACAGACACAATGGGGCCGATCGATGAGCCTGACCTCTGGGGTTCGACGCCTTTGTCCATCGCAGCAAGATTTGGCCGCGTTGAGATCGTTAGGTGGCTTATCGGCGCGTGTGCTGTAGATGTCAAGTCGAGGGATAAGTTCGGTAGGACCGCGACATGGTGGGCTTCCAGTCTTGGTTACGATGCAGTTGTAAACCTGTTGGCTGAACCCCCCAGTCATCAGGATTCGGGGGCTGATGTAACGAGATCTGCACATGAAGACGAGACTCAAGATAAGGGACGTTACTGCGACATATGCTGTTTGCCTGTATCTGACCAAGGCTATATGAGGTGTGGAATTTGTGAAGGCGGGGACTTTGATATATGCTTACCTTGTTTTACGCTTGGTGGAGATTGCTTTGAGGAGTCACACGAGTTAGTTCCTGTTGAAGCTGAAGCGGCAGACTGAATAGACTTTCTAAGAGGAAGCTCTACTATAAGACACTTTAATGAGACTTTTAGATAGAGTGGTGTAATTCAAGGCTGACGAAAGTAATACATGATGCACTACCGGTAAAGCGTTTCAGTATACACAGATGTGCTAGTCTATCGGAAGTTCAATACATCTTGTTTCTCCCCGTGTTCATTAGGAATGGGCCAAACATAAACTGACTGACTCGACAAGCTAACCAATGGCAACCCATTTTCGGCTTCACATGTTCTCTGAGTCCGTTAAAGGTGGCTGATCTGCGGCTTTTGTTGGTCCTTCACTTTCGCTGCTGCGAAGACTTCGGTATGCCATTTTGTAGGACTGGATGAGCATCACAGAAACACTAGGCTCGTAAATTTTCTCCCCCATTACGGGTTTAAAACCGGTTTGGCCAAGGTAATATGTCTGTCAAATCGTGGCACAGTCGCAAAATTCTTGCTGATACCATAACCATCAACCGAGAACTGACTGACAGCTTCTTTTGGAATGGGTGGATACTCGCTTCAGCCATCTCGCAACCATCATGCAAAGGAAAGGACATTTAATGGATCTGACCAACCCTTTTATGACAGCTGCTTTCATGCTTATCATTGCTGTAAGCTTCATGAATAATTTGGTCCAAAAGGCACAGTCAACCCATCATGTAATCATGACTCTTCATCTATAAGTACTAGTTAATAGACATGATCTCATGAAATGCCACTGCAGCCTCCTAACTACTTTGCAGCCTTTATCATCATAGAATCATAGACTGACTTACAATCAAGCTAAAAACATGAAGCTAAGTACGGCTACCGCTCTCTGCTGTAGCGAAGTCCCAAATACTGACTGATGTACCATAGTTTCATCCCTTCTAACCACTTTGCTTGCCGGTAGCATGGTGAGCGCCAAGTACACCACCGAAATCCCCGACGACGCGGTCTGGGTCACCAGCTGGGACGAGTTGCATGCTGCCCCTCGATTTGGAGGAGTTCTCCTCCCCAAGTACGGCGGCTTCGTCATTGAAGTTGATGAGAAAATTGTCTTGGCTACGGATGAACAGATGAGTAAAGAGGTGCTCGACTTGCTCACACATTTGGAGGAAAACGACCCGCAGCCTGAGGGCGAGCAGACTACTCCCAACAAGAGAGATATGGAAGTCCGAGGTTATGGAAATAGATGTTCTCATCCTCCTTGCTTTGGTCCGGGACTTTGCTCTCAGTACTCTCATTGCCATGTGTGTGCTGGTCTTACTGGCGTGGTTTTCAAGAGAGGCCGGTACATTTGAATCTGACATCTACTTGGTTGGAATAGAAGGGGGACATCAAATAACGCTATGGCTGCACAAACAACGATTTTCGGCTGTTTGACTAGAAATAAACAGATTCGGGGTTTTCAAGAAAAGGGAACCTTTGAGGATGGCCCGCAATGATAAAAGCATTACGTTATTAGATCGAACCATTCTCTTCCATCTGTTGGTTAGGTGACTGTTGGTTGATCCCATAGCAGGGATTAGAAGACAGTTATCACATGCCTACCTGAATGATGCAGGATGGCCATTATAATTGATAAGAATGCTCTCACCAGGTGCATCTAGAACCTCTAGCTCAAGGTGAAGACGGTTTTCCCTTTCAACCTCTATCCTTACAACAAATTATCACAGTCCATGTCTCAACCCAACACCGAGGTTCACGAATCAACCAATACTGAAGCAACATGCTGCAGTAGCGAAGATGGCATCGCCTACAAAGACCTCTCACCCGATCAAAAAGAAATAAGCGACATTCTACGCAACATGGATCGCGATCCTGATCTACTGGGTCTCGCAGACCTCGGCAAAGACGGAGTTTTCCGCTTCCTCGACGCTGATCGTAACATTCACTACGCCGTTCCTCTGCGACCTGCACTCATCAAAGCCCTCATTGATCGTCTCCCTTATGACCCAGAAGTCGAGAAGTTCTGGCGGGGAGTCGATGGGACACAAGTGCTTGAAGAGCAGTGGTATAATCCGCCAGAAGGGATATTACCTCCGCCGTTGACAGAAGAGGAGAGAAAGGAGGAACGGGAGATTATGGAGAAGAACAGAGACAAGATTGATAAGATTCAGGAGGATCTAAGGAATGGAATCCATCGCGAACGGCTTGTGTTTATAGAATCGGATAATAAGCTTGAGTAGATCTGATGTTGCAACAATCAAGCTAAGCATTTAGCTGCGAAGCGAGGCAAAAAAGGTTGGGAGCTTTATCAGATGTGCCAAAAAGACAGGAGCAAGTTTAGCTTAAACACATCAGCTATCTGACTAACTATTTTTGGCACCATCAGCGGTTGAGCAGAGTGTTCTATTTTTAGCTGTCTCCACTGCCGCAAGCCTCTCATTTCCGCCTTGACTTGAAGTTGATCTTGGTCCAAACACTGGAGGTTAGCCTTACGAGTCATGACTATGAGATTCATCTGGTCGGCAAATTCAATCAATTCAGTTTGTTTATTTCAAGTTTAGCGCCAAGCTGCCTATAACATTTAGGGAAGCTGTTAGCGATGGAAATACAAGGCACTTTTGGTTGACCATTGTTACGTGGCTCGAAGCTTATTGTTCTAGCCCTGCCGCGCTAAACCCACTGATGACAGGACCCTGGCTTTCCGTGGGACAGCTTCAGGGTATTTTCATCACAACTACGGAGTACTCCGTAGACATAAATCTATTCTTCGATACGGCCTATAGCTCATCAACACTTGATTGATCAAGAACTTAGTAACAGATAGATATGTCCCAGTGTTTTTAGTATTATGAGACTTGTTTGAGTTGCGATTTCGGGCAAGAATACAGTGTCGCCGATTTCTGAGCCTGAATCTCATTGATCACAGTACGCAAAGTTACTGTTACTAGGTGTGAATTGAAAAGTATAAAGGGCAGTGGGCTTAAGATAATATTTACGAAAGTTGAAGGACATGACTAAGTGGTATAATTTGTGTGCAAAGAAGGTCTACTAAGCTGGTGTCGGTTGGGTTGAGGCCTGATGCTGATGATATTCTAAACTGACATTTTATATGCATGGTATCTAATAATCTATATACTGGTAACACACAAGATCTATAATGTAAACAAATTCCAACATGCCATGATTCATTGGCGCGGTTCTCAAGCACCCAGATACAACAACCAAGTTCGCAAGTCCTGCACCAACCTATGAGCAACATCATGAATATCCGGCAAGTCCTGCCACGAAATCTCAATCGACAAATCCCCATCCTTCACAGAAGCCATACTAATTTGAATCGCCGGTCCAACAACATTCCCACTCAGCGAAAACCTCGCCCTCCCCACCGCAAAACCATCATCTTCAGTCTTGTCATCAATAACACCAAGATTCGTAACTTCCCACGATAAGTCACGAGGTCTTTTCTCCATTGACTTGAGGTAATCATGCCAGTCAGACACCACCCTCATTAGTCCCACTACGTTATCGTTCACACCACTGTCGAGGCGTTTTTCTATATCTCGGCGGATTTGCTGTGCTGCTTTCCAGATCGTGGGCTCAAGATCTTCGATGGGTTGAGCAGGCCAGTTGTTAATACGCGCTTGGGCTCTCATATTGCTGACGATCTCGTGGTCGAATACGTGGGAGAGTGAGGCAGTGCAGTTCTGAATGCTATTTTCGAGATCAAGAGATGCGTACTTTGACGGCCGAAGCTCTTTACGCAAGAACTTTCGATGATCCATAGCTGTTGCGACTTGGAAGGCATCGGTGTTGCCCTCGTTGATGTCAACGGACAGACAGGCTAGGACGATTCCGTGAATAAGGCCAGTGAGTGTAGTTTCATTCTCCCGGCACTGACCCAGAAGCTTCTTCAAGGTAATGGCGTCGATGTCAATAGTCTTGAAGCGCGTGATGTAGGGATCAGCCTGGATAGGCGCCCACAGAGCTTTCGACTCTGTTGAGTGGAAGCAAGAAGGACAAAGACCATGCCAGATCTCTGAACAAGCATAACCTAAGCTTAAGTTATGCTTGGCTAGCTTCTCCTGTGGTTGGGGAAAGTTATCCTTGCATATAGACGTCGTCATGACTCGAGATCCGCTTCGAAGTAGTGATGAAGAAATTGGGTAGTTGAGGCTTTGGAGTAGTGTTTGGTGAAAGATCTTGGCGCCCATACCGTCGTGGTTTGCATGGTTCCAGATATACATGACATCAACAAAATTGTCTGTCTTTGTTCGCATCAAACATATTCTCCATCCCGGCCTCGTCTCAATACTCTCAAACTTGGCGTCGAGCTGATACCCCAGATTCGCTTCAAACGCCCTTTCATAGTCCCTCGAATCCGGTCGGACATCCCAAGATACATGGTCTGCGAGATCAAGCGATGGGAGTGACACCCAAGCTGGCTTTTTGGTGCTCTCACCAACAAGGCCAACTTGCAGTAGGGGAAACTGAAGGACCGTTTGGGCGATCGCTTGGTCGAAGCATCCGAAGACTCTGTCTTGACTCTTGAAGCCGCGGAGGGATGGTGGGAGTGTGTAGCGGCATGTGAGGACTGTACTGCAGTAGTAGTCAAGGCTATGGAGCGCTGATTCGCACATCTCGCTAAGTTTATCAGCGTAGCCACTAACGCGGTATTCTCGGGATACTCACATCTGGCCGAGACGCCGAATAAAAGACTTTGGCTTTGGACTTGGTGACATTTTTACTAAAGTTGTTTGTAAACTAATGAATTGCTGGATCTGCATGAGAAGTTAGCTTGTTAAAACTCTTTTATACCGAAAATGCCGTCGATTTAGTCTCTGCTCCAAGCCTCAACATGATGCTATTCCCAACGTCAAACCGCGCCATCGGCCCGCGGACTCTCAATTCGTCACCGACTCGCGTTTCATCGGAGCTCGCTCTCGCTTGTCAACCCCGTCTAACCCTGCTACGTCCCTTAGCGGATTACCCGGCATAACTAACTTAGTTAGAGGGCTATCATTACGGAGTACGCAATCTCCACACTGCGCCCTGTGACACACTGACATCTTTACTTGCTTTATCTTAGCGGGCCCGCTGAACTCGGCAGTTGACTTTTTTGCTCGACGTCGCCCTGGCCAACGCTGCTATTTTGCTCCTCTGAAACAGGGTAGCAGAAAGCTTAAACAGCCCCGAGCATCCGGGATTAATTGGGTGAATGATAGAAGATATTATTCCGGAGAAGCCACTAGCGTTTTGGGTACCGGGATTCATAAGGTTGAAAGGGGCCTTGCTTGATCTGTAAAACTTGTTCCAATTGTGCAAATATCTACATCAACCCACCGTAAACTTTCTATCTACCTTATCGTCTTTTAAATCATACGATCTCCTCGCTTGGGAATAACCGCGTGTTTGTTACTTTTTTGTTTTGTTTCAACGGGCAGATAACCTGATCCAGTTACTAGCATTTGACGCGACCATGAATAGCACGGAGAGGACAGCTTACGTGGTGCAGTTTCTACAACATGAGGTTTCGAAGCTTCACACGCGAGAAACATGCTGGCATCAATCTGGCGTCGGCGGTCTCCTAGCGCTACTGCGTGCGAATCTCTCGGAGTCGAGATCGTGGAATAGCAGTTATGTCTCTGGGGGACCGTATACTTTCAACGCGACGGGGAATTTGTTCACTGTTGATCTTGCGACGAAGCATTTTGATGTGAATACTGTTGATCAAGATACATTCGTCACGTTGACGTATATTCATGGTATGTTCGTTCTACTCTCCACGATTTGAGCCATGCTGACGATGGCAGCGTTATGCATGATTATTGCATTCTTTTTGGTGTACCCCATCATTTTACTTATGGAGTCGAGTACAGTGCTATGTGATCTGATCAATAAACCTGTCGCCAAGCATACAGTTCGGAAATGGGAGTCTGTACTCCGAGCCTTTGTCTTTACGCCTCTCGTCATCGCTGGATTAGTGACGGGAATCATCGCGATGGGCTCATCAGACCATTTCAGAACTGAACACGGGGTATGATTCTCAACCTAAGATCGGCGAGAAGCAAACTGACGCGTACACAGGTCATCGGGCTCGTCACTGTAGTGTTTGCAGGCTTCGCATCACTACTGTACTTCTTCGATTTCTTCTTTGGCTCAAGACTAGCTCGAACAATCATGGGAATGCGGTGGCGTCAGAACCTCAAGTACTTTGACATGTTCGTCTGCCAAGTCATCCTCATGCTCTCCGGCTTCGTCCTAACCGACGGATTTGACGACCTTTCCGTCATGGGCCTCTGCTACATCCAGATCTCCCTCGCGTGGGCCGTATCTATTGGTATGATAGCAGCGTTTGTCTGGAACAGCGCCATGGTCTTGATGACAGCACAATGGTTCCTCGTCCGTCGAGCACGACCCAGCGGAGGCATCGCTAGCCCCAACAATAGAATGTGGAGGCTCGTGCGCTTCCGCCGTCGTCGTCGTGAACCATCACCAGAGCCTACGCAGGCATACGAAATGGGCTCGTCATCAGAAACGTCTGAAACTTGCGGTCGGGGAACGGACTGAAGCTGGGGCTGTGCTGTGATACTTATGGATGCCAAGCGTTCCAGGATAGATAGAGTTTTTGACATATTCAGTTTAGTGCAATAATGAGAGCTTTTAACGATGTTTTTCGCTCCGGGCATCAAGGACACCGTCAAGACGCTTCTCGTATGATAATTTCTGCCAACGGAGCCCTTGTTCTCCGGGCTGTCATCGTGAAACGCGAGGCTGAGATACAGGGTCCAGACTCTGCTGCCAAGTGCCTGACGGCGGTATGTCAAACTCAAAACACGCAGACTGTTTTTTCGGATGAGCCTGACATAATAGAACGTGTTTGATTCGTCCGCGTCCATAGTTTGACCGCTTATTTTTAGGGTTTGACAACAGGTATCGGAGGCCCGCGGGGCACCGACCGGGGTGCGCGGAGCATATTATATGGGGGCACTTTTATAAGGCTGTGTGCCGTTAGCCGGGCCCCGCGGGCGTTGGGAGTGTGGACGCGGGCGGAGTAGATATCGGGAGTTGATGATCGTCAATGCGGAGTTACAGCCGGGTATATTCACCAGAGTAAGGATTAATGAAATCAATGCGTTGTCTTGGAGATAGGTGCGTAAATTGCTTGCTCAGCCTCATCATCTCTTGACTATAATATGCTTTGAAGAAAGCCATTCCAGCAGCAATTCCATCAACGTCAACACCAAAAACCACCAACAGCAACAATCTGCTTTAGACAGCAAGCGATTTGATCTTATACGAAACATCACCACTATTTACGAATACAAAACGCAGCGTAATCTACACTTTTGAACAGAAAATGGCAGTTAAGCAAGAATCGAAAAAGCACGATGAAAAGCACAAGGGACAAATCCCTGGACCAAAGGGTACATCGCCTTCAACACCAATGCCATCACATGCTAATCATCACAGGCCTTCCGGTCATCGGTAACCTTCTCGACATCGACGTCACAAACTCGCTACAATCGATCATCGACATGGCCAAAGACTATCGTACGTCACCGACCGTTACTATACCCGACCGTTACTATACCCGACTGTCTCTAACACTACAACCGCAGCAAAGCTCTTCGCGCTAAATGTTGGCGGAAACACAGAGATCATGATCTGCAGTCGAGAGCTCATGGACGAATTAGCGGACGAGTCACGATTTCACAAACTTGTTGTTGGTGGTGTTGAGAAACTACGGCCTTTGGCTGGTAATGGTCTCTTCTCGGCGCAGCATAACAACCAGGAATGGGCTATCGCACATCGAATCCTCATGCCGCTATTCGGACCTCTCACGATCAGAGAGATGTTGCCTGATATGCGAGACATCTCAGAACAACTCTGTCTAAAATGGTATGTCGTTAACTATCGACAGAAGATACGATGTTGACTTTTGCAGGGCACGATTGGGTTCTTCATCGACCATCGACGTCGCAAACGATTTCACACGGCTGACGCTCGACACCATCGCCCTTTGCACAATGGGCTTCCGCTTCAACAGCTTCTACAGCAACGAGAAGATGCATCCCTTTGTCGAGAGCATGGTCGCAGCTCTCGTCGACGCGGATAAACAATCCATGCTCCCCGACGTGGTGCAGTCATTTCGACTACGAGCCCAATCCCATTTCAAGAAGCACGCTGCTGTGATGAAGACCACATGCCAGGATATCCTCGACCAGCGCCGGAAGAATCCTGTAGAGGGCAAGGATCTGCTCAATGCGATGATGAGTGGTAAGGATCCCAAGACGGGTATGGGTATGAGCGATGGGAATATCGTCGATAACCTCATCACTTTCCTCATCGCGGGCCACGAAACTACCTCTGGTCTCTTGTCGTTTGCATTCTACTACCTCCTTGAGAACCCTGAGAAGCTACAGAAGGCTCGTGAGGAGGTTGACGAGGTATTGGGTGATGAGAACATTACCGCCGACCATCTCCCCAAGATGCCCTACATCAACATGATCTTCCGCGAGACTCTTCGTCTCATGCCTACAGCGCCAGGCTTCTACGTCACACCCTTCAAAGACGAAGTCATTGGCGGCCAGTACAACGTCTCCGCAGGCGATCCCCTATTTCTCTTCCTCCACATGATCCACCGCGATCCCGAAGTCTGGGGCCCCGATGCCGAAGAGTTTAGGCCTGAGAGGATGGCAGACGAGCACTTTAATAAACTCCCCAAGAACGCTTGGAAGCCTTTCGGTAACGGTATGCGAGGCTGCATCGGTCGAGAATTCGCATGGCAAGAAGCTCAAATAGTAAGTACCAATTCTTATTGTCGTATCACTAGCTAATGTTTTTCGCAGGTTACAATCATGCTCCTCCAGAACTTCGACATGGTCAAAGCCGACCCTAATTACAAGCTCAAGATCAAGCAGTCGCTCACCATCAAACCCGATGGTTTCAACATGAAGGTGAAGCTCCGAGAGGGACGCGACTTGACCAACCTCTTCAAGAATCCCAGTCTCGCTAGCTCCAAGCAGCCCAGTCTGTCCAGCCGAAAGAACCTCAACATCTCACAGAAGGACCTGAAGCCCATTTCTATCTTTTACGGGTCCAACACCGGAACGTGTGAAGCTTTGGCGGAGCGGTTGTCGGCTGATTGTGCGACATTTGGATTCATGCCTTCTAAGCCTTTGCCACTTGATGACGCTACGAAGAATCTGTCCAAGGATGGACCAAATATCATCTTGGCGGCTTCGTATGATGGAAGGCCATCTGATAATGCTACCGAGTTTACAAAGTGGGCTGAGGCGCTGCAGCCTGGAGAGTTGGAAGGCACTCAATTTGCTGTTTTTGGATGCGGTAAGTCTCTTTCACCTCTCATATCTCACTTTCATCTGACGCTCCGTAGGTCACAAGGACTGGGTATCAACCTTGTATCGCATCCCCAAAGTCCTTGACAAGTGCTTAGCAGACGCCGGCGCCGATCGCCTCGTCGACGTTGGTCTCACCGATGCTAGCACGGGTCGCTTATACCCTGACTTCGACGACTGGGCACACAGCAAGCTCTTCCCAGAGTTAGCCAGCCGCCACGGCATCACGCTTGACCATGAGCCCGACTCTCTCGAACTAAGTGTCACCATCAACCAGTCCCAGCGAAATGATATCGGAGGTAACTTTAAGAGGGCTGAGGTCGTGGAGAACACTCTTCTCACCAGTCCCGGTGTTCCTCGCAAGTACAGCCTACTTCTCAAGTTGCCGAAGGATATGGCATACACTCCTGGTGATCATGTGCTGGTTCTTCCCAAGAATCCGCCTCAGCTAGTTGATCGGGTCATGACTTGCTTTGGTGTTGATGATGATACTGTCTTGACTGTCTCGTCTAAACGGCCAACTTTCCTTCCCACCGGCACCCCTATCCTTGCTTCGAACCTCTTCAGCACTCTTGTTGAACTGTCTCAGACTGTCAGTCGTACGAGTCTTAAGCGACTCGTAGACTTCGCGGGCAACGATGAGACAAAGACTGAGATCCAGAGTCTCGCTGGTGATAGATACGACGCTGAGATTGACCAACAGCGCATGTCAATCCTCGACATCCTCCACAAGTATCCCTCCATCAATATGCCCCTGTCAACCTTCCTCTCCATGCTTCCCCAGATGCGTCCCCGCACATACTCCTTCGCCTCAACACCAGAGTGGAAACCCAGCCACGGCTCACTGCTCTTCTCCGTCGTTGAAGCAACTGAAGCTAGCGGATCATCACTTGCACGCCCAGGAGGTCTAGCTACCAACTACCTGGCCCAGCTCCGACCAGGCGACTCTGTCCTCGTCGAGCCTCGACCTTGCAGAGCTGAGCTTCGCACTGCCATGACCACTGAGCTCAACGTTCCCATCGTCATGATCGCTGTTGGCGCTGGCCTCGCTCCCTTCTTGGGATTCATGCAGAAGCGATACCTGCAGGCTCAGAACTCAGGCCACTTGTCCAACTCCTCCTGCACACTCTTCTTTGGTTGCCGTGGTGCCAAGATGGATGACATCTGCCGCGATACACTAGATGAGTACTCCCGCGCAGGCGTTGTATCAATCCATCGCGCCTTCAGCCGCGATTGGGACTCGCCGTACAAGTATGTTCAGCACTTGGTGGCTAAACACGCTGATACCTTGGCGCGGCTTTGGGGACAGGGTGCTATTGTGATGGTTTGCAGTGGTAAGAAGGTTTCTGATGATGTGTTTGATGTCTTGGGTCCTATTCTTCATAGTGAGGATAGAAGGTTGAACACCACGAGGGCGAGTGACTGGAAAACTTGGAGCGATGGTGTCAGCAAGGAGCGATTGATCTTGGAGGTGTTTGGATAGATTTGAAGTTGGCGATAGGCTTTGTTTGTTGATATAGCATAGCGTTGCGGGTTTCTTATTGTACGATATAGATCAGGATATACTGGATATAACAAAATTTGACTGTTCACGTTACCTTATCTTCATCTGCAAAACTTCTTTCAGGAGGCCTACATCTTTCTCCCAGATATTGAAGTACCTAGGCGGTTGTGCTTTAGAGTAACAGTTATTCACATAATATGTCCCATTTGTATTGACCAACTACTAAACCCTGAACCAAACTCTGCAAACCCGCCACAACATCAAAACGCATTCGTCCCTGCTTTACAGAATATATCTAAAGTTCTTGTTCTGCATATCAGTCTCATCCACCTGAAGAAGTGTTCCATCCTCAGTGAGGTCAACCTGTCGAGACTCCTCGGGATCTCTCTTGACACCCTGCTCATTATCACGACGGCGGTTCTCCCAGGTAAGGTAGAAGTAAATGCCCACCACGAGAGCAATGGTGATGGCATAGCAGACCATAATTGTGGTGTAAGCAGTCTATAGAGGTTAGAAATGTGTTCCATGGTAAGCAGTGGTGTTACTCACATGGTAGCCGGGTGCCTCGGTGCTGATAAAGAACTGAGGACCGCTTAGGTTGCCGGCACAGTATCCTAGGAAGATCATGGCCATGACGGTTGACTTTTTGGTGAAGCCAGCGATGTTACTAGCGGACAGTGACAGCATGAGAGGAAACGCTGGTGCGACGGCCATGATGAGCCAGAAACCTGCCAATCGGGAGAGTTTCTCAGCTGTAGGGAGGAGCTTGATCATAAGAATACCAGCAATGGCCATCAAGTACGTCAGAACAAGAGCAATATGTCGGGACTTGCGGACGTAGGTAGTGAATACAGCGACGAGGATGACGGTTGTGAGTTGAAAGGCTGATGCAGGGAGACCCATGAGGATAGTCTGCTTCTCATCGTAGCCGAAGCTCTTGATGACAATGGTGCTAAACTGTTGTCAAATATTAATATCATGCTATCAAGGTTGGAGAAGGAACACTTACGCTGGTAGTTCCACCATTGGGAATGCAGATGATGAAAGAGAAGAAAAAGAACCACCAGGCCTTGACGTCCTTCATAGTCTCGATGAACTGCCCGCGATCCCACTTCTTAGTCTGAGTAGTTCTCTGGAACTTCTTAGGTCGGAGAGCAGCAAACTCTCGCTCAGAAGTTGACAGAAACCCAGCTGTCGCAGGAAAATCAGGGAGGAAGAAAAATGTCAAGACAGACCACGCAATGGTGATGAGGCCAAAGATGAGGAAGAGCATCTAGCCAAGTAAGCAGAATATCTACTCATCGTAGGAGTAACTCACCTTCCACTGCTCAATAGGCCCATGGTAGCTCAGAATCCCATACGCAATCATAGCACCAACCATACTCGCCGACGCATTGCCCGCAAACCAGAACGAATGGCGCGATACATGCTCATGAGGCGTGTACCACATTCCAGTGATGAGCGAGAACCCGGGACTAATCGCACTCTCAAACACACCAAGAAAGAAACGAAGAACCATGAGACTAGCGTAATTATGCGCGACGGCGTGAAGAGTGAGAATGACGCCCCAGATAAACATGAGAACGCTGAGATATTTGCCAAGAGGGAATTTGACGAAGCCGAGGGAGATGGGGTATGAGGCGACGAGGTAGCCTATGTAGAAGATACTAGACGCCCAGCTGAATTGCTGGCCGACGAGTTGCTTCGCTTGTTAGTGGTGTTTTTTGTTCAGCGTGGTGATTACTTACCAGATCCTCTCGTAGGCCGAGAATAGCGCTATACGCCAAACTCGTCTCTGCATAAAGTCAATACCCGCATATCAATTGGCACGCCAAACTTACTATCCAAATACTGCAATCCGTAGCTAACGATAAGCAACGGCATGAGTCTACAAGATTAGCTGTGAACACCTGTCACTTCTAGTAGCACGTACCTCATGTCAATCTTCCTCACGAGCTTCTTCTCGTCTTCCACCGACAGCGTATCAACAGTCCCGTTCGCATCGCCATCCATCTCATACTCAGGTGTCGACTCTTTCATTTCTTTCGCCTCCATGATTGAAATTGTGATGTTGCAGGAGTGAGAAAAACAAGGTTGAAACTCAAAGCGTTGATGGTTTTGAGTCAGTGTCGGGGCGCAAGGGCCCAGTTATATCGTCTCTCCTTATCATACCAGCGCTAGTCCTTATTCCTCTTATCTAATTCGGCTCCAAAATCTGGGGTCCCTTGTCTACTACCCCAGATTTGTGGCGTGACCTTTGAGTGGTTGGATTAATCGACGAGATAAGCCACGAGATTTATCGACGAGATACTCAAGATAGACTGATAGAGGGCAAAGGCTTAATTAATTCATGGTCTGCTTGCTAACTAACTCGCGAACCGCCTCCATCGATATTCCCCTAGCCGACAGTGTCTTAGCCGACACGACGAGATTGTAAACGCCCTTGATAACGGGGTCTGAAATACTCGCCGAGATCCAATCTCGGTATACAGGGTCATGTGTCTCGATGCCTCCGATTAAAAGTGCCCATTGGAAGCGCTCTAGAAGCTGTACTGGTCCGACGGGGATGGTGTGGTATGCTGCTGAGACTAGTTCCTGGAGTGCGCGCTCGATATCAGCTGGGACTGGTGTCTCGCCGAAGAATGTGTCGCGGCTGCGATACAGGTAAATCTCCAGGGCATGGAAGATGGTTACAGCTACGAGGGCCATTAGTGGTGGTTTAGTAGACTGTTGGGCGCAGTCTCTTGACAAGGTGAAGAGAAAGTTCTGCTCCTGTACCATGTCAGTCCATGACGGTTTAACAGACCACTATCGACTTACCTCTCGTATCTTGTCCAGTTTGTTTCTAATCTCCAGCCACTTCCCAAGTACAGCCAGCTCGCTACTCTGGCTATACACATTTATCTCGTATTGTATCGTAATTAAACTGAAGTAGACATCCAGAATCCTTCTCTGACTCGTCTCCGGCAAATTCTCAGACCTAAACCACGTCTCCCTCTGGTCTGGTAGTATCGGCATACGTGACAAGAGCCATATTCGTTGCCTGGTCTCGTGCTTCTGGCTAACATAGCCCGCAAAAGCAGCACCACAGCCAAAGAAGCCACAGAACACATCGCGGTCATAAATGTATGTCAAGATCCGCGACAGCGTAACGGGTTCCGACGTTCCTGTGCTCCTACTCGAATTGGCACAGACCTCATCCAGCGAAAACGTCGTGACATACGCAAGAATCGAAGTACTCAACTCCCGCAATCTCTCCACCTCCAACGGATCTCTCCTCATCCAAAACATATAAAGATACAAAAACGACAACATCATCGCGACGTGATTCATAGGCGATAATGTCACGAGCGCCTGGCTTAATAGCTGTGACCCGTTCTGAAAATGCAAATAAGACTCCAGAGGCGGTCTATGACTGAAACCATGATGGATAGCAAGTTCGCTGTGTGAAAAGGCAAGAAGGAAATGTAACGCCATGGGATTCTGGACTGCAAAGTTGAGAAAGATGGAGTGCGCTGATAGAGCGGCTTTCTGTGTGGATTTCATGGGTGCGAGGACGGTGGAGTGGAATGTCATGGCTTGGACGTCGTCGCTCCCGATTGAAGGGGCGGGCTCGGTTGGGTTTGTGAAGGAGAATGAGGGAAAGAGGGAAAGAAGATCGAAGGAGGGTGTTGGGTATAGAATGAGCTGTGAGGACGCATCTTGGGGGTATTGAGGGAGGGCGATGGGGTGGATCAAGTCTTCTGGTGGTATGTCTGGGAAGCTCGTTGGTGATGCAGATGCAACTTCATTCTCCACGGGCAGAACATCAAACGAGATATCAGGCGGTAATCCCTTAGACAACTGCAACTCCCCAGCAGGCGTCAAAGCAGGCGGCGTAACACTCTGCGAGCCCTCACTGACAGCATCATCAGTCTTTGGCACAATCGCCGGCGGCGTCCACCTCTCCCTCTGCTTAATCGGCCCTAGCCCTCTCCTCCTCTCCGCCAGCGGCTGCATCTGCGCCGCCCATCTACACTCGAGCTTGAGCCTCACGCAGCGATTGCACTGCGGCCTCGTCTCATCGCATTTGACCTTTTTGGTCAGACACGTCAAGCAGCCTGGACTGGGTCAATGGGGGACCACTTCCGGTTTTTCCGGGGCAGCCGGAGACTCACCGTTTTTAGAGCGGCCGCGTTCTACGCGTTTGCGCTTGGGGGGAGGTTGAGAGGAACTGGATGCATTCTCCATGTGACTTGGCTTGACTGGGGGTGGGAGGGGGAGACCGGATGAGAAGGTCCTTATCGAGTGAGTGGGAAGGAATTGGATGGCATTAGTTAATCGATCGATTGATTTGCTTTGTCCCTTTCCCTTTCGTTTCGGTCGTTAATCTGAAAGGACGCGCCGCCCGGACGATCCCCGCCTCTCGCAGCTGATATGTCGTCGATTAAACTGGCCAATCACCAGCAAGTCACTTTTGGACCTGCGATACGACGAGATATGGACGCAATAATGAACAATTTATTGAGTCTCTCTCATTTCCTTCTTATCTCATACTCTGCAGCTCCCTCTTTCTATCTCCCAAATAATTCTTATCGTCAAAATGGGCAATTCCATCTCTTACACCACTTCAGACTGTCACGTCAACCTACCAAACTCTGGATCTCTCAAAGGTCTTCAGTTCGATTCCAAGTCCCGTCGCTTCGCAGGCATTCCCTATGCCCAACCCCCCGTCGGAGATCTACGATGGCGAAAACCTCAGCCCTTTCCAAAAACACATCAATACCAATCTTTAGATGGTTCCTCTTTTGATGCGACGCATTTTGGACCTGTTTGTCCTCAGGCGAATTACTCCAAGAACGTTAGCGAGCATATCCCCAAACATGCATACAGCGAGGATTGTCTAAGACTCAATATCTGGACGCCTGTGCCTGATCCGAACGAACCGAATAAGAAATGGCCTGTCATGGTCTGGTTCCACGGCGGTTGGTTCCAGGTTGGAGATCCAAGTCAGGAAGAGAGTATGGACCCTACGGAACTCATATCAACTGGCGGATTACAAGCTGTCTTCGTAGCCGTTGGTTATAGGCTCAACGTCTTTGGCTTCCTTGCTGGGCAGTCGCTTCTTGAAGAGTCTGGAGGCGAAGCTGTCGGAAACTATGGTCTTTGGGATCAGCGTCTCGCTATGCACTGGGTATACGAAAATATCGCTGCATTTGGAGGCGATCCTGAGAACATCATCCTGGCGGGACGAAGTGCGGGAGCTTACTCTGTCCTTGCGCAAGCCCTCTATGACTTCCGAGGCAAAGAGTCACAAAGTCGCTTTACAAGAATGATTATGTACTCCAATGCCATTCCGACACAACCCAAGACGGTTCAAGACTGCGAGGAGCAGTTCGATGAGCTCTGCGAGTACTTCGGTATACCAACAGATATCAGTGGCGCAGAGAGACTACGTCATCTGAGAAGTATCAGCGCCGATGATCTCTCTTCTGCTATCATGGAGCTTAAGAACCACACCTTCCGTCCCGTGACGGATGATCTGTTCATTCACTCGGGTATCTTTGACTACTATCGCGACGGGTCATTTGCCCGCGAGTTCAAGAAACGCGGTCTCAAGCTCTACATCGGCGAAGTCCTTGATGAAGATACCCTCTACGCCGTCACAAACCCTCCTGATCCCAACATATCTTCTCTTCAAATGCAAATATCCAATTATTACCCCCCACACGTCACCGACCGTCTCCTCAAGCATTACACCCTTCCACAAACAAAAGACAAGAAAGCTTGGCAGCAGATCTTTGGGCGCATCATCGCCGATGGCCAAGTCAGAGCTCCGTCACGATACCTAGTGGACAACCTGGTGCGCAATGGCGTTGATATCAAAAATGTCTGGAGATATCTCATCGCATATCGCTTGTCCTTCATAACGAATGATGTTGCTCCAGCCTCGTTTGGTGTGAGCCATGCTATGGATAGGCCTATATGGAAGTAAGTCTTGAGTCTCTACCCAGCTCTCTACAGTGCAGACTGGCTAACATATTCCAGTTATTCTATTACTCACGGACCAACACCCGCGGAAAGAGACCTTCTGGATGCTTGGATCAGAGATCTCAGGGCTTTTGTCAATGATGAAGAGGGATATATTTTTGGTACGGGGCTGACTACAGACTACAAGGTTATGCAACCGCAAGGAACAATTGCCATTGAACGAGACGGACGGTGGGAAGAGCTACTACAAGTCATGGATATCTTTAGTGCATGAGTTTAGACCACACAGCTACATTACTTCAATAGCCTTTCTAAGTAATATGCGTCTGTGTAAGCCTCAATTTGTATGTACATGCGTACCAAGCATTTGGTGACTGAAAGAGGTTCACCATTGGGGGGGGGGGGGGGTATTGAATAAATTATCATAGCCAAGAACGAGGCGCTAGCGAGAAAGGGTAGTCTGGCGTGGCTCCTCTACTTGAGGCAAACAAAAATCATTTGGACGTCAATAACCCTTCCTCGAAGCCCTCAAGGGAACAATGGGCATCATTATGGCAGGCAGTGGATTCAATGAATACACTTTCTGCTGTAAATATGCCCTAACGATTTTTCGAGTTAAACGAGCCGGGGGATCAACCTCAATGATACCAACACCGCCTCGACAACTTATGGTGTAGGATCTAGGAAATATATGGGACATACACTCGCAAAATAGAGCCTTACCTCGCTGTTCCCCGCCAAGTACAGCGCCTTGGTTCCAAGCTGGGCAGGGAGATGGAGCCAGTCGACAGGCATGTGGAGGATCTATGGGCGGTTCAGCCAAACGGACGACGTCTCTTCTTGGACATCAAGCCAACTGGCTACAGAAAACGATACCCAGCCATCGCTAGTATCATGGTAATGGACCGGATGGGTCCACTCTAAGCCCAACCACCCCAATGCTAGCCTGGTGCCGTCTCCAGGTTTCGGGCATAGAGCCGAAGTAGAGGGGACACCAAAGGTCTTCACCCTTGTAGCGTAGAAGCCATGGCTCAGAGCCGTGAGGAGAGGCAACCAATAAGAACTAGCCAAAGCCGGGTCTAGGGAAAGAACTCCGGCTTTCAGTAATTCCTATTGGATATGCGAATCTCCAGATTCCCCCACATTACCCCAGGTTATCCTTCTCATCTCAGATGATAAATGCAGACTACCGGTCCTTTTTATGACCATGAATCAACCACTCATGACTATTATGACTGCAGTCTACACTCTATAGCTGTGTCGGCATGTGGACATCCCGCTTCGTTTCAAGGGCCTCCACTTTCCCGCACGATTTCCGTGACGTCTAACTACATTTTCCCATCTTCGGGATAGTGTTATGTCAAGATGCCGAAATAAAATTGCAGTGTATATGACTCTTTTAGCCGGGGAAGGAGTTTCAACCAATAAATAGACTGGTTCAATCAAGGTTAAAGCGATTTAAGACTAAACAAACTTGGCATCTTCGGTGCTCGCTAGACCGAGGAAGCAACTCGTAAAGTATTATAAAAGTCTACTATAGTTCTATAAAAATTCCAGTACATTCTAATTCCTCTATCCCCACAAGCATAACGTTGATTCCTTACAGCCCTTTCTTTGCCTTCACGCAGTCTCCAAAGCCTTCATTAAAGCCTACCAACAATGAAGCCGTCCCTGGCATTTGCTTCTGTCACAGCCTTGTCCTGTAGCTTGGCTACCGCCGCGCCGCCTTCCAACTACCCCAATTGGAAGACGTTCAAAGCCAATGGGGTCAACCTTGGTGGTTGGCTGCATCAGGAAGCCGTAATCGATCCCAGGTGGTGGAACCAGTACGCGCCTGGTACACCTGATGAGTGGGATTTTTGTGAAAAGCTCAAATCGCGATGCGGTCCTGCCTTGGAGCAGCGATACGCCTCTTACATTACGACCAAAGATATCGATACTATGGCTGCAGCTGGAATCAACGTCATCCGAGTGCCGACTGGATATAATGCTTGGGTCACTGTCCCAGGATCCCAGCTTTACAGTGGCAATCAAGCTCGTTTTCTGAGAGCCATATCTGATTATGCTATCAAGAAGCATGGCATCCACGTCATCCTCGACATTCACTCGCTCCCTGGCGGTCTGAACAGCATGGGGCTGGGCGAAAAGGAGGGGAACTATGGCTGGTTCCAGAACCAGACCGCTCTTGAATATTCTTACAAGGCCGTCGACGCTGCCATCAAGTTCATCCAGGGATCTGATGTTCCCCAAGGCTTTACCCTGGCCCCCATCAACGAACCGGTTGACAATCGAGATATTACAAAGTTTGGCACGCCTGAAGCATTGAGTGATCAAGGGGCTGCTTGGGTTCTTCAGTACTTCCAAGGTGTCGTTTCGCGCGTTGAAAAAGTGAACCCCAAGATACCCATCATGCTTCAGGGTGGCTTTCGACCTGTCGACCACTGGGCCAAGTACTTTGCTGCCAGCACTAATCTCGTCTTTGATGTCCACAACTACTACTTCGCTGGCCGCCCGACTACCTCGCAAAATCTTGCCGGATTTATCTGCAGTGATGCCAAAAACACTGCTTCGCCAAAGTTTCCCGTTTTTGTCGGCGAGTGGTCCATCCAGGCTGCCACCAATAACACGTTTGCCAGTCGGGCGCGGAATCTCAATACTGGTCTCAAGGCTTGGGCTGCGTATACTCAAGGAAGCGCTTACTGGACTTGGAAATTCTTTGGAAATGAGCCGGTTGATGGCGAGGGTACTCAAGGCGACTACTGGAACTACTCCGACTTTGTGAAGATGGATATCGTTGACCCATCGTCGGGGGCTACTTGTAAATGAGGCGCCTCCATCGCTACCACTAGACTTAGCAATACACGTGTTGCGATGTTCTTAACCACTAAAATCTATGATTTTCCCGGATATGATATTCTCTAGGCCTTTAAAGAAAGATAGTCCCTCTAAGAATGGGTGATGACAGCAGCTGAGTAGATTCACGAGTGCTTATGAAGCTAGGAATAATCGGCATTGTATTAGATGGGATACCGTCATCACAAAGCCATTCTATACTGAACAAACTGGCTCTCAGCAAGAGTATCATACAGCTTCCGCGCCGCAGTATTATCATGCTTGGTAACCCACTGCACCCTCATAAACCCCTTCTCCCTCGCAACATCCGCAACAGCCTGCGTCAACTTCCTCCCAAGCCCCTCTCCACGAACCTCCGGATCGACAAACAAGTCTATCAAGTCAACACCACTCCTCACATAACTCTGTCTACTTACCATTCAACAAAAGAATCTCCTTCTCGCTCCAAGGCGTCTGCTCCGGAAAGAAATGCGCCAACCCGACTAATTTCTTCTCCTCCCCTTTGACTTGCCGCACGACCAGCGCTTGTAGTCCATTCTTCTCTTCGATGATGCGATCGAAAGTTCGTGCGTATTGATCCTCGTCGATCTTGGATTTGTAGAAGTCGATGTAGGCGCGGAATAATTTGGACCATTCTTCGTAGTCGCTGCGGACTGGCTTTTCGATATGATATGTTGCTGAAGACATTGCGGTGATGGTATGAGATGAAGGGTGTTGTCGATGAGGGGAAGTTCTCAGGTTGAAGGCGCTGTTTAAAGGTTCGTTATCGGTTCCGATAGGCCGGTTCCGAGGACTCGGGCCGGTCTGGGCTAGAGACCGGGAGTGCCACCGGCATGATATCGCCTTTATCGCAATCAGTGTGAGTCAATTGACTTAAAAGTGAAGTTTGGGGCTAACTGCCAGATGCTAAGTCTGGTTAAAATCGCCAATACCAGTTCGCTGTATTGCTGTCTCAAAAGGATGGTGGAGGGATCCCAAGCATGATGTCATCAAGCACAACTCCGCTTCTGGCCTCAAACGGCATTTGATACCCAAGCAAGCCAGGTCAATGCTGCTGACTCAGATGGATTAAAATACCAGACCGTATTGACTCAAGGGCTGCAATCCTTCTCATATGATCACAGACTTCGGCCAATGAATCTCACTCGGCTTCGTATGCTCAAGCGCATCTCGTATAGAAAGCGGGACGAGTCCCGGATCATGACCCGAGAGGTACGGGAGTAGATCCTTCTGCGGCAAGAATCCTTGCGGATCCTATCGGAATATTATAGCCGAGCGCTATGCATATACTTGTGTCATGGCCTCATATATCTCCCTCAGGGTGTAAGAAGACTTCTGACATTAAACTAGGGTACTAAAAATACTTAGTCTAAGATCCTCTTTATCTAGACTAAACTATACTAAGTTTGCCTAAGTTTACCTAAGGCTTTTTGTCACCTAGGATAGAGGTCCTAAGTTTTATTGCATCCCCTTGATCTCTTAAGCCATAGGCAGTAGTCGTGGTCAGAGACATGCATATGTCCCCAGTGTTCATGCAGAGTAACGGTCTCTTCAGGCGACTCTAGGCTACAATCGGCAGGTGGATCCTTCAATCCATGTATGAGGTGAGATTTAGGTGGTATAAATCCCTTTGTAACATCGGCTGGATAGAAATAGGAATGTGGTCAGCTAAAGGATGCAATCCCAGTAATTGATAAGTCACATAGCTGCATCACCACCTATATAAATGACACCGACGACCCGGAGAACCTCCCTTTTTTCCATCACTCACTCACAACACGATCATCAAAATGCAGTTCTCCATCTTCAGCATCCTGGCCATCGCCACCGTTGCCATCGCGGCTCCCCAGTCGTATGTCATGAGGAGACCTCTTGAGGATCCGTAGCTGACTTTGTATAGTGCCTGTGAGAACGGCGGCCTGTTCTACTCTGACCCAAAGACTCTTGAGCCCTGCAAGTCAGCCTGTGTTGGTGGAACTTGTGCTTTCCAGGGTACCTGTGCGCAAGATCCCAACGTTCCTCTTCTCTGTTTAGCCAAGTGCACTTGCTAAGCGCCTTGGTGAAGGATGGTAACGAGGCAGATGGCTTATAAATGATGAGGGTTATTTATGTCTTGATAGTCATAGTAATAAGCAATAGCGGAGGTGAATTTTGGATGATTCGCAGCCTCATGCTTATCGCAATAGCCCCATAAGGCTAATATTGGCACCAACTTCCAAATTCTTCTCACTACGTGGATATGGCCGACCAGTGAAGCCGTCTCTGTATTTTTTATTTCCTGAAGGAGAGCAGAAGAAGATCTTCAAACCGTGAAGCACCGACTTTCGGCTGCTGAGCCTCTGTGAATTGACTCAACGTCACCAAATAAGGCCCCGGCACTTTCCACGCAGCAGCCTCCCAAGCACTCTCACTATCCGCATCCCAAAGCTTCGTCCGCACATCAAACGGTAGAGCTTCGACGCAAAGTGAATGCATAGTATATCCCCTTCTCAACGAACTATACACCGCCAAGAGAATATTGCAAACCATTATAGTCCGTCTCACGTTCTCGGAGAATAACCATGCTTTCCAAGGACTTAGTGAGCTTGGTAGTTGAGTGGGAGCATTTTGCCATAGTGAATGAGTCTGAGCCCACATTTCTTCATTGTCACGTTCGATGCCATCCTCGTCTGTGTCGTGACACTTCAGGAGACGGATTATTTGGGCGAGGCTTATTGCCTGTACGTATGCCAGTGTGTCTGCGAATGTGTTGTGGCGTTTGGAAAGGCGGAGGAGACGTCTGATTGTGAGGCGGAGGGCATCAAGGCGGCTGCTGGCTAGATAGTTGCCGCCGATATGATAGCTATAGCAGATATCGCGAACTTGTTTGAGTGGTGGTGGTAGTGAGGAATCGTATAGGGCAGAGTGGATGAAGGTAGTCGTGCCATGCTCAGCAAACTGGTCTGGAAAGGATCGAAGAATGTCTGATAACTGGTGAAGCGTCTGCTGATCAAACACTCGCATAATCTCGAGATGCAATGGATTAAATATTTGGAGACCATTGATCATCGGCTTGCTGATGATTCTGTGACCGTTTAACTTGGCCAGATCTGATTCCGCCAGAGGAGGTCGAGAGCCTTCATAGTAATCATTGGAGAGTATCTGTCGAATGAAGATCTGTAGCCTTGTATCCAGGACACCATGGACCAATAAATGCGACAAATTCTGAGTACCCTGTTCTTCCTTGAGCTTTCGAGATTTGACAATACTTTTGAGTGTCTTTTCGACAGCTGCAGGGGCTGGCTCATTGGCGTACCGACAGGGAATACGCTTGGTGGAGCATCTCTCGCAGCAGGGACTCGCGAGATTGCAGCGCCGTCGGGCTTTGACGCAAGCTTGACACGATCTCTGTAGAAGACCCATCTGAGATTTGCCTTTGTGTGTAAAAGCCGATGACTGCAGATGAAAAGAGAGTGTTTCTTTGATGCGAGAATACTTCAGCAATGCTTGACTAATCATCAGCAGCAGATACGCGTGTTCCAAAAAAGGACTAGTCTCCACCTCGAAGTCTCAAAGAGTTTAGCTTCCACCTTCTGGCTAGAAGAGGTTTAGACTCCACCATCTCCATGACGAGAGGAGCCTGGATTGAGGCCATGATAATGGTGAAATGCCTCGATGCTGAGAAATCATTTGCGTTTGAGGAAGTATTATACTTGACTGAGAGTCTATAAGTAGTCCAGACATTTCCAGTCATGTAACGATATCGCCAAACACAATTGAACAGCATCCGCAGCTCAAGAAATCGACTTACCCTGCATCTCTTGATTCCCTAGATATTCCTATTCTTTACCATGTCTGCTGAGATCAAGAACGTTATGGTTCTTGGAGTGAGTCTCCTTCCTTACATTCTCATCGAGGTATCGAATTCCTGTGCTCACAAACTATCAGGGCCGCGGAAATCTCGGACCATATCTCATTAGAGCACTTGTCAAAGCAGGCTTCACCGTTTCCGTTCTTAGCCGCACCTCATCCAATGTCACGGAGTCAACATTCTTGGGTGCTTCAATTGTCAAGTCTGACTACACTTTCTTGTCCCTCGTTGACGTTTTTACTGGGCAGGATGCGGTCATCTCTACCCTTTCAACCGCCAATATCGCAGAGCAAAAGATCGTCATTGATGCTGTCGCAGCTGCAAAGGTCAAGCGATTTATGCCAAGCGAGTTTGGAAGCGACACCTCTGTTGAGGGACTTGAGAAGATGGCGCCCTTCCTCAAGGGAAAGCAGGATGTTATGGACTATGTCAAGTCTAAAGAAGCAGACGGACTATCTTGGACAGCCATTTTCACTGGTCCTTGGATTGACTGGGTGAGTCCGTTGACAATGAATACACAGAGCAAAGTAATGTTCTGACGAATTATAAGATGCTCGTTGAAGGTAAAGGATTACTCTGCTTAGACATCAAGACCAAAACTGGCGAGCTTGTCAACTCGGGCAAACCAAAGTTCACCACCACGACTGTCTCAAAAGTCGGCGAAGCTACAGCTGCTGCACTTCTCCATTCTGATAAGACCAGAAACGAATACGTTCACGTCGCATCCTTCAACACTTGTCAGAACCAAGTCATCGAGGCTATCGAGAGAATCTCATGCACCAAGATTCAGCTCGAGAAGTTGGACAACAAGGACCTATATGCTCGGGCGACAAAGCATATCGATGAAGGCAATTGGGGCAGAGGGTACTATGAGCTGGCTACTGCCACAGTCTACAGCGATGCGCCTGTTACATACTTCCCCGACAAAGCGGCTCATTGGATGAAAGAGCTTGGTCTGGTTCAGGATGAGACCTTTGATGAAATGATCACCCGTGTTTTAAAGACTGTTTGAGCATATAACATACCTTGGTATGGAGAAGGGATCATGAGACATCACGTGGTCTGGTGATATGCCGAGGCATATAGGGGGGTTCACCGCCATTGCCAAACCAATACACCACGGCATCCCCGAACAATGCACCAGGATACACATTATCATCAGTATTATTCATTGTTCATATCTCTTTTGTTATTCATGGAGACTAATCATGCGAAAATCATGCAAAGCTATATGCCGTAACCAACCATCCCAACCGTTGTCCATTTCCATTTAGTGCCAGAGAGCATCGTTGGGCTTGATGCCCTTCTCCTTGCAGTGATCGTAATACAACTTGGAGAAGCTGAAGAGATCGAGAGTGAACTTCAAGGTATCATCATCGTTAAGGAACTCAATGCTACCAGTGATGGTAAACACAATATCGGTGTCATCCTGTACAGACAAGGTGTGGATAACGCCGGGGTTCTCGCAAACCCAATCTCCAGGGCGGGCAACCCAGTCGTATCTAGATCGCGATAGATTAGCACTTGAATCATGTATGCACAACAGGGTTCTGCGAAGGGTAACATACTCCTTGTAGCCCCATTCTCCAGACATGGTGATGGCTGTAACGGTACCACGGTGTCGGTGCTTGCCCAGGCTGGCAGCGACCTTGGATCGGAGACCGACGACGAAAGTACCCGTCCTGTTCTCCATACGCATGGGCTTCAGCTCAATGGGTCCAATCCATGGAAACCAGAGCGTATCGGTCTTTGCATTGATATAAACATCGGGGGCGCTGTACTTGTCCACGAAGGCAAGCTCTTCCCGCTCGTGCTCTTTGAGGGCGGAGCCATCATCCTTGGGTCGCTCAGCGAGCTTGGAGACGGGCTCGGGGACGAGATCGGGGGTAGTGGTAGAAGGAGCCATTGCTTTGTTCTTTTGGCGTGAGGCTTAGAATATGTTGTGCAGTAGTAAAAAGTGTAATAGAAGGGTTTAAAAGTGCCAAGTTGTACTACGGGCCGTGCCTGGGCTGGATTTATTAAATGCAATTTTGTAGAACCCTTGAGGCGAGTGAAGGAGCGGAGCCGGTGAGGGGAAAGGATTACCATTGATAGTGAGACGATTGGTTGCGCTTGTGGGCATTCGAAACGCGTTGCCCGCGGTGTAAATCCTTTAGTCTCGGGGCATACCGCCATTTCGAGTACTAGACTGACTCTGACTCGCGATACCTGGAGCAACAGCCCGCTTCCCGCCCACATACCGCCCATAGTCTCAACGGCTTCTGAAGTCTAGGGGTCTTTAGGCATTGAGAGCTGTAATGATAGTGAGGAAGGGTTATCTACCAGGTACTGGTAGCAAAGTTTGAGAGGCGAAACGGTGGTTTTGCCTGGAGGTGACCATGATCTTGTCTGCATAAAGGTTCTTTCATGCAACGTCAAGCACAGGCCCCATCCGTTCTGTGAGCCCTTGACGCTTTTCTTCCTCTTCTGGCAGAAGGATTCAGGCAAACTCCACAGACGGTGTTTGCCGTACATACAGAGCGGAGCGGTAAGTGTAGCATCACTTTTTAGCCTTTAGGCACTGGCTGGCCCACTGGTCTACTGGTCTAAACCGTTCCGAAACTAGATGACCCCAGATCCGCTGCGACGTTGGAGGTCGCGCTTTGATGAGAATTTGAGAGAAGGAAATGCCGTTGTGCCAAGATTGTGTGTAGCATGCCCGATTATTCGGGATATTTCATCTCCATTGTACAAATGATAACTGATTGGAGGGTTGGGGGGGTTGGGTAAGAGGATTGGATACCTTGTTTAGACGCGCTGGCGCGGTGAGCAAAGACCCTGAACCAACAGCCAAGGCAATGCATTGCAAGATATACTTTCCAGGGGGTTCAGTCCTTGCTTTTTTCACACTCGATCTCACTTTTTTCTTCTTTTTCTTTATCCGGCCCAAGCCCTTGGGATCCTCAATCTTGGGTTCAGAGATCTTCACTGAGCAAAACCTCGCATTGCTACCTTACAGTTGGGCCTGAAGCTAGTCTAACCCCCCCGGAAGTCTTTGTATCCGCTGAGCTAGTAGGGAAGAGCCTTCTTTTGGCTGCGGCACGACACCCGCGTAACTACCGTCTCCCCCCGCGCGGCCTCCGCGGCAGATTCTGGGTCTTGTAATTTTGCTTTAGCCTTACGAGCTGATGCGGGAGCGAACCCGTGTCGATGCTATCGATGTTTAGCGCAAGTTATGGCGCCAGCGCAGAGAAGCGTCTGCCTCACTATTAGTTCAAAGTATCTGTAGCAGCAGCAGGAAAAAGAAAGTTCAAAAGAGTCAGAAGGCGCTGACATGTAACGTGAAGATTACTCGCAGATTGAGTTCTGCGAGGATGGTCCACTCTCGATATTAACTGTCAAACAATGACAAGGTTTAAGTCCTGACACTCTGGGAATCACGATGTGACAATGCACCTCATCTTTTCCAAGGGAATCATTCGCGCGCCCAGAGATTACCCGCAGAGCCCAGAGCAAGCCCTCATGCTATATACTTACTGACTAACAGAAGAACCAAACCAAGAACGGGATAACGAAGTCTTGACCTAAAAAAGCCGGTGGACCCGTCGAATGTCACATTGTGGAACCGACTAGTCTGCTAGCTCAACTCCTTAGACCTCATCCAGCGACGATCATAGCCGTTGAGGCCTACAAGCGCGCTTTGAATTTCACCCAAGCCATTTTTCCTTTACGAGGGGACCTTGGACCTTGACACGATCATCGCAAGCTTTGCGTTCCCCTTTAGTTCCCAGGTCCACATACCGGTTCGTTTCGAATAGATAAATTAAAATGTTTCCTTTCGGGGAACTGCCCCCCCTCCCCTGGCGTAATTATACATATCTCTCGCATTGTATCCATCCTCTCGGGTTCGCGTTGGTCCTTCTCGCTCTTCTCTTTCCTCTCTCCAAACTCTGTATGGTTGGGCTGCCCCTCTCTGGTTCTTGACGAACTGAGTGTGCCGTAAGCTTAACTAAACCTCCAAACTCTGATTCGCGGAGGTGTTTGCTCCTTTTTGCTGTTTACCTCCGTGGACGGCCAAGATGGAGTCTAAGCAGACGGACCTTTGGGTCGTGCTGTTTGTCACGTTTGCTGCTGCGACTATTATCACCATCCTTCGGTTATTGAGTCGTCGGCTCAAGAGGATTCCTTTGTCGTGGGACGATTACTTTGCTCTTTGTGGATATGTGTGTTATTTTTTTTTAGAGCTGCTGTGAGTGAGGTTGTGAGTGCTGATGTTTTTTCAAGGCCATTTCTGTTGGTTGGATCATTATTATTCCCTACTGTATGTTCCCGCCTAAGGACCAACGACCAACAACCGATATCGATGCTAACAGTACCAAGGGGTCAATCATGGTCTTGGGTTACATATCACAGATGTCACGGAGATGAGGAACATCACGTTGGAAGATGCATTGTATCAATCAAAACTTCTGCTCTTCATCGCCGAGCTCTTCTACGCCTTCGGTCTCTTCTTCGCCAAAGTCTCGATTCTCAGTTTGTACTGGCGCATGTTCCGGGTCAGCAATATTCGACTACCGATTCAAATTCTCTTCGGATGCGCCATCGTCTGGATCATTTTCCGAGTATGTACATCAGGATCAATTGAGGCTCCCAGGCTAATTGATGGTAGATTTTCATGGGTATCTTCCACTGTGTTCCCGTCGATGCGTTCTGGGATTCGAAAGCAGGCGGATACTGCGCCATTGAGGATAAGAAGTTCTTCTTTGGTACGACGCTGGTGCACGCTGCCATTGATATCGCTATCTTGATCCTTCCGATGTGGCAGATTGGCAAATTGCAGCTGCCTATGATTCAAAAGGCTGGTATCATGGTCATGTTCACCTTTGGCTTCTTGTAAGTGAAGTGCACCTTGGTCAATTGATGGATACTTACAGACATAGCATTTGCGCCGCCGCTATTCGACTGATTGTCGCTGCTCGCGTTTTTAATGACAAGTCCGCGGATTTGACTTGGAATATTTGCGACATTGTCATCTGGGCAACTGTCGAGGTCAATCTCATCAACGTTTCCGGTACGTACTAATCTCAACGACGCACTCAGCGATATCTAACATGTATAGCTTCACTACCTACGATCCGACCCGCGTGCACATACATCTTTACCTGCACGCATCCCCGAACCCGAACAGGCGCCAGCTCAGGAAGCTACCCCAACAGCTACGGCCGCAGTCAAACCAAGCAATCCATCCGCCTCGACACCATCAACAAGTCCACGCCCAACGACGAATCTAGCTCAACGCACCAACTCGCCGAGTCCGACGACGGCGGTGGTCGCGGCTCAGTGTCAGACTTTGAGAGCCACGCCATCGACCGGTTCAGACCAGCGGGCAACAAGTACACGTCTATGGTCACGGGTCAAAGTCCAGGCACTGGTGAATTTGGAGCCAACTTTGGTGGCATTCTCGTCAAGAATGAGACGACGGTGCACGTTTCCAAACACTGATCAAACTGGAACCGATTTGATATCGAATGGAGTCATGGAAAAGCGATGTTATGGATATACCTTGTAACTTAGAGTACAGTGAAATAATTAATAGCGATGATCGAGTCATTTGGACCCAGACACTAGGAACCATTCCAACCAATCGCAACGTGGGCATGATGATTTTGGTGACATGAGTGGATGGGCCCCTGCGTCTCAAGCGTGAACTAGGATTGATCCACGGTGTCTTCGTCTCACGACAGATGCCAAAGCAGGTTTTCTTCAGCGCCGAGTCCACTGAAGAAATGTCACGGATCATTCCGTTGCAGATTCCAAGAGACTGTTTTCATCCTCATTTCCACTGTTGGCGACATGTCTCGTCTCCTAGACCCCACGCATCCGTAACTCTTTGACCCGTTCAGTTCCACAAACTTCAGTCCGTGGCCGCTTAAGCTTCAGCGGCTGTCACCAAAATGTCATTTTACGCATTGACCCCTGCACTGACATTAGCAAAAAGTCTACTCCGTAGAACTCGACAAACTGAGGCTGACGATATGACGCCGCAAAGTCAACACCGCTCTTGCTCTAGTGAACCTCTTTGCTTTTTCCACGTACATCTCAGCTTAGTCTTGCGTCTGCGACCAGAGAAACTCAATGTCCAATAAGAAACAGTGCCCTGATGGCGATCTGACGCATCAAGGTAGCATCGTGTCGGAAGTTGGGGGAAGAAATACTCCGGAACTTCCGCCAATGTGACATGGCAACATTTACGCTAAATGCCTCCGAGACAGGGTCAGGGCTTCGGCACTTGAAGGAGTAAAAGTGAGGGGAAGCCGCGATATTGGGACAACGCCAAATATTGGGTTAGCAGTCAATAACGGGTACGCTATAGTTTCAGCTGGTTCTTGGCATTTTAACGAGGTTGGTGGCGCTGGATGAGTTCAATGACTGCCGAAACAAGCTTTTACGTACCGGGAGCTATTCTGAAAGACTTGCCCGAATAGAAGAGCTCTTTCTAACGGAACTAGGCCGACTACGAAATCGTCGGTCGGTAAGTGCGATGCTCTGAAACGTGATCGGCATGCAACCTTTTGCACTGAAACTGCCAGAATGCCGACATAAGAGGTATCACAAGATCGGGCAGAAACACAATCGGGAAAGTGAGAGATAATGTTACTGATCGCATACTGAAGTTCGCCGAGACTTGCAACCTTGTCTTGAGATGCTTACCCTGCCATAAAACTCAAGGACGGGTTAATCTACGCAGCAATTCACTTACAAAGTCAGAAGAACAGCGTTAGATATGATCAGGTAATAATGGCTTGTATTGTTTTGTAATGAGGTCGAATCTCAGTCCTGCAGGTGTCATTCTATTTCAGCCGTGGCTGCTTATTCGTGATGTCATCCCGCGCCCTTTGGAGAACATGCACTGAGCGGATCTCCGCAATGAATGATTGACTTTCGATCATCTTTCGAATGGTTGCGCGATCAAACAGCGCTTTAACCCCTCAACTGACCAACGAGGGATTTGAAGCTTACTCCAAAATCATTCGAAGCATTTGTCAAAAATCATCGCTGTTACAAAACTTGACCGATCATGTCATTAACGGCAACCCTCTCAAAGAGAGGCGAGGTGTTCGCGACGCCGACAAGCAAAATGCCAATGCTGGATGTAGTCAACGACCTGTGGCATCTAGAAACAAACCCTGAAGGATACATCAGTCTTGGAGTCGCTGAAAATGCAAATGCCCAACTCTGACACCAATGATGCAAGACTGATACTTGACAGACACTCATGCACAAGGAACTGATTGAGCATATCACTAAGAATGTACCTACCCCCTTCTGGCGATGTAAATATAAACTATACTGACTTTCAGTAGTTCAGTCTTGATAGTCATGCTTTAACAGCCGGCGACGGTTTTACTGGCTCTCATCGCCTACGAAATACCCTCGCAAGATTCATCAACCGCCACTTCAGCCCGTTTGAAGACATCATGAAGGATCAAGTCATTGTAACCTCTGGTGTAGGTCAGTCAATCGAGCTCAGTGGTTTCGCTCTCTGCGATAAAGGTGACGGCGTTTTGCTCGCGCGACCTCACTATGGAAACTTCCCTATCGATCTGGGCTACAGAGTTGAGTGAGTCAACGTCTGATCTTACTGGCTGTATCAGGGTAACCTTTTATAGAGCTAAAATTGTCGGCGTCTCGTTTGGAGGTGTAGATCCCTTTAGCGTCGAGAGTGTTGTAGCTTACGAGAAAGCTTTGGAGGAAGCTGAGCAGCAAGGAATTCGTGTCAGGGTGTTTCTGTTATGCAACCCTCACAACCCATTAGGTAAGATGCTTGTGCCTATTGAACTTTCCTTCTAACTGTCTGCCAGGTCGTTGCTATACTCCTGAGGTTCTCAAGGCGTATATGCAATTCTGTCAGAAACATAACCTACACCTCATCAGTGATGAGGTATATGCTCTGTCAGTCTGGAAGAACCCAGAAGCCCCTAGTGCCCCCGAATTCACTTCCGCCTTGAATATTAATCCCGATGGTTTGATTGATAGAGACCTGCTACATGTCCTATGGGGAATGGGCAAGGTAAGGCCCTGAAGTGCACAAAAGCCGAGCAGTACTGACGGTTTATAGGACTTTGGTTCCTGCGGTATCAGAATTGGGTCTCTGATCAGTCGGAATGAAGCCTTGCTACGAGCCTGCGAAGCAAACTCTTACTTCTCTGGCCCTTCGTCTCTAGCTGACCTTGCTACTGCTCGTGTACTCGACGATGATGCCTTCATTGAGAGTTACATCAAAACCAATCGATTACGGCTGGCAGAGAACTACAAGCTGACAACCAAGTTTCTCAACAGTCATCAGATTCCTTATAAAGAAGGATCCAATGCGGGATTGTTCGTTTGGGCTAATCTATTCCAACCGTTACGCGCACAAATCAATGCCACTTTGCAGAACCAGGAGGAATATGAGGAAGATCCCGGGAAAGCTCTGAGGATTCTTGAAGCGAGGCTACAAGAGGTTTTGTTGAAGTACAAGATCTTCTTAGCTCTCGGTGCTGATTTTGGAAGTGATATACCCGGCTGGTTTCGAATTGTGTTTGCCCATGAAAGGACTTATCTGAACCTGGGCCTGGAGCGCATGGTTAAAGCAATTGAAGCATTCCGTGGTCAACTTGAAGAAGACAAAATGTAAACGATATTACGGCAGGAATTGCTTTGTCTTCATACCTCATATAGCTCTACCTAATGTCTAGAACTGTGAGGTAACGCGTATTTAAGAAATTCCGAGTGTCTTTTCCTCTGCGCGCATTGACTTGTACGCGTCAATCCACCACTTATGTATAGGCTTATCCCCCGTCCACGTCCCATCTAACCCGAGCTCATCCCACGGCTTGGGGCTGAGAATGTAATGAACGTTCTTGACTTTCTCATCACGCCATATAGCCCCGTGCACGCTTGGATCCCGCATCGTCTTCAAGGCGTTGTAGATATATGGTAATGCGACCCAACGACCTTTGTAAAGATCCGCCAATAGGTCCTGATCTGGAAACTGGTAGTCGAGACCAGTCTCATTCATTTTCGTGACGATCTGATCAAAAATGACTTTCGATGGGTTGATGACCAGAAGTCCACTGTTGAGTTTGCCCAGTCCTGTTAAGATATCTGCCCCAGTAATTTGTGCGACGTCTGGTGAGGCATGCTGGGACGTAAACGCGCAATTCTCGGGCTTCCAATTCGGCGGATAGTGCGGCTTTCGTAAGGGATTGCAAGTACATGCATGACAAGCAGCGAACACTCTTTTACTACGAGTAATGTCTCCAGATCCGCTTACTGATGGTAAGTCGAGGTCAAGGTCCATGAGTTCATCCATGTTCTGTAGTGGTAACATATCCGAATCTAGGAGAACAATTCGTGAGTAGTCTATGAGTGAGAAGGCGATCAGCTTTGTCCAACACTCATTAAATCGAAGGTCATCGGTGTATTCTTTTGTGGTCGTCGGGGTGAGTCGTGGTACTAGGAGCGTTGCTATGCTTCGACGCTTCAGAGACTCAACGCTGGTAAGGGATAATGTGCGGGTGTATAAAACCAGGAGCGGATATCTCGATTTGACACATCGCAAACGGTAGTTGAGTGTCAGTACGCCCTTGAGATAATCATCATTTGTCACCAAAGTTGCCCACACTGAATGATAGTTAGTCGAATGAAGTGAAGAGAGCTCTCCTATATTTCCTGGGAATCACCAACCTTTTGGAGGTAGAGTTGCAGTATTCTCCGAAACCATTGTAACCGAAATAGCTCAGAGATGCCCGAGACTGCATACAAATGAGAGACTGACTGAAAGACCAAGTGCCCATCATTCCAGGGAAGAACCCTCATAATATTGAATTGCGGCCGCGTGTTCTTTTATAACCCAGCATCGGCAGTTGTTAGAGTTTGTTGCGCAAACTTAGTACTCACGGCTGTCTCGGACGGCAATCGAAATGGCTTATTTCTATGGCGATCTCTTACTAAAAAGCCAAACCAACTCCACATTCTCATGCACGTTATCCCAAAGTTGGTATTTCCATGTCTAACATTGTCTCAGCGACAAGAAATGGCGCAGCTGAGAGATGCACTATTGGAGATCATCTCTTGGCAATCTCTCACCGATCGCTGGGTACTGCTTGGCATTGGAGGAGCTGACATTCAGTGTAGTTGATAACAGGCTTGCTTTGATGTTTGCAGTCGGGGCTGTATCTGGATGCCTGGCTGTCTTGCAATGTTGGCCATGGCTGTTCCGTAGTAAGGCCGCTTACTAATTTACAGGATGTCACTTTCGCGTTGTTCTTTACGATGCGTGCTTATCCGATGCTTCATGTCTATACCCCGCCCAAGCATCCTTACAACACATACCCTACACATTCTATGTACTTCGCGGAGTTAGAAATGGGCGACTCGGTAGAAACCAAGGTAACGGATGATATCACTGTCTACCAACTTAACAGTGGCATTGGAGATGGTGCAGATATAGTACTTGGATTCAATGGTTGCTTACTATCCGTCTCTATATTGCCTTCCAACGGGTCGTCTACAAAGGACACGGAGGGACAGAAAGATCGCCCTCTACAGGATCATTTTATTGATACCATAGAGAAGGCTACCGTATGTCAGGACGACGAGGAGTATGAGGAGCTTGTGGACGAGGTCCTTATCCCGATTCTCGACACTGGAAGACCTCTTTTTCATCAGTTGATACCTTCACGAGACGAGCGTGTGCAAGACAACCAATCTCTATATCATCTCTTGTTCCCCCCAGTCCTCTACTTTCGCTTAGAGGCTCCTACTCCTACTACCTCCGTCTCCCTCATATCTATCGACTCCAGCGAAGCATCTACCACTCTTACCATCGATCCTGCCTTTGACCACAGTATAGATCAAGATTTACAACTGAACCCCGATATACCACGCTTTACACCCGAGGACATCTCCGTGGCTGAGGTCTTTGTGCGTGGTGCATTTACAATTACGGCTGCCGTTGAGGTGCAAGGCCAAGACATGTTCTGCAAGTCACATGTTAGAGCAGGCGGACTCTTTGGTACTAGTGAGGCACGAGAACTCAATTGCCTCAGTGAGATGGTCAAAGTCTTCCAACCAAACGCAATAAAGATTCCCCAACTTGTAGGCTATATCCACCACAAAGACACCCAACAGATATTGGGGTTCCTTCGCCAGTGGGTGCCTGGACGCAGACTTAGCGATGGCATTGCTGCTGGCACACCTGAGAAACGACAGAAGTGGGCTTGCCAGATCCGTCGGTCTATAGAGCTGCTTCATCAGAATGGGTTGGTATGGGGAGATGGAAAACCTAGCAATGTCATCATCGACGATATGGATGATGCCTGGCTGGTGGACTTCGGAGGCGGGTACACGCGAGGCTGGGTTGACGAGGAACTGATGGAAACAAAACAAGGAGATGAGCAAGCCTTGGAGAAGATCATTGAATTCCTAAGCGGGAATGAGGATGTGCCTTTATCCGCATAGAGAAGGAAATATCCGAGGATTTACGAGGTTTAGGTGGTGCCAAGGTTCGATAGTGCAGATCAACGGCAGTTCCTAGCACCCTTACTGTTGGGACTGAACGGCCGCTAGGATGATGTCCACCTTTTTTATCTTGGAACAAAAGTCCCCAAGAGTCCGAATGTAGTTTAGCCAGGAAGTGAAGACAACAGAGATAAGCTCAAAGAATGTCTTGTACTGCAAGAGAGACTGTCCCGTCAGCACCAAGCGTTGCATCTCTTCATCGAGGGCGCTCGGAACAGATGCCTAGCTAATACTCTCGAGTTCAGTAAATCTGTCGTCACATGGGGAGCTCTAGTACCCTCTCTTCATGCGCGGACACCGAGTGGTTCGCTGCCCTACTTACAGCCCAGAAGCAGTATGTTATGGAGTGAACCTCTTCTTTGCAACCGCGGCTGCCTCCCGGAATAGCACGGGCCTCGATGGACGGTTCCTAGCCAAGACTGCCATCAAAAGTTGCAAAACACATCACCGGAAACCGCGGAACTGGGAAGCTTCACCTTCTTCAAAGCATCGCTTTGACCGCCTTGACTGCTTCTGCTGTGACGGTCTTCCCCAAATACTTATGACGTATGTTATAGTTGCATGATGCTTCGGGCCCCACGGCCTGCGCTGGCGTATTGGATGGTGTGCTTTACGAAGCTACCATAGGGCTAGCTATAGATAGGTCAGTTATCAGTTATCAGTGCCAAGTATGAACGGGATCGCTGTTTGATCTGCATGCATGCGTCGGTACCTGACGACCCAAGGCACATATGCCGTTTGCGGGCATGATACGATAGCAACTGTAGATAGTTCAGCCTAGCAGGGGAGTTAGCCCTTCTAACGGGCCGCCGAATGAAACATATGAAAACAGACAAAAAGTTCCGGTTAGCAGTAAACTCTAAAGACATCGATGTTGTATGGAAGTAGGTGTTGCAATCATCGAATGGCATCATCTGTAACTACCTTACATGACTTGACCTTCTATGCAATTCGTAGACCTGGGAGTATCCCGCAGAGTGAACATATTCTCCAATTATATAGAGTTCCCCTCCAAGCTCCGCTTTCCAATAAATAGCCTATTGCTTCTCGTGCCTGATGAAATTTGCATTTTATATGCGCGGATCCAAATCTTCTGTATCCATTATTTAAACGTTGGGTGGGGTTCTCCATTGCGTGTTCCTGGATACGGAATAGCAGCCCGGCATTTACAACAGTGGAGCTGTCGGAATTCGGGATCATATCTACGTACAATGCTCTAAAGTCTTACTTCAACCTTTGAATACTACATCGTATAATTACCCTGCTCGGAGCCCGTCATCCCACATCGGCAGATTAAATTAAATGCAACCAAATAAACAGTTTCTTACGTGCTGTCAAAGTCAAAATGATGTTTTTCTCGCTTAAATGACCAGATGTGGCGATAATACGCGCCGCATCTGAGATGCCCGAAGACATCGGACGATGGACCGCCAGCTTGGGACCGATACCCTAGCCCTTGGCCCTGTCTATCCGTCGCCTGAATTCCTTGTGGGGGCGGCTCTGCTCCCCTGTCGGCGTGTGAATGCGCCCAGACCCTCAGCCTGCACCAAACACGAGCGAAAGGCACGCGATAGACTTCGGTTCTCGGCTGTAGTCAACTTTAAATAGCATATCAGTCTATCAGATAGCCCACTTCACGCAGTCTGTGGCCTACGCGTAGACTAATGACGCATAAAACTTTGTTTTGTTGACTGTGATGTAGTAGCCTCGGTTCAGGGGTCAGACAGAATAGTTATATATCATGCATCCCGGCCGAATGGTTTCAAGGCTGTAAGGAGTATCACTGGTAACAGAGTCTCTTCAATCTCTGTCTGGGTATTAGCTCATCCTGGTCACTTCAACAATCCACCAACCTGCCTACACTATCGCCTCATTCCCTATCACCATGAGTTTCCGATTCCCTTATCACGAAACGCCGTCAGAGGGCAGCTTCAACCGCGAATTTAACGACGCGGAGAAGGGCCAGCACGATACCTCGGGAATGGCACTTGCACCACTGAGTAAGGTCTATGCATCCGACAAAGCGAATAGCCACCTTACTGCTTTCCCTCCAACTCATGACGGTAACATGTCGTCCGCCACCCAATCGACCTCGTCTTTTCACAACTATAGCAAATCAGACTCTTCATTGCCGATTCTCCCCAAGAAAAAGATCACGCCGCCGCCAAAGAAGCAGGAACCTAAGAAAAGTACCCTGTTCGTACTGTGGTTCAATACCTATAAGCGGCTCTTCGTTTTTGTCGTCACCCTCAACCTTGTTGCCATAATCCTTACTAGCGTCGGACAGTTCCAATATGCGCAGGATAATCTTGGTTCTATGGTTCTGGGAAACCTGCTCTTTGCTATCTTGATGCGCAACGAGTTGTTCTTTCGGATCCTGTATATGGTCTTGATCTATGGACTGAGAAGTGTATGTAGCCACTAAGCTGCGATGATAGAGAGGCTAACATTGAACAGTGGGCGCCGTTGAGAATGAAGTTGATGGCAGCTTCATTTCTGCAGCATGTTGGAGGAGTGCATTCGGGTTGTGCTATCTCTGGCACTGCGTAAGATACACCCTTATTCATGCTTCTACTAGTTGCTGACTTGTCATAGTTGGCTCGTTTATTACATTGTGCAGATTCTCAGTCACCGTAGTATCCGTGAGCCTGCTGTACTCATAAGTGGGATCGTCACCGTGGTATTCATCATAACATCCGTAGTTAGTGCATTGCCATGGGTCAGAAAGTAAGTCAAAGCCTGTGTTACGCGTTGAATTGTACTGATACCACGTTCCAGTAACCACCACAATATCTTTGAGCGATACCACCGATTCGCAGGCTGGTTGGGTTTGGCTGTAAGTCATTGTCAGAGTCTTTTCAGTGTTGATACTGACTTGGGTATAGGCTACATGGTCTTTCGTCGTGTTGAGCAACTCTTACGATGCCACTAGCGGCGAAGATAATTCCAGAGCACAGTCCTTGATCACAACAGAAAACATCTGGTTCACCATTTTCATGACAATCTTGTAGGGAACCCCAGTTCCAGCGCACTAACATGGACATTTACTGATGAATGCGTTGCTTAGGATCGCTCTCCCGTGGGTCACAGTCCGAAAGGTCCCCGTTGAGGTAGAAATACCTTCATCCAAGGTCGCCGTCCTCCGGTTCGACAGGGGAATGCGACAAGGTCTCCTGGGACGAATCGGCCGATCAGCCTTGATGGAGTATCACGCCTTCGGTATTATCAGCGAAGGACGCCATTCCCCTTATCATTATATGGTTTGCGGTGTCCAGGGTGATTTCACCAAGAGCCTTGTTGCGAACCCGCCTACAAAGATATGGACAAGAGAATTGAAGTTTGGTATGAGTTGCTTGCGGGGCATATCGTGGTATAGATTGTACTGACATTGTGTAGCTGGAATCGGACACGCTTCTGCAATGTTCAAAAGGGGTATTCGCGTCTGCACCGGAACAGGGATTGGTGCTGCTCTGTCAACATGTATCCAGAGCAAAAACTGGTATGAATGCCCAGATGGTTTACCAACGCCAAACTGTACTAACAGCCATCAAGGTTCCTCATCTGGATAGGCTCTGACCAGCTAAACACCTTTGGAACCACGATCTCACGTCTTATCCACGACAATATCGAGCCCGATCGAATGATACTATGGGACACCAAAGAACGCGGCGGTCGACCAGATACAATGCAGCTCCTGAGAGATACCTGGAACAGTTTCGGTGCAGAGGTCATCTTCATCACGTCCAACATGAAGGGGAATGATGAAATGATGCAAGGATGCAGTGCAGGTTCGTACAACTCTGTCCTGGGTGTCTCATGAGCTTCGCTAACAGATGATGATTGATACAGAGGGAATGCACGCTTTCGGTACACTCTGGGACTTCTGAGCTTCGTGCCCACCAAACCCCATTGCTCTGCCACTATAATGCAACTTTGATGCTTTGACATTGATCATGTCTTTGATGTTTTCTCAGTTCGAATGACACAGCTCTTCCACTGTATTTTCCTTTGTTCCAAACTTGAAGTTTGTTGGTCGCTTTCTTGGCTGGTATTCTTTGGAGTTTGAGATGTAATGCGCACACTTTTATATGATTAATTAGAGGATTTCTACATAGACGTTGGATAGATATAGAGAAAATGCTAATGTAATGGAGTATATTGCCACTTTCGCTACATAATGGGTCAAGCTCCTTAATATGTCTACGTAGAAATTTGTCGAATGTATTTGTGATCCGCGCTATCCTCTAGTCTCCAGACATAAACTTCTATTCTTATCACCAAGATAGTTAGACAGTCGCATTCTCTACCTAATGGCCCCTGTACAAGCTGACCTTTATGTGTACTAATAATAGCTAACTTCTCTGCTGATTTAAGCTCTCAGCCACAAGTCTCAACTGCAGATAACACATCTAACCTAGCTAGTAGCTTGTGCAAAAACTACCTACAACAACGCCAACTTAGTGTCAAGAACCTCGTGTTTGTTTGTTGGAGTATGCAATCAAGAAAAGCCAGCAATGCTTTCTGCAACCTGTAATCCCGAGTAAAGATCATCACATGCAGCCTTGGCTGTAACAGCAATAAGACGGCTGTCGGGATCTTCATCGTTGACAGCCACGGCATAAGAGATCTTCGACGCGTATGAGGCCAGGGAAGAAACCTCACCGAGAATAGCAGCTGTGAGAGTTGCGCCAGTGCTGTCTTTGGTAAGTTCGTAAAAATGCCACCCGGTAACAGCCAAGCAAGGAACAACAAGAATGACATCAACTATGGCCCCTACACCACGAGGGTCTGCCACGCTTAAACTGTTGATCATCTTGGCCTTGAGCTTGGACTGAACCGTGCTGGAGAATACGATAGAGGTCAAAATCCCAAGGCATGTTGTTACATGGGAAATTGTCTGAACGACTTCGTTCTTCACTGGGTATCGAGGGACGAGAATGTCACCGATCGTTTGAGATCCTGTAGCCACGACTTTTATGACAGTAGCACCGGTGGAAAGCATACCGAGTGAACCAGCCTCGGACATGGCCTCAGCCGAGGAGATGGGGTTACCGACCAGCGCAAGGAAGGCAGCAATAGAGTGAGTGGCTTTGAAAAAGGTCTTTTGGAAAGACAAGTCTGATTTCTGGCACGCATCCTCCAGCTGCTCCCAAGTCCCCGCCGAGATAATCTCCTGTACGTACTCATTGCCTTTGGGGAATGGTGCAGACCCCTCAATGATCTTGTGTACTACAGTGAAACCCATAGCAGCAATCCAGCAGATGAGATCCAGAAAGGAGAGCATTTTGAAGTTGGGAAACACGGCGTCGAGAATATCAGAGATGATAGGAACTCGAATTGGTGCATCGAGGATGGTAAGGACAGTTTCGGACACTTTGTAGAGGACGTTCAGGAGAGCGTCAACTACAACCTGAACGCTAGAGAAGGCCGCACCGAGTAATATGGCAGCCGCCCTTTTGAGGGCGTCTTGTGCGCTGAGACTTGACAAGTCTTGGGCGAGTGTGGTTAATTGGTTGAAAGTATCGTCGAGGACAGCCCCCTCCTGGGAAATGACTGCTAGCAGGTCATTTATGAGGTCTTCCACTGAGCCCACTTCGGGACAGCCTCCGATGTACTGAACCTCGCTTGCGTGATTCTGGTAGTGGGTGGCAAAGAGCTTGGAGCCTGAAGTTTGGTCTTTGTTTGGGTCCTCAGTGTTTTGACTTATTGGATTCTGAGAAAGACCCCCAAAAGCAGATATGTCTGTGCTTTGAGTCCACTCCGTGAGACCCTGTTTGAAAGCATCGATATTCTGATCCAAAGCGTCTTTGGCTTTCGGGAGATATTCCACCTGGTGCTGCATCCACAGTTTGAATGCGTTGTGTATGACATCCTTGCTCCGGCGGATATCATCCCATTCAAACAACATCTCAAGAAATCCTAGTAGGTCTTGGATACCAGTCTTGATCTTTTTGTAAATCCACTCTGCAGCACCAGCAATAGCGTGCATAGTATCTAGAACAGCGTGATACACACTGTCGCCGATCTGTGCAAAGAAGTGCAGAGTTCCAGTGGCGGCATCTTTGACAAGCTGTCCCAAAGCCTCGGCATTGTGTTTCATCCAGCTCCAGACATCTCCAGCAAGAGATCCAATAGTATCAGCAAGTTTGCCAGCCCAGTCTTCAAAATCACCCACGAGGCCGTTGAAAAGGTCCCCAAAGCTGAAGAGTGTGGTGGTATGAGGTATTGTTATAGCTCGATGATTCTTGGCCAACAACGGCTTGGTTCCAGAACTTTCCAGCATGGCAGATGCTTGGCTAAGAACATCCAAGTGATTTGCTACATTTGAAACATCGTCGTCATTGACTGATGGATCCACAAGATGGGTGTAGTCTGGCGATCCTACTACGCCGCCTGCAACTGTCGTGCTGGGAAACTGGGCGTCACGTAGCTTGGATGTAGAATTGAGCGAGGTGAGCTTGTCCATAGATTTTCTCATGGGATTGATCGTGATAGCGGGGTCGTCTTCTACAGAAACTGTCAAGACTGCAGCATTCAACCCCTCTGTTGTGTCAATGATGGTGAGTGACCCTCCTGCATCGGTTGGGATCTGTATTGGGGCAGGCGATAAGACGTAGTAAAGGCCATTGATGTAAACTGGAGTGCGACTGTGCGCCGACAGTCTGACTGTTGTATTAGATGCGGGCAGTTCTGCATCTTTCTGTGTGATGTGGATTGTAGTGGTATAGGATTTGAACGAAGTGGACTTTTCATCTGGAGGGCTTGCTAATATGATGTTCTGTGAGCGCCATAGTCCACCAGTAGCAGGGTCATCTTGAACGATCTTTTGGAGTCGTCCATTACCAGCTGTAAAGATAGTGTTGCCACCATCGAGGCGGTTTATATAAGTTGACATGCGCTCGACTCCAGAAAGTAGAGGAACGGGGGGGTTCCAAGCTTTTGAGTCATACAGTTGACTTGTCTCACAACTGATGTAATACACTTCATCACTTCCGGTCCTACCCCAGAGTGTCGTGACACCATTGTGGTTCATAGCTCTCAACGTGTCAGTTTGGGCTATCACGTCGCTGGTAACGAGGGCGGTAGGCTCAAAGTTACCCTCCTGCTCATCGGCAGCAAAACGATACAATGTTGAGCCTGCAATGACGTAGAGATCACTCGATCCCTCTCCATTACGAGTTGTGGCTATAGTCGAAGGAACTTCTCGGCCTGGCGTTTGCAAGGTGATAGGCGTGGCCGGACCCCCGCCATACCAGTTGATAATGGGCTCGTAAATAAGCTGTGCTGATGCTCCAGCGTATCCAGCTGTGTAGATGCCATCGACAGGCTTCCCACTGACTCGTCCAACCGCACTCTGATACTTTCCAGCTGAGATATCAACTGTCACGTCGTGCTTGACCCAGTATTGCCCACTGCTTCGAGAGGGATCTATGTGATAGCGGGATATATGAGGGTCGGCCGTATTTCCGGAGCGATCAATGTCAACCACCAAGTACTGTACGCCGCCCATAGTCTCAGCGAACATAGTTCCAGTGATTATAAGGTTCTCAAGTTGCTCATCTGCTGCGTCGAAGGGGACGTTGATCCATGTTGGTGCATCGACCCAAGAGGTACTTTCAGACGAGTTACCCAAAGATATGAACAAGTGATCAGTGTCATCTAGACTGACAGCCATCATCAACCCAATGGTTCCATCTAAGGCGCTTTGACCAACGTCAAAGGTGCGAACCTTGGCGCTAGTCACATCGTCTGGAAAATGGCTTCGTAGAACCACTGTCGACAGATCATGGGTCTTCCATCCGGTGTGCGAATTACCACTCTGTTCTTCAATGGCATGGAGGACTCCCGAGGTGTCACAGCTAAAGAGAATTGTGTGTCCCTCAGTAGTCTGAAGGGATTCAAACTTGTCCGTTGGGGAGACGATTTCCCCTTGCACGTAGTTTTGTATCAACTCTGAGCTCGCTGCAAGCCTCCCACTGGAGCTATCTTCTGGAGGAGGGAGCGGGCTATGCGACCTGGAGTCAGAAGTGTCGTCTTCGTCATCGGTATATTGTGGCTCCTGGATCAAGGTCAGTTTCACTCTGGCGATGATAATAAACCATGACATAAATTGGACACTCGTAATCGAAATTGACTAGCATATTCGCTTCGCTCAACAAATCCCCCTCCTTACACCTCTTAACCTACTTGGAAATCTATTTGTTGCCTACCTCTTCAGGGTCCACATAGGTAATCTTGCACACCAGGTCCTGGTGATCGGAAAAGAAGGGGTCTTTATAGGTGAAAACCTTGCCACCAGGAAAGACGAAGTTTTGCAGTGTACTGATTTGCAGCTCATGCAATATCCCAGCTGAAGACTGCGCAATGTCAACTTGTATACCCCGAATCTCCGTATCAAAAGCAGCAAGTACAGCTTCCAATATGATACTCGAATCCCCGTAATCAAAACTATTGAAAATTGTTGTAGGCTCGGTGTCCGACTGGTCAGTTTCCTTCTGGTCTGACTTGACTAGCTGCAAGCTACCGGACTGATCAACTGATATGGCAAAAGTATCTGTCAGCGTCTTGTCGACAACATTCATCATGCATAAGAGGTCTCCATGGCCCCCGTACGGACTCATATCGAGCACAGAAGAGAAAGTTATCTGAGAGTTCTGGACGGTCCTAAGCGCAGTTCCTTCGAAGAAAACATCCAAGGCGTAAACGATAGAAACGTCCGTGTCAACTTGGACAAGAATATCGAATCCTGGGCAAGAAAAGGTTTGAGGGCTTTCGCTGGTATGGCTATGATCCATATGGATGGTGTTGCTGCCTGAAGGAGGAATGGTGACCACAGGAGTTCCCTCAGCGGTAAACTCGACGTGATCATCGTAAATCTTTGATGTAAAACAGGCTGAGGTAGCCAATTTCTCCAATTTGGATGATATAAACTGGGTAAGGATATTCCTGTTGATGGCTACAGCGCCACTGTGGTCACCACTCTCTGCTGGCTGTACCCAGTTCCAATCAAGTCCTGTGATTCGTGGGACGGGATTGCTGTTTGTAGCGCAAAGATGATCCAGAGTGTATACGGCCCGTTGGCTGTCAGTTGGATTTGAGATTGGATTGCCATTGCCGTCCTTGAGAGGATTCACGATACGCTCAAAGCCAGTCAATTTGAGCGTGGAATCATCTTTGCCCTGGGTTACTGCGGTGATAGAAACCAATGGGAGACCGTACTCGGTGGCATTTTTGACATATATATCGCGGAAATAGTTTTCGAGAACATTCCGAGCATCTTCGTCAGTAACGCCAGAGAAGTCGGGGATAGTTTCGAGAAGAGCGTTATCCAGGTCAAATAAAAGCTGCTGCAAGCTGAAGGCAGTGTCGGAGAGATTATCTAGAGCTTTAAGCAGTTGGTCTCGAAGTTTGGGGTGATTATTGAAGTACGGCGTGTTGAGTTTCTTATCCAAGTCGCCGATGGTGAGATCAACAGACATTTTCATGGTCCACGGGGTTCCAGAAGGTCCGACGGGTTGTTTGAAGACGTTCCAGCTGAACTTTTCTCTTCTGCCCCATTTGATGGAGACAACTTTGATCTGCTTGCAGTACAAATTGAAGGCGACATTGCTAGCCGTGTTCAAAGTGACAATAGGAGGTAAAGTCTGGGGCGTGTGGCCCTCCGGTAACCCCATTTGCAACATGACTCCGACAGAAAAGTCGGTGTTGTTTGCAAGGGCGCTCACTTGCGGATTGTCCGAATCAGCATCATCAGGAATGAAGAATGGGTTGATGCCCCCGCTTTGCACCATCAAGTCATCTAGACTGATCTGCACGGTAGGGTAGCCGTTGTCATCGGCTAGAAAACATAGATACTGAACGGGTTGGGATTCTTCGTAAAGATACTCCCATAAACCAGAGTTGATGCTTGCTTGAGTGGTGCCAACGACAAAATCACACTGACACCGGGGGTCAGAGAGGTATGAGTCCTTGCTAGACATGCTGAGGTTTATAGTACGGATATCCTGAAAAGTGTTTTAATAAGAAGGTTGAATATTTGTGTTATACTATCGAGTAGAGAAGAATTATTTTCAAGTCTGCGCAGCTGTAGTTATATACCATTTATTACGTAGTACTCTGAACTCGTGAGAATTTCCTCTTCTTCTGGACAGATAGAGGATCTTGCGTGAATTATTTGCAGGTGTTCGGCCATGGCAAGGTTGTCATTCTTCAGTGCTGTTCGACTGCAGATCATTGCTTCATTTGCCAGGAAGAACAGTGCGTACAGCCATAAAGCGGGCCGAGCCTGGCGTATTGGAAATGCCGAAGCTACCGAAACGTAAGAGCAATGGCCTAATTCAGCCAGCCACACATACGCAGGAAGCCAATAGTTTGCATGAGAGCAATGACCTGGATGTAGTTCAGCCAGCCATTTACATGCAGGAGGCCGAAAACCTATAAGTCAATGTGACTGCTAAGCGTCGTAAAAATATACAATATACCGTTGACATGCAGATCGAGTCGTAGACTTTGCTCAATCAGGTAACCTGTATGGAGTATATGCATGATGACCTGGTGCTCAGACAGCACTTGGCTTTCTGGTTTGCTGACCTTTCTACTAAAGGGTCCAAGCGCAGTAGCATCAGATGTCAAAGAGCGAGGTAAAGTGCGCGGGATGCAGCGGTTACCTTGCCAGGTTCAATGCTAGATAACAATGTGAAAGAACTTTTGCCTCTTGTCACCTGCTAGATAACTAGAACCGGTCTGAAAACAAGTTGCACGCTAGGCCGGTTTCTACACATCCCTGGAAGACCACTTCAAAGCTGAAAAAGACACCTGCGCCGTACTTGTAAGGTTAAAATATATAGCTAGCTGGTGACAGCTGTAAAATCAGATCATAAGCAGCTTCAGGGCGTAGGCTAAGAGTTTTACCTATGCAAGCCTCTCTTGGAAACGGTCGGCATCTTGCCATGGCCTGCAAAGCGTTTAATTACTTCTCTATGGCTTTTCTACCTGCCTATTAATTAAAGCTATATATACTATATATTAAAATTTAGAATATTTTATATTTCTCTTTAAATTATATAAGATTTGATTCAAATTATTATTTTCATAGGAAATTAATTTAATTTAATACAATGAAGTTAAAGCTTAGCTAGTCTATTGAGTACCAGGTTATGTGGATAGCACATAATACTAAACACATAACGAGTTATGCGGGTATGAGTGGCCTGTCCACAGATATTGCTGAGTCACAACGTTGTCTTGGCAACACCGCTCCTCGGAAGCTAAATCATGACTTTTACCTCATTTCTGCCATCTATAGGCACATGACTATCTAAAACCGCAGTAATCAACAACATAGTCAATACCTCGAAACCGAATATATTGGGTTCCAAACGAATATCTGCATAATGGAGCGCCGATCTAAAACTCGTGCGACGCTTGCCTGTCTCCCTTGTCGCAACCAGCATCTGAAATGCGATGGGACACGCCCTATTTGTTCACGATGCCAAGGCCTCTCGAGAACCTGTGCATTTTCCGAATCGCGTCGAAGTGGTAGCTATAAAGCAGCATTAAGAAGAACGCGGGCTCAAGATTTCCAGGCGCATAACTTGACCCCCACTGATAGCCTGGCATCTCTTGGTTCGGAACTTCAGCAGCCGCTATCAGACTCGCTTGCAGGCTTTGGAGTCATAGAAACTCAACACGATGATGGAATCGAGTTTGTTGATCTGTATTATGAGAACTTTCATCCTAGTCATCCTTTTATTCTGCCGAGGACAGCTCTAGATGCGAGGTATGCCGCTGGATGCCCTAATATTCAGCATGTTATGGGCGCTGTTCGGCATATTGGCTCTTTTTACACGAGTAACCCTATCATTGGAATCGAAGACTCTTTATTGGGGCAGGTGGAACACATCGATGGATTCATCGTGCAAACAACTCTGCTGACAGCATTGGCTAAGAGCATGTGCGCAGAGCAGGACCTTGCCGACGAACTACTATCAAAGGCGATGCACCAAGCAAGCCTCATTGGCATGGGCACCAAGACACTCACAGAATTTACTTCACAGAGCGATCCGGTCCTCGCAGAAAGTTTGAGGCGGACAATGTGGATGTTGTACGTGAGCGACGCGAACTTTGCTGTTATCCGACAGGACTATACATTGAGGCTGAAGGACATGAGCCTCGATGTGGATCTCCCATGTGAAGATAAGGAGTACAATGAAATGGTAATTGGCCCCAACATATCTCTGGATAAATGTTTGCATTGCTGAAACGAACCACAAAGCTTATTCCGCCGACAAGAACGACACTCGCAGAGTATCACAGCCGCGAGTACGACATGCAAGAAAAGTCGTTTTCTTCGTTTTCATACTATATCGACGCAAGTGTAATATTTGCTACTACACTGCACGCATCGCTCAAGTTCATGACCACACCTAAAGCAGAGATGATGTGTGATGATCTCGAGGCCAAGATTGCTGGCTGGTTTACTATGTTGCCGCCAAGCAAGCGAGACCTCGATGTTCGGCCTGCCTTTTTTGATCAGCTCATTTTCCAAGCACACATGATGATGTACACGTAAGAAAAGAAGCTGCACATATTCTATCTCCTTATTGAATCGGACTGACTAAAAGAACCTTAGATGTCTTGCTTACATACACAGGCCCTTTTCCACCCTTCGATATGACCCCATTGAATCAATCTCATCGTGCGGATCGCCTCCCCCTCCGCTGTTCTTGGGAGTCAGCGGTGGAAGCGGACTGAATCGTCAGTCCCATCTGCAAAAACTCTTACAGGCCATCCGCAAACAAAACCAGTGTCTTATTATCCTGCCTCTTGGCCCAGCCCAGCTATCCCCCTTCGTCATCTGCATGGTTGCCTGCTGCACCATTGCTCACCTCGTAGCTTGCAAGTCGACACTACCAGAAGATGAAGCCGAAGTAGCTCGGTCCCGGATCCGCGTTTGTCTTGGCACGCTCAGGCATTATGAGGACATATGGCCGAGGGCCAAGAAGATTTTATTGGAGCTCAAGAGAATCGCCAATTCCATTCTTCAGACTGAGATGGCGACCGTGCAGTACCAGCCCGCCTATAGTGAAGTCTCTGTAGCTCAGCAAGACAACACTCTTGAGGATTTATTTGAAGAGGAATGGCTTGATGCCCTGAGGGATTTAACATGAGGAATGAAAGTGGAGGAGGTGTTGTATTATGGACCGTGAAACGAGTGAGACGTGGGACATGAGCATCAACTGTCTGGTCTATTAACTTATAGTAAGACTATTGCAGACCCAAGTTGGGCAGTATACCAGCCGCCTCTATGATTACCCAGAATAAGCTGTTCAGCCCATCTGATAATTACAAGAGACCGTGGAATGAATCCGCACGGAACAGACTTAGCGAATGGGTAAAGAAATTAAAAGTATTGATAAGCGAAACCGGTGTTAGGGCTATGTCAGTGACGGGCTTTTCATTACGTCTCAGCCATTATCACTGACGATAATAGACCAATTACTTGGACATCGATTTGCTCTGTTCCCTGACCCTTTCGCCTGAGTTGCTCTGTGGTTCGGGGCCCCACCCAAATCCCGAATTGCCTATGGGCGGGGCGAAAACCTCCTTTGTCATCCCGAATACTCACGTTTATCGGACTGTATTAAACAAAGCAGCTGAAAGTTCAGGCAAGGCTTTTGGTATAAAGCAAAAGACTACCCCATAGCTTCTGAGGATACAACACCACAAGTCCACCCACTTCACTAACATCATCACTACCTTGCCAACATGACAGCCCAGTATTTCCGGACTACAGCCCTGGGTACGATTGTGAGGTTCGCAACAAACAATCGATTCCTCGCGTTCAAGAGCTACAAAGATGAGTATCCCAAGGAGGCAAACAGCGGGCCATCAAACTCCAATCTCCCGGTTGAGGATGATTGCATACTTGTCGGATGGTAAGTGATATGCTACACGATTAATCTGTGTTCTCTCTTCTCACGGTGAACACAGGAAATCAGAGGATGATCCCGAGAACCCTCGCAATTGGTCCACAATGAGAAAGACTGCAGTGGCGGCCCTAATCTGGTAAGTTGCTCCTTATTCACTGAATCCCCATCACGACCTGAACCGAGCCTTGCTGAAACCAAGCCTTGCTTTCAAACAGTTTATACACCTTCACCATTTATTGCGGATCGTCGATTTACGTCCCAAGCGTCGGGTATGTCAAAACCCTTTTCGATATGAGGACGATACACTAAATCCATATAAAGACAGGTCATGCAAGAGTTCAACGTCACAGAAACAGCCGCGTCGCTAGGTCTAGCGCTTTACGTTCTCGGATGTAGGCGTTTCTCAATAACCTCCCACAACCTTCGACACACGCTAATGAGAATCTTCAGATGGGTTTGGGCCGCTACTATTCTCGCCGCTCAGCGAAATCCCCTACGTCGGACGTAACCCAATCTACATTATCACCTTCGCCATATTCAATCTCCTCTGTATTGGAGCGGCATTGACAGAGAGCTTTGCTGGATTCCTCATCATTCGTTTTCTGCAGGGATTCTTTGGAAGCCCATGCCTCGCCACTGGTGCTGCGAGCCTTACTGACATGGTAATAACCGATTTTCTCTAGTGTCGCCATGTTCGCTAGTGACTAACCACCTGCCCAACAGTTCTCCGTCATCTACATCCCATACAGTCTAGCGGCATGGTCAGGCGCTATGTACTGCGGCCCGGCACTTGGCCCATTGCTCTCAGGCTTCTCCGTTGTTGTCAAAGGGTGAGATCCTCCTGATTCTGTACAAATTGGATTTACTCTAACGAGTAATAGATGGCGGTGGTCAATGTGGGAACTGCTATGGCTCTCGTGCTTCGTCTTTGTCCTCCTCGTCATCTTCTTACCCGAGACATCTACGCCGACGTTGCTCTACCAAAGATCCAAACTGCTGCGCGAGGAAACTGGGTCGGAGAAATACATTGACGCTGCGTCCATTGCTTTAAGGGCTGTGACCCCGAGAGATGCCCTTACAGCGGCGCTGGTTAAGCCATTCGAGATATCTCTCAAAGACCCTTCAATCGCGTTTGTGAACATTTACGTAAGCTGCTTTGACCAAGTTACCTGTTTGTATCTAACCCGTTCGTGTAGACATCCTTTACCTATGGAATATACTATTCCTTCTTCGAGGTTTTCCCACTTGTCTATCCCAAGATCTATGGGATGAATCTAGGAGAAACGAGCGCCGTTTTTGTATGCGTTCTAATCGCGTGTATCATTGGCATCATATGGTACCTATCTTGGTATCGCATTTGCATCGAAAAGCGATTCAAAACACTCGGCTCATATGACGTCCCCGAGACCTTCTTACGCCCTGGACTGCTTGGTGTCTTTGGTGCGCCGATCGGCATGTTCTTATTTGGCTGGGGCGCGAGAGAGTCGATTCCCTGGGAGGTGCCAACGCTTGGTATTGTTGTTTACTGCGGCTTCTCTTTTGTTGTTGGCTCTGGGATCTTCATCTATCTCCCGTTGGGATATCCTCATTACGCGGCTAGTCTTTTTGCTGCGAATGATGCTTTGAGAAGTTCGTTTGCTGCAGCCGCTATTCTATTTGGTAGACCCCTCTACCTGAATCTAGGGATCGGAAAAGGCTGCAGTTTGTTGGGCGGCTTGAGTATACTTGGTATTGTTGGGTTCTGGTATCTCTTCCGCTATGGAGATCAATTGCGAAAGCGAAGCAAGTTCACAATCCACCAATAGATGCAGACCAGAATAATTATGGCCGGGGATAGATTAGATCTGGGGAAAATGATTTAGTCCGCTCTTATTTAGATCGCATTTACAGAACCTGAGTCATGCCACGTTCTGTGGAACGTTAATGTATACAATCTGTACCGAGTTTATCATTCACACAGTAACCGTTAACCATAGTTCAGGTAACGATTATCACTCTCTCAGCATGAGCACATTGGATCAAGGTATCAATTCGTTCACTCATGCATCGGCATTAACCCACATTATCGCCCACCCAAAAGATCATGTGGCGGACTTGTGGAGCGGCACCGTGTAGCTGCTCAAAGGCTCAACAGCCGGAGTTTCGGGGCCAAGTTCTAGGACGAGAAAGCTTCAATTTACGCTTTAATGCCTGCAAGATCTCCAGCTTCGGGCTGGACTATGTTTCCGAGCCCCCGGGTTATTTTGTTGTCGTCTTCTGTTCAACGGTCTAATACGTCCCTAAGCGGCGAGTGCCCAGACCCGCTTGTGCCTAATGCATATATAAACAGCCTCAAAGGCCATATTCTTTTAACATTCTGTGTTTTACTCCCACAATATCCCCGTACTCCTCGAAGAAGTAAATCAATATTACCAACCTGCCCTATCCCATCATGTCTCGAACTCTTATCTATAAAATCACACAGGAACTGAATCACGATATCGAAGCAGTCTGGTCCATAATCTCCAAGTTCGATGCCGTCGCCGCATGGTCCCCGATGGCTGTTTAATGCAGCACAGAGGGAGAAGAGATTGGTTCAGTCAGGTCTACAGTAACAGACTCAGGCGCCCACTTCAATGAAAAGCTCGAGATATTTGATCACGAGTCACATACCATGAGCTACAGTTTAGAGGAACCTGTGCCGTTCCCAGCGACTGGTATTTATGGGACGAAACATCTCGATGCGATTGAGCCGGGCGAAACGCTGTTCACGTGGATAGCGGAGGCGGAATCAATGGATGGGGAAGTGAAAGACACGGTTGGTCAATAAACGCAGGGTCTTGTCAAGATTTCTCTGGCTGGGCTTGTGGAATTGGTCGAAAAACGCCACAAAGGGTTATCAGGTTAGGAGTTTTGTTAATAGGAGAGTATTGTAACTAGTCTTATTGCTCGAGATAACTTTATATCGACCTCCCAAAGGGCCTCATGCTAGATCAGTAATAATAGAGGTATTGCATTTCTAGGAACGGTGTTAACTACGAATTCTCAGAATCTATAGAACCATCTGTGGTGCTCCAACAGTCGGATTCAATAGACCCTAGTGGAACTAGAGTATGCGACTTCGGACATAGCTGAAATCCTCGAGTAAAGCATTCTGAGCATAGGAGCATGTAGGAATTGTAGCACTCCTCGCAACAGAATTCTTGGTCATCTTGTACGCTCAAGGTACAAACGTAACACCATGAAACACCAGGCCTGCACTCTACGGTCTCCGCGTCGCGAGATAAAGGCTCTATATTGGTCAAGGGACCAGGAAGAGCATTCCATAGGCCGCTGGCCGTGTCCCCGCGCGGTTTCTGTGGTTGTAGAAGTTGTACCAGGTCCGGTTTATTCGAGCGTTGAGCCCACCAGAGCAAGTCTCGACCAATGCTGACCTGGTGTTGTACATGACATCCTTTGGAGAGTAGGAGCTTTGTAACCTCCAAATGCCCATTGGCCACTGCCGCGAATAAGGGGTTTAGGCCCAGCCAGTTCCCGCTGTCTTTATCAATTGAATCAACAGAGAGCAGAAACTCTGCCATCCCGCAATCTCCATTTCTTGACGCGATGAACAGAGGCGTGAATCCATAGGGAGTCTTTTGATTCACGGAGACACCGGGCACTTCTAGGAGGAGCTTCACCACTTCGACGTGGTTTGTAATCGCGGTGGCATGTACAGGTGTCTCGCCTAGTGAATTGGAAGCTGTCATAGTTCTTCCCGCTCCGTGGGAGAGTAGTTCCTTGACGACCTCGCCGAATCCTCCGAGTGACGCTGCCCATAAGGGACTATTACCGCAGACGTCGAAGATGTCAAGAGTACTTTCTGCGCCATGTTGTAGTAGTGTCTTCACCACGTCCGCATAGCCTTTGTATCCAGCAATAAACAAAGGTGTTTTGCGCTCTCCATTGGAAACTGAAAGAGTTGTCTGGGCCCCAAAGTTGAGCAATTCACGGACAACAGCAAAATTACCCAACGAAGATGCAAGATACAAAGGGGTCTCGAGTTTCTTGTTCTGCGTCTTCAAAAGACGCTGGTGCTCTGGCTCTGAGTATCGAAGTATCAACTTGACATAATTGACATGGCCTTTTCTAGTCGCCACATGAACAGGCGTGTCCCCGTTTCCGTTCTGCATTAGTATCGACTCTTCGACACCTGAACGAAGAAGAAGACGAATTATTTTATCACGCCCTACAACAAAGCACGCATCGTGTAGTGCCGTATTGCCCTTTGTATTCGGAATAGCCAGTGTTGTTGCAGCACCGTGCTCTAGGAAGAGCTCCACTAGCTCGATATGACCTGAATTCACGGCAAGCTGAAGCGGCAGCTCCCCATCAGGGGACGGGACAGATAAGGAAGCAACGGCCCCAAACTCAAAGAGAACCTTGGCCATATTGACATCGCCGTTGCGAGCTACAAGCCTAAGCGGTGGGTTGACTTTGTACTTATGATCTGTTGCTAGGGTGTCAGGCCCATTCTGAAGGATAAATCTTAGTAGTTCAGCATGACCAGCGTCGACACATGCGTGGTGTACTACATGATAACCTTTAGTGTCTCTGATCTCGGCATCAGCTCCTTGCTCCAGTAAATATTGGTAGCATTTCATGTTGCCACCTCTGGCAGCAAAATGTAATAGCGTCATGCCCTTCTTAGTCTCTGATGACAAGTCAACTTTCGACTCCACCAAGATCCTAACAATGTCTTCAAAACCATTATAGGCTGCTTGGTGAAGGCATGTCCATCCGTAGACGTCTGTAATGCTCAAGTCAGCCCCGCGTCGAATAAGCATTTTCACTGATTCTGCTGAGCCGGACACGCACGCTGAAAAGATGGGTGAGCGCCCGAGAGCATCAATCTCGTTGACGTCTAAATCGTCAATAAGATGATCTGCCAGGTATGTCCAACCTTGATAGCATACGTAGTCAAAAGGGCGAAGCTGTGGGTGATAGACTGATTTCGATGGCGAGTCCGGGTCCTGTAGGCCCGCACGGTAGGCCATGAACGACTTGAAACAATTATTATTACTTTTCAAAAAGACTTTCGAAAGATTTCTGAGAGATGGATCCATAAAACTTCGTTTAGCGTGCCGCGCCCAGGAGCACGCGGCATAGAGAAGGAAGTTTTTTGAACAAAGGTCAGGGTCACCATCCTCGTCCCAGACTTGCGGCAAGCTCAGATATTGAATGCAGGCCCGTGCTATGGCTGTATGATGGATTATCTCTCGTTCAATGTTGATAATGGTCTTTGGTTGCATCCAAATAGGGCCTGGTAGATGTTTAATCAGGTACTCGCGCACAGAAAAATGCGGTATGTGAAGGGTCCGCGATCCAGGAAATGAATATGTCTCGTGATCGTGAACTTCCACGAGTGGACCACAGAGTCCTAGTATCTCGCCTGCAATATATTCATCGTCGACATTCTCGGGGTAGTCATCTGGATCCAAGTCTCCAAACTGATCGATGAGCACAGCTTCGACAACTTCAACGATGGCAAGAGGTCTTAATGCGAATGCAGTCCACCGTAGAAGAGCGAAGGCGCGATCTCGGTCCTGATCTGACATGTTCAAGATCCTCCTCCAGCTTTGGTCGTAAAGGCGATCAAGGCCGGACGGTGTGTTCTCCACCACTTCATGAAGTCGTTTCTTGCTCATTGTGTTCCGCAAAGATTGCTCTTGCATCCTAATCCACAGAAACTGTCCTTGGCACTTATCGGCCATAGACTTTGAGATGGCTAACCGTAGGTCCTCGCTTTTGCCCCAGAGTTTCCTATCAACAACAGAATGGGAAAAGGCCGCTGTATCAGCCTGAACATCATTCGTGCCAACCCTGTATTCTGAGAGAGTGCCTTTATGCTCCTCAAGGGCTGCTCTGATTTCAGGCTCGTCTCGGCTCACGAACAGAAGCCTGATGTTGGTGCCTCCTATGGCACCCATAATACCTTGTAGGAACCTAGCAACTGATGCGTCTCCGTCACCAAACTGGGCGCACTCATCCAATCCGTCTGCGAGGAATATACACCCCGGCACTACTGTGATAACTTGCTTGAACAGGCTAAAAAGAGTTTTTCGAGAGGCCTGCCCTGAGGAGTCGTTCTCCCAGGCGCGGCGAATACATCCAAAGGCGTCGTTGCTCTTGACAGCAACTTGGCGCTGCCATGATCTCAGAGCAGAGAATGGATCTTCTCGGCTTTCATGATCAGATGTGAAGAAGAAATGGGCCACTGGCGTCTCTAGAGCCTTTGATAGATGGTGAACGATATGAGCACTGAGAACAGTTTTTCCGAACCCTGCAGGCCCGTTTATCCACAGCACACTTGGCTTAGATGAATCCACTGGTGAAAGCCACGACTTGAACGCAGGTCGCTCAAATATCCATTCGCATGTTGTGTCGACACGCTTGGCCAAGGAATCTTCGTATTTATCGTTTGGGGCAGATTTTCCGAGCCAAGATAACACATCTCGTTGCATTTCAGCTTTATTCCGTCAGATAAACCATATCAGATACTTTGGGGTGGCAATGCTTACACTTGATCCCCTCCTCGATCTTGGTTAGCATTTGGCGAATATCCTCTACCCATACTGTATTCTCCAGTCCTTCATAATTGTGGCTTTTCTCCTCTGGTGGAATCAGATTGTAAAGTTGTTGAACCAGCTTCTCGAAGACGTCGACCTGCTCATTGCGACTCTCCTTACCACCAAGGGCCCATTTCAATCGCTTGCCTCTTGACTGCGACAGGCCTCCATATTGACCGCTTTGTAATCGGGGTCCGGTGCGAGTTCTTTGGAGAATCGACTCATCGCATATAGTCTTGGCTATGATTTGCAGGATGCTTTCAATTAAATTCGCTGTCTCTTTGTTATCGAGTCCACGATGGTGATCTGGCTGTAGCCGCCCATCGGAGATGCCAACGCTGACTCCCCACTGTTCAAATCGGGCTCTGGTCGCTCGAAAACGAGTATCCAGAACATGGGTTTCGGAATTTGAGTCACGATAAGTTTGAAAGCGAGAAAGTGAGTCCAAACAGACGCTGAAGAGACCTGCGAGGCCGGTCACTTCCTGTTAGAAGTCGGGAATATTGTTAGTCCGATCCCGTGTCTGTCTGGATTATCTTGTATAATAGTTACTTATCTATACATTTCTCTTCTTTCTTTAATTAATACAAGACATACATTTTAATAGGTTATAAGCCTAGATAGTAAAATAAGTTAAGTTACCTTATATATAAGTCTATAAGGATTAAAACTCCTCCTTTTATTAAATAAGCATATATTACTTATATAAAATAGATAACTAAACCTATACTAATAAAACTACTTTATTGCTATTAAGAAAAAAAAGGGGTAAAAGTAAATAACTTATATTTTACTAAAAACTCCTAGAAAATCACTAAGATACCTAATAAATATAACCTATAACCTAGACCGGTTATTTAGCTATTAATTATCCGTTTTTTAAATAAGGATAAGTTCCCTTGCCTTATAGATACAATAAGCATATATCTAGAATAGACAGATCTATCCCTGCAAGATAAAAGCGGCTCCTATAAGGCACTAATCTCTTAAAAGTTATATAATATCCTAAATTCACAGATTATATAGGATACCCTCTCTATTACATTAATAACAGATATCTAGGGATTAGAAGTCATATTTATAGATAAGGATATATAAACTAAAGACGCTATTACGTTTAACGTAATAATAGATAAGCTAAATGTATCTAAACCTAATGTCTATAATAATATAATCTTTAATATGTCTAAAACTGCTAATATCCCTAAGCTAATAGAATCTAAAACTGAAATTAATATAAAACTGTAATCTTATATCCCTAAACTAATATATTAATTAGAAAACTTTTACAGATCTAGCTTGCTCCCTGCTTTTTTAAACTATATAATAAGTATAGATCTTAAAATACTATAATAAAGATTCCTATAAATTAAGCTATCTATTCTTTAAGATATCTAAAATAATACTTACAGATACCTTAATAATTATTAAACTTAACTCCCTAGCTAACTAGATACAGTAAAACAAGGTAATAAGAATCTGCCTTAGAGTTAACACTCTAAGCAATCTTCTTACTTAAAACAAAACTGCCCTAACTATCAGTTCCCCTGTAACTAAAAATAAGCTTAATAAGCTTAAAAAATAGTATATATAATAAGAGCAAGCCTACTTAATTATTAAAAGCTAACTTAAATATAACGTAAATGAAGTTATATAAGCACTTAGTAAAAAAGATATATTAAAATAGTTTAAAGCACTTAAAATAGAATATAAACTATCAGGAAATGCAATATTCTAAGACCTTACTTAGAAATACAAATAATTAACTCTTAAATCATTAACTAATATTGCTAACTTTATGGCCTTAATATAGTAAGTCTAAACTAAACTTCTTTAACTTAATAAAATATATATTATTAAAGACCTAATATTTATAAATAAGTTCCTTACTAACCTTAGATCAGTATATAATACGTTTACCTTAAACTTCTAGTAAAACTATAGCCTTATTCTAATATAAAACTAAGATAGAGTAATTATTAAATAAGTAATAATATTTAATAAAGTACTTAAGCTTATATAATAAAAAGAAACTTAGATAAAGTAAAAGGATAATAGAGATAAAGATAAGTATATAGTACTAGCAGTATAATAGTAATAGTAAAGAGGCAGAAGCATAACCCTAAGATAACGTATACCTTATAATACCTATAGATAAACCTTATACTTTGAATATAAATACTAGGTAAAATATCCTAAGAAGAAGTAAGAATAGGAAGCTAGAAACCTAGAAAAGGCTAAAGTACTATAAAAGAAAGCAAATATATATTAATAAGAAAAGAAACTAGTATATAGATAAAATAACAGGCTAGCTAATAATAAGGATAATAATAAAGTATTGGCTATTGCTATAATTGCCTTTCTAAATAAAGCCTTTATTACATTTAATAGAAATATTGCAGTAGCTATAACGTTAATACTACCTAATTATATAAAGTTCCTTAAATCTATATATATCCTTAATAGCAGCGTATCTTACTATACAGTAATTAATTATAAAAAGTTTAATACGTTTAATACTATAACTAAATCTATTAAAGGCTTCGGAAGATTAAGTACCAGGTTGTATAGAAAAGGATAATATAGACTTTAGCTTAAGAGAAAGGGAGAGAGAAATATTACATTTAATAACACTTTTTTTATCCCAGGAGAACTTGTAAACCTTATCTTTATCTCTATACTTATAAAGAATAGGTTATAAGTAGTATTTAATAATAAAGGTACTATTATTATATAAAATAAAATAATCCTCTTTACGGTAAAATTAATTAAAGGTATATATATTATTAAAGAAAATAATAAAATTACAGAATTTGTACTAGCTGCATTTATAATATAAGATAAAAGCAATGCTATCTGGCACTATAGACTTAGATACCTTAGTAAATAAAATATTAATAAATTAAAAACGATATTAACTAGGATATAAGACCTTAAGGTCGGAGAATTTTGTAAATCCTATGTAAAAGGCAATATAAAAGAGCGTCTATATTAATACTTAATTAAGAAGAGAACCTAACTATTTAAAAGTATCTATATAGACATTTCCAGCCTATAGCTAATAACTAGAATAAATAGAAAATAATATTAGGTTACCTTTACGGATAACTTTACAGGATATATATAGGTTTTCCTACTTATATATAAGTTAAAGTTTAAAACCAAGTTTTACTACCTTATTAGATATCTTAAACTACCAGGATAATAATACTAATACCTTTACCTTAATAAAGCAGAAGAGAATATCCTATATATACTTATTCTTTTCTATTAAGCCTAAGGCATATACCTTATCTATATAAGCACAGAACAGTTAGAATAAAATAGAATTGCTAAATAAATAAATAGCATTCTTAAGAGCAAACTAAACCTAACACTTATTAAAGGATATATTCCCTATTACTACTGGCCCTAGGTACTAAAAGGCATTATCTAGTAAAGGAACCTTAGTCTATACGCTCTAAGAAGTTATATACTATATAAAGCCTAGTATAGCTATATTCCTAATCTTACATATCTATAAATTATAGGAAGTCCTGGATTTATGCTTTTCCTAAACTTAAAGCAGAAAAAGATAGGACTAATATTAATTAAATACACTCTCCTTGCCTTTAAAGGCTTCTTAAACTATATTGTACTTACAGCAGATAAAAGAGTAGTTACATTAAATAATATAGTTTTTAATAAAACTCTAATACTTAAATAAAAATACTAGCACAATAAATAGATAGAAAACTAATATATAAAATAATTAACCTAAAAAATATATTGTATAGCTAACTGTAAACTATATATACTTCCTAAACTACTAACCTTTATTAAACTATACGTTATTAAAATGGATAATAAAGAAGAAACGAATTCTAGTAAAGTAATCCTACGTAAAGAATATACATTAAATAAACTTAATATATAAGAAAGTAAAGATATATAAGATACTATTTACATTTAACCTAATATAATAATCCTATAAATTAAAGATAGATAAGTTAATATATATAATGCTCTAGATAATACTATTTAATAATATCTAGAACTTTGTGCTCCTTAACTAATAAGAAGTACTTAGGGAAACCTAAACTATAAGATTGCCTTAATTACTAAATTAACTAAGAAAGAAAACAAATAACTTACTAAACTTAAACTTATGAATTAATACTTTGCCCTTTCTGTATAAATTTAAGAAAATAAAGAACTATTAACCTATAAATAAGTACATAACTTGCCTTATTAGGATAACTAGAGAAAGGCTATATAAGATAAGTTTAACTTATTAGAAGAAAATATAATATAGTTCCTAATAGTCCTACTAGAAAATATATACATTTTGTAAAGAAAATAGGTCTATAAACTTAAATAAGGTAATAATAAATAAGTAATGCACTTTAAAGCACGCTTTATTATATAAAGATTTAAACAATAAGAAGGAATTGATTATTATAAAATATTTATATTAGTTATAAAACTAATAAGCTATAAGGTGTTATTTATAGTTACTGCTATAATAGACTAGGAAATCGAGCAAATAGATATTAAAATGGCTTTCCTCTATAGAGATATTAATAAGGATATTTACATATATTAACCTAAAGGTTTTAATAATAATACTAAACGTATCTGTAAGCTTAAGAAGGCTCTTTACAGTCTTAAGCAGTCCCCTTAAATCTGGTATAAAATATTAGCTAAGTTTCTAGAGTTAATTAGTTTTAAGCTACTTCAGTCTAATAATAGTATCTTCTTTAACAGGATAACCTTTATTACAGTATATATTAACAATTTACTACTTATTAGCCTAAATAAAGAAGAAATTAGATATATTAAAGAATTACTCTTAAAACGCTTCTATATAATAGACCTTGGACCTTGCTAATACTACCTAGGTATAAGTATTTATCGTGATTATGCATACTGGTCTATTTATATATCCTAAGAAGTATATATTAATAAAATACTTAAGAATATAGGAATACTTAAATGCATAATAGTCTTAACTCTAGTCTTAACTAAAAAGTTTAAGCTAGCCAGGGATAACTATTAAGCTTCTATAGAGTTAAAGTCCTGGTATATATAAGCAATTAGTTCCTTAATATATATAATACTTAGGATATAACTAAATATTGTATATAGTATATCCTTATATAGTTAATTTATAGTAAATCTAATAGAAGAATATTAGACTGCAGTTAAGAGAATCTTATAATATCTTAAAAGGATATCTTCCCTTAAACTTTACTTTTTAGGAACTATTTAAGAACTAGCTAGATATACCGATTTAGACTAGGGTAGTAATACTAAGACCAGACAATTAACCTCTAAATATACCTTTTACCTTGGATTAGGCGTTATTAGCTAGAGCTTAAAAAGATAACTAATAGTTACCCTCTTATTATATAAAG